ACGTGGAGGGGGGTAATCCTTGGTAGGAGTGGCCCTGTATCACCATTGTTTCTTTCTGGCCTGAGTCTCCACTGTGTGAGGTCTTGCTCGAGCGGAGCTCCAATCACCCCTTTGCGGGCCTGCTGGGAGTACATGTTCCTACGGCCTCCCGCGTTGGTCCCACTACGAGTCCTAAGGGACGTAGCACCATGACGTAGAAATAATAGTTACATAATTAACATTAAGTTCTACGAATCAGGTGCGTAGTGCCCTTAGCTACGAGACCATCTGGCCAGCCCGGCGTGGCAGAGTTCAAAGGGGTGCGGCCTTGTGCAGGGGCATTTATAGAGAATCGTGGCTGGTGATTGGGAGCAAATAATTTTGATCTCTCGGGCGTGGTGACCTGGGGGTCACGAGTGATATCTCCACAGCGAAGTCCAAGGACTACGCACCTTTTCGTTAGAACTTAAGTACATTAGGTAACTATTATTTTTTGATGGTAAGGACCACCCAGCCTGCCATCCTCTTGTTGTTCAGTGAACGGCGGCGAATTAAAACCCCCAAATACAAGTCGATGCCTCTGTTTAAAAGGGCAGAAAAGTTCTCAATACACTCTGTCCAATGACTCACAGATCATAAAGATTCAACATAGAGCGTTCCATGAAGGGGGGGAGCATCTGAAAATGTCTATTGGTGAGCATAGATGGAGCCTAAAACAACTCCAGGTGTGTTGTGATGTGGGAAGCACGAGCGCTGGCAGGTTTACATCATACGTGCCCGTTAATTCGATGTCATAAAAGATGCGACGCATGCTTTCCGGAGGCCCTGCGACCAGGCTGCTGCTGACGGCTGCCGATCTGACGCCATGTACCTGTATGTGCTTCTTCCCCGTTGTCGATCCGTGTGCTCGTGCTAGGTCCCGTCCTGGTTCTCCGCTGCGTGTCCTCTGCGCTTGCACTGCAACTGCGCCGCGCTCACATCCCCATCCAAGTTGTGCCTGCCGTCCTGCCTACGGGGCAATAAATACCACTGACAGAGAGGAGAGGGGAGAAGAGGAAAGAAAGGGGAGGGGGGTACTGCAGCGCGCGCATACACACACACACAACACATACACACACACTGCAAGCTGGGAGCCTAACAAGACTGTTAATTCATCAAAGAGGTGGTGAATAGAGGCGACAATTTTTTTTGGGGGAAAAATATGGCCCCATGTTATAGACCTGTGGAAGAACTTGTACGCTGTTTCTTGTTTTACCTTTCAAGCACATTTTCAACGCTGGTACCCTTACAAATAATAAAATAATAGTACCTAAAGTAACTTTGAAAGTTATACGAATGGGGGGAGTGCGTAGTCCCTTAGGACTTCGCTAGTAGGTATATCAACTTCGTGACCCCCAGTGTCACCCGCCAGAGAGATCAAATAATTTTGCTCCATCACCAGCCCCGTCCTCATAAATGCCCCTGCTACAAGGCCGCACCCCTCATTGAACTCTGCCACATGGCCGGGCTGGCCTGATGGGCTCGTAGCTAAGGGACTAACGCACCAAGTCGTGAGAACTTAAGTTACATTAGGTAACTATTAATTTCTACGTCATGGTGCACTCCCTTAGGACTATCCGCTAGTGGGGACACACGCGAAGGCCGTAGGTAAATGTTACTCCCAGCAGCCAGCAAAGGGTGATTGGAGCTCCGCTCGAGCTAGACCTCAAACAGTGAAGGACGCAGGGCAGAAGAAAACAAGCGTGTACAGGGCCACTCCTACCAAGGATACCCCCCCAACGTAACACAGACCGTAGGTCTTCCGTAGTCACAGGACGGCCTCTCCCAAGAGCCCTGACGTGGACTACCTGAACCGACCCAAACAACACAAATAATGTACCGCACCTGTAGGATGCCTCTCCCAAGAGCTCCGAACCAGGCGGAACGTAAAACCGAAGGCCCCCTCAGAGGAGGGACCTACGTCAACTCATCCGCTGCTCTCAGCACGGAATGGGCCACAAACGCGGTCCCGACACAGCAAGATAAGACCGGACGAAAGAGGAGGACGACAGCCAGCTAGGACCCGCCAGCGTGGCGCCCCTGTCCTTGGGCCCAGACACACAAACAGCTACCACCCAACCTGAATGACGACGCATGGCCTGGTAGATGCCTCAGCATTCTGACAGGACACAGAAGGTGCCGCCGCTCCTCCTCGGAGGAAGATGCGGTGGCGGATTGAAAGCCCTAAGCCTGATGACGCTCTTCGACCTAAAAGACCGACGTGATTGACCTTTGGGAGAAAAGCCGGATTGGGCCACAATTTCACCATAGCCGTCGCCCTCTCCAAATGACAGGCAAGCACGCATGGACGAGAGCGCACACAAGTCGCCCGCCCTCTTAGCAGATACCGCCAAGACGCCAACAAGAGGGCCGTCTTAAAAGGCGACACTCTCGGACTCGCCTGCAGCCTCCGGGTCAAAAGGCGGGACCCACATCCCCCTAAGACCACCCTGAGTCCCAAACCGGGGGCGTTTCTCTGGAGCGGGGGCCTCCTCCTGCGCGCCCCCCCCCCGCTGAAAACGTTTAAACCAACGATGACAGCGGGCTGTGAACCCCCGAATCCATCGTGTCGCCGAAGTAATGGCTGCCTCGCCGAACCAAACCGCCATGGTGGCGGACAAGCCCTCCCCTTGTCAACAGAGCCCTTAGGATAATCCCCAGGACCCCCTCCAGCGGGGCAAGCGCCTGGAAGCCCAGGAACGGGGAAACCGCCACCAGTCGCTGAAGTGCCTCCACCTCGTGGCGTAGCCCTCACAGTGGACGCCCCTCGCCCCCTGAATGGGTCTCCACCACCGCAGGGGAAGACCCAGTCTACGAAGGTTCCGCCTCTCAGACTCAAACCAGAGCCTGCGGGCCGTTTATCCAAGGCGTGAAAACAGGGCTCCTCCCCCCTGGACTAGAGCCCCCGGGCTCGCCGGGAGGCCCAAGCTCCATCACCCGCCATGCCCTCAGGAAGGGAACCACCGGGCATGGCGACTGTCCGAGCCACCAGATCACCGACCTCACTCTCCTGTTTTTGATCCGCCGCACAGACCGCAGGAACGCACTGGTGGGAAAACGTACAGCAGGCCCCTGCCAGGGGCCTTAGGCAACCAGGACGGCACTGTGCGTATTCCTGCACTGGCAAAAGGTCGACCACAGGAACGGCCGAACCTCACGCCAGATCCCGCAGCTACCCGTGGGGCCCAGGCCCCACTCGTCCTGGAGTGGGCCCCCCCCTGGACATCCTGTCGGCCCCCACGTTCCGGACCCCCGGGACGTTGGCGCGCCCCCTGAGAAGACAGGAGGTGAAGCGCCGCCCACAGCAGCGCACCGTCGCCATGCGATGGAGAGCGGGGGACCTGGCCCCTGATCAAGAAATGGTCAGACAGCAACGAGCTTTGACGCTGGATGTCAACATTGGAGACATCACAGCCGTAGGTCAGGACAAGGTCCAAGGTGTGGTTATGAATGTGAGTAGGTTCCTCGACATATACCTTATACCTTTTTGCCTGCAGGACAGTTCCCTAAACTAACATATCCTACTAAAATAGGGTGGGGTTGTTGCAACAATTAATCTACTTAGAAGTTATCCTAAATTACAGCCAGCTAAAGCTCGGTACCACGACAAACGAAAAAGTAACGCAATAGTTACTTTTACTGGTAACTGGTTACTTTTATAGTGGAGTGACTCAGTAAGTCAATTACTTTTTGGAAGAAGTAACTAGTAACTATAACTAATTACTTTTTCAAAGTAACTTACCCAACACTGGTCATTATATTTGATAATTTCATTTAACTTCAATTGGAGTGGATTTGAAATAGAATGTTAAAAATGCGATTAATCGTGAGTTAACTCACCATTACTGTGCGATTAATCAACTAAAAAAAATTAATTGTTTGACAGCCCTACAAAAAAGTAAAAGATTATAAAATAAAACTGTAATTAAGTCATTGCCATCATAGTAGTATGTAAAAATCTGGCCAAAAGTGGTACTGCGCTCTCCCTGACTCAGGTTGCCAGATATGCAGACAAATCCAGCTGGGACCAAAATATCTGAATGGACAAAAGTTTTGTCAATAACAAATCTATATCTAACACCTTTTTCACAAAGATAGAAATACTTGTTTTATTCCTTGTTTTATCATTAATAATTTGAGAATCATAACGAGACCTTTTTAGTTCTGCGGCCACATGGTACTTTACTAGTGAAATTAGCTCGACGCGGTGAGTTCTGGCAACCCGGATCACAAACTCTCTGATTGGTGAAACGGTGGAGGGGCGGGTAAAACTGTAAAAGCATTTTTTTAATTCGAAGATCTCAGCTGAACTATTGTTATCAGTTAAAGAAGTATTGGAAAAGAGCATGTTTTATTAATGCTTTTTGACAGATTAGGGCCCTTTAATGATGGCTTGAAAATCTCACATATTGCTACTTTAAAGGCAAACTCTAGATCAAAGTCAACATGAATAAGCAACACTTTTAAAAACATGCAAAGAATATTTATCCCTCATCTATTCCCTATATAATCCAAACAAAAGCAACACTTAAACCAGACCTGGATGAATTCCGTGTCATTACTAGGCCTGCACCATGCCTACATCTGTTTTACCAAAAATGATTCAGAAACATGTACTAAAATCAGCTCTTGCTGGAAGTGCCTAGGACCAAGTCCAAGCGTTGGGGTGATCGGTCCTTTTCAGTCGCTGGACCCAGACTCTGGAATAAGCTGCCCCCTGAAATGCGCACCATCACTGATCTTGGCCTTTTTAAATCCAGGCTCAAGACACATTTATTCAGACTGGCTTTTAACATTCAGTAGCACGGCAACACTTTTTTTTATCTTACTGTTCTATTTTTATTTTTGTTTGAATGAATGTTTTTAATGCATTTTATGTGATTTTATTGTAAAGCACTTTGGTCGCCTTGAGTGTTGTAAAGGGCTCTATAAATAAAATTTGATTGATTGATTGATTGATTAAAATGTGGACAACAAGTCTGATGAGAACCACAGAGAAGGAGGTTGAGAATCCCTGTAATGAGTTCACAAAATACATCGAGATTTCTTTCGTAGCTGCTCACTTTAAGATCGCTTTAGTACAAGAAGGCTATAATATGTCTTGTTCCCTCCGCAGTGCTGTGACCTGGGGTACCATGCCAGTCTGAACCGAGCCCTGAGGACGTACTTATCCGCAGAATACAACCTGGAGACATCGCGGCACGAGGGTCTGGACATCATCGAGAACGCAGTGGACAGTTTGGACCCCAGGAGCGACCGGCAGAGGTTCATGGAGATGTTTCCCACGGCCTTTTGCCCGCCGTGTAAATTCGAGTTCCAGGCGCACATGGGAGACGAGGTACGGGATATATATGAATCTGTTTTGTATACGCATGGATGTAACAGGACACGCACAGCCAAAAAAATTATGAAAAGTAAGAAAAAAAAATGCTAAAATTTGGCTAAATGTGTCTAAATTCGAGCGCATACTGTAAAACCAAATCTAACAATGGGACAAAACAAAATTATCTTCTTGAACTAAGTCTAAATGGCTTTGTCCCATTGGAAAATTTTGTTTTAAATTAAGATAAAAAACACTCATTTATCTGTTTTATCATTTTAAAGGGAAACTTGGTGTTGATCCAGGGCACTAAATATTTATGAACATTTGTTATCTGCACCTTATGTGTTTTTTTTAATCATGTCTTGTGTTTTAAATTCTCTGATCTGAGTTGGCGAATCAACATTTTTGTAAAGTCCACCTCGCTAACTGCTGCGCCGCAAAAAATGATAAAATATGAGGCACTGGAATAATTGCTATTTTTATATTTAAACAATATTTTGCCAATGGGACAAAACAATTCTGTCTTATTTGAGGAAATCTTGCTTTTCAAGAGAACATTCCAAAACAGACATTTCTTGTATATTTTTAGAAAATTTTACTCTAACTAAGATACATTTTGCCAATTTTTTTTGCAAATTTGGATGTATTTTTCATCTCTTTTTGCAGTGTGTTGTCATATAGAGCTAAACAAAAATGTATTGAACTGAATTGAATGAGTGCACTGCAAAAATGGCAAAATACAAGGTGATAAATGCTTGGCTGTTGGGGTCTGACTGTCTTCAAAAACACGATTTGCCGTTTGGTGTTTATTTCAAGTGCTGCTGCAATTTATGCCTCATTCCAAGGAAGACATTTCTTTAATTTTCTTGTATCTTTTGAAAACAAGACATTTTTGATTGTCCCGAAGGCAAATCTTGTTTTTAGATTGTTAAAATGTTTTCAAATTAAAATAAAAACACTTGATCTAAGCGTTATTTCATTATTGTGTGTTATTTTTTGCAGTGTGGGTGTGAGATGATGTCTTGTTTTACATTTTGCTTGATGCTCAGACAAATAAAAATAGCTAATATTCAGGTTGTTGTTTGCTGTAATGTTCTTTAACTTCCTGTTCAGGTGTGTGGGGTCTCGGTGCAGCCGCCGGTCAACGGAGAGCTCATACTACGGTTTCAGCAGCTGCAGTCTCGACTCGCCACTCTAAAGATTGAAAATGAAGAGGTACAGAACGATCCCTTTTTCTCTCTTTCAGAACATGTCACATCTCTGCTCAGGATTCGGCAGGAACACTGCTTTAGGAATGGTTTTATTGGATCTGCTTTGTCTGTGGCAAAGTAATAGTTGTTTTGAGAAGAAACCAGAAACCACATTACTGGTACATATTTTAAAAAGCTGATGCTACACTACTTTTCCTATGATTCTGTAAAAAAAATCGATCAAACCAAACATTGAGATTCATTATTTGTTTTTAGTAGAAGCAATCACACAGATTTAAAATCACATTAACAACAGTGCTGCAATCATCAGTTGTGTGCACAGTTTAACATTGGCAGAGAAGAGGCCTGTATAAGGTTTTCAGGAAGACGCTTTCAGATTTTAGCTGCATAATTCTGGATAAATCATACATTTAGTCCTGACTTTGGGACCGGCAGGAGGCCAGTCCCTGTGCTTCACCGAGTCCCAGCAGGAGGCCAGTCCCTGTGCTCCTCCGAGTCCCAGCAGGAGGCCAGTCCCTGTGCTCTTCAGAGTCCCAGCAGAAGGCCAGTCCCTGTGCTCCTCCGAGTCCCAGCAGGAGGCCAGTCCCTGTGCTCCTCCGAGTCCCAGCAGGAGGCCAGTCCCTGTGCTCCTCCGAGTCCCAGCAGGAGGCCAGTCCCTGTGCTCCTCCGAGTCCCAGCAGGAGGCCAGTCCCTGTGCTCCTCAGAGACCTGGACATTGCAGAGCTTTGTGATGACCTTACAATCCCCAACTGTCAAAGATTGAGAATGAAAAGTGTGGGGTGGTCATCCTGTGGTCGGGGAGAAGCGAGGGACGGTGCTGAACAGAAGTGCAGCTGTTTCCTCAAACCTCAAAATAGTGAAAGAAAATGTCTGAATTATTTACTTTGCTTCGGAGCAGGATGGAAGCTACAGCGGGAGCCAAAGGGAAGTCTCTGTGTCTCTGTCGTGTAGAATGAAGGCCAAGCACTTCACAGAGTAACACTGGAACACCCCTAGAGCAGTCAACATGACGGCTTTTTAGTTTTGGAAGTATTCCGAGTATACTTTTTGGTCTTCATAACTTGGTCACTTTTTCTATTATTTTATTTGGTTTTTTTATGTGTAATTATTTGTATCTTATATTTTTGAAATATGAAAAGTCTACCTTTAACTCCCAGAGCTGTCATTTTGACTGCTCTGTTCATTAGATGCTATGGCAGTTAAAACCCTTAAAACCCTTTTCTATAAGATGCTGGTTCTGGACTTGTCTCGTTCTGGTTCTTTACTGGTTCTGGACTGGTTCTGAGCCAAGGCAGCTTAATTTTTCCCCCAGAAATGAGTGCTTATTACCATAGCAATGCTCTGTTTACTTGCAGCAGTTGGAATTTAGCCTTTCCACAATTTGTTTTTGCTATATTTCAAGTTATATTGACCAGTTTCAGCAGTAAAGGTCCGAACCGTATACATTACTTTAATAAAACTTGTGGAAAGCTGAAGTTGTTGCATTGCTTTGAATGGGAGCCGTCAAAATGACTGCTCTGGGAGATATAGTTTCAGAATTCTGCCGGTCCTAGAGTTTATTTACCTCTGAAACATTATTTACTTTCTTCTGTATATTCTTTAACCCCAAGCATTGACTGTGAAGGAGAGTTCCCACACTCAGCACTTTCCGTCCTCCGAGCGTCTATTCTCCAGGCCTTTCACACTAAACCCTTCTCAATCTTGACCCATCTTCTTCGCGGGGAGTGTTTGTTTTCCCTCAGATAAGTCTCAGGAAGCCACATCAAAGCTGGTCTGAGTGGGAATGTGCAGCTCCGAGCTCCACGATCAAAAGATTACACACATTTTCTTCTGGCTCATTGACCTGCTCTGCCTAAAAACATAAATATAAACACAAGCAATGATGAAAAATGAGATGATAGTTGAATCGAGTTTAGTCTGATTTCAAGAACTGTTGCTATGTTTTCTCATTCCTGGAACAATCTTCCTGAAGATGTGAGGCTGGCATCTACTCTGGCAGTTTTCAAATCCAGGTTAAAAACAGTTCTGTGTAGCTGTGCATACAACTGAAGGATTGTTATTTTAGATGCATTGTGGCTATTTATTATTTTAATCCTGTGTGTGATTTTAACGTTTTAAGGTTTTTAATTACTTCTGATTTTGTTCTTTTTTTATATATATATTTCTTTTTTGTGATCAATTTTTTATTATTATTTTCAAGGAGAGTGCAGGGATGAGTACAGCTCACACACACAAAAAAACCACACACAAAAAAATAAAAAAATAAATAATAATAATAATAATAATAGAAATAATAATAAGAAAAATAATAATAATAAAAAAATATATAAAAAAATAAACATAAATTTTTCAAGCATTGTTAGAATACCACCTATTGAAGCTTTTTTAATATTTCTTGTGTTTTTTATATGTAGATTATAATGACGTGATTGATCTGATTGTTGTGAGGCGCTTTGTGTTGCCTTGTGTAGAAAACAAGTAAGAGTTGATTGATCGATTCCAAGGGAGACATCTTTTTAAAATCATTTTCCTGTGTCCCATTCGCAAATGTTGTTTTTAAGGCAGTCAAAAAGTGCTCAAATTAAGACACATTTTACCAAATTTGAGCAATCTTTGACTTATTTTTCCTCACTTTTTGCTGTGTGTCTATATAAGTGTGTATATATAGAGAGAGACAGAGGCCATGGCTTGAATCCTCAGCTGTTTTCTGAAGATCCCAAATGTTAAAAGTCAAAAGTTAAAAACCCAAAATCATCTGACGTGAGGTTAATGGACGTGTAGAAAGAATCCACTGCTTTGATGTAACGGCGCAGCAGTGACCGTCCTCCTGCTGAATCCTCCTGCTGAATCCTCCTGCTGAATCCTCCTGCTGAATCCTCCTGCTGAATCCTCCTGCTAAATCCTCCTGCTGAATCCTCCTGCTGAATCCTCCTCCTGAATCCTCCTGCTGAATCCTCCTGCTGAATCCTCCTGCTGAATCCTCCTGCTGAATCTTCCTGCTGAATCCTCCTGCTGAATCTTCCTGCTGAATCCTCCTGCTGAATCCTCCTGATGAATCCTCCTGATGAATCCTCCTGCTGAATCCTCCTGCTGAATCCTCCTGCTGAATCCTCCTCTTAAATCCTCCTCCTGAATCCTCCTGCTGAATCCTCCTGCTGAATCCTCCTGCTGAATCCTCCTCCTGAATCCTCCTGCTGAATCCTCCTGCTGAATCCTCCTGCTGCTGAATCCTCCTGCTGAATCCTCCTGCTGAATCCTCCTCCTGAATCCTCCTGCTGAATCCTCCTGCTGAATCCTCCTCCTGAATCCTCCTGCTGAATCCTCCTGCTGAATCCTCCTGCTGAATCCTCCTGCTGAATCTTCCTGCTGAATCCTCCTGCTGAATCTTCCTGCTGAATCCTCCTGCTGAATCCTCCTGATGAATCCTCCTGATGAATCCTCCTGCTGAATCCTCCTGCTGAATCCTCCTGCTGAATCCTCCTCTTAAATCCTCCTCCTGAATCCTCCTGCTGAATCCTCCTGCTGAATCCTCCTGCTGAATCCTCCTCCTGAATCCTCCTGCTGAATCCTCCTGCTGAATCCTCCTGCTGCTGAATCCTCCTGCTGAATCCTCCTGCTGAATCCTCCTCCTGAATCCTCCTGCTGAATCCTCCTGCTGAATCCTCCTGCTGAATCCTCCTGCTGAATCCTCCTGCTGAATCCTCCTGCTGAATCTTCCTGCTGAATCCTCCTGCTGAATCCTCCTGCTGAATCTTCCTGCTGAATCCTCCTGCTGAATCCTCCTGCTGAATCCTCCTGCTGAATCCTCCTGCTGAATCCTCCTGCTGAATCCTCCTGCTGAATCCTCCTGCTGAATCCTCCTCCTGAATCCTCCTGCTGAATCCTCCTGCTGAATCCTCCTGCTGAATCTTCCTGCTGAATCCTCCTGCTGAATCCTCCTGCTGAATCCTCCTCCTGAATCCTCCTGCTGAATCCTCCTGCTGAATCCTCCTCCTGAATCCTCCTGCTGAATCCTCCTGCTGAATCCTCCTCCTGAATCCTCCTGCTGAATCCTCCTGCTGAATCCTCCTGCTGAATCCTCCTGCTGAATCCTCCTGCTGAATCCTCCTGCTGAATCCTCCTCCTGAATCCTCCTGCTGAATCCTCCTGCTGAATCCTCCTGCTGAACCATGTGCATTGTCATGAGCACTAAGCAGGATGTACCAGGTCTGTGATAACAGCTCTGTACATTTCACTTTACTTCACAATGTCCTGTCACTTATAGTCAGTGTTTGTTCCATCTTATGTTTTTGTTGTTTATAAGTTTTGATAAATTAAAAATGATTAGTCCCACAGTGGATAAATTAAAGTAATTCGGGCGTTCTGCTCTCCCAAAATTCCATCCGATGGGCGGGGAAGCGACTGAATTTTGCGTTGCATTATGGGTAACACTTGCCTTCGCAACTTCCGGTTCTCTCTGCCCGGCGCATTTTCTCTAAATGGTTGAGTGTTTTCGTCATTTTCTGTATGCAAATACATTCCCGTCTCTAACTAGTGGCATATCGCGCAAATCATCCGTCCTATTCACATTCTTCCCTCTTAGCTGAACTTCATTCTCATTGTTACCATCTGTCACTCGCACACACAGCCGTTTTCGTTCACTCTGCTCGCTGTCATCTTCTTCTAAATCTTCATAAACACCATCCGCTCGTTGAACTAGCAACAACAATTCCTCCTTTCGTTTTCCCACACTGCAAATACCTTTTCGCTTCAACCTTTCACACAATTCAGGCACTGTCAATCGTTTGTTGTTTTCGTGAGCCATATTCGCCATTGTATGAAATCAACCGGAAGTGAACTGGGCAACAAACGGTGTCATTTTTTGATCACAGCGCCGCTCAGTGGATGAAATTTTGGGAGAGCAGAACGCCCGAATTGCACCGGGAATTACGGGGAATTGTTTTGGCCTCCCTCTCTCGTCTCTCTCTCTCTCTCTCTGGTCTCTCTTTGGTCTATCTCTGATCTCTCTTTCTAGTCTATCTCTCACTGGTTTTCCTTCTGGTCTGTCTCTGGTCTCTCTCTGGTCTCCCTCTCTAGTCTGTCCCTCTCTGTTCTTTCTTTGGTTTGTCTCTGGTCTCTCTCTATAGTCTCTCTCTCTCTCTCTCTTTCTCTCTCTCTTTCTCTCTCTCTCTGTCTCTCTCTCTTGTCTCTCTCTATAGTCTCTCTCTTTCTGGTTGGTTTCTTCCTGTCCTCTCTCTCTCTCTATAGTCTCTCTCTCTCTGGTTGGTTTCTTCCTGTCCTCTCTCTCTCTCTGTCTCTCTCTCTTTCTCTCTCTCTCTCTGGTCTCTCTCTCTTGTCTCTCTCTCTGGTCTCTCTTTATAGTCTCTCTCTCTCTCTCTGGTCTCTCTCTCTGGTCTCTCTCTCTGGTCTCTCTCTGGTCTCTCTCTGGTCTGTCGCTGGTCTGTTTCTGGTCTCTCTCTTCCTCTAGTCTCTCTCTCCTGTCTGTCCATCTCTGGTCTCTCCCTCTGGTATTTCTTTGCTCTCCCTCTCCCTGGTCCGGTGAGCTACCCCACCTTGAAACTAAAATCTTTCTGCCCGCCTCTCCGTGAAACATTACATAATAACCCATGTAGCCCTGAACTTTACCAAACCTCATGAAACTCCAACCGTAGCATTTGACGTGATGTATAGCGACGGGCATAGCTTCTAGTCTTGTTAAAATTGTCAACAAACGCTCTCGGCTGTCATTATACTCTGCAGGCTTTTCTTTTTGCCTCTGACTGGGCTCATATTTCCCTTCTTTTGATCACCTCGTAACAATCGCTGACAGGACGGTGGTTCACGATGTCAGAATCCTCCACTTCCTGCCTCGCCATTGTCATTATACATGTTCAAACCTGCTCCGTGCTGGCGTTTTCACTGCTCACACGGACGACACCATAACTACATCCACATTGTGTAGAGAGACGCCGTGTTAGCGCTGTAATCCATCACCGTTTCACATGAAAAGCATTCTTCCCGGTGCAAATCCTCCTCCTGGCCTTTTCTCAGGTAGTTTTTTCTTTTCTTTGTTTCTCACAGCAGATGAGTCACGGGTCAAACCGTTTGCATCAGAAAGATATAATCCAGGCTTCTCTTTGTGTATATCCTCAACACTATACAGTCCGCTTGGTATTGACAGGGTTTTCTATTGGGAACTGGGGTCACTGGCTTTTGAGTGGGGCCTTCTGGTCATTAAACATAATTAGAAGGGAGTCCAGCTGTGGCTCACTCACCCACACCTCTGACCTGTGGCGGCCCCTGTCCCTAATGAAGCTGTGAACGGGAGAATGTAGGGTCCATTAAAGCTTTTGACTGCTCTTATTTCCCGATTGATGTTAGTCGGACATGTTTCGGTCTGTGTTTGGATCAGGGGTGTTGGATTCAGATTCTGATTTTCTTTATCTGTAGCTGCTGCTCCACCTGTGCTGCTGTGACTTAAAGAGCTGTTGCCTTTTAATACTACGACAATTGTTATGCCTATTATTGCTACTTTTAGAATTATCTATTTATTTGTTTTGTTTGTATGGATGGATGTGTTTCTGCTGCTACTGGACATCTGAATTTCTCCGACAGGATATTAATAAAGTATCTATCTATCTTTTTATCTATCTATGTATCTGTGTATATATATCTATCTATCTATCTATTTGCAGTAAAACCACATTGGAGTACATGTGCAAAAGTCCCCCAGTGTGCACCAGACATATAGATAAAATGAAACAAGCTAAAAAAGTACAAGAAGCGTTCTTGATGCGTCCAAAAAATATTGAAATAATAAGAATTGACAAATATGCTGAATAGTTTTACACAATATGTCCTTTTGGCGCACGAATACATTCTTATAGATTGTTGTATATGTGCATTTAAGAGACTGCAAAACAGCCCAAACATTAAAAGTCAGTCATGGCTCAAATTTAAATGACCCTTGTGCTTCCCTCGGGGCAATATGACCTGCCACAGTGATCAATACTAATAGAATTGTTTTTGTCACCGTGGGGATTCCATTTCATAGTTTAGCAGAAGGGTTAAAATACATTAATGTTTTGTAATAAAGTGTATTGCTGCTTGTCTAATAATATTTTTCCCATGGTCTCTCTCTCTCTGGTCTCTCTCTAGTCTCTCTTTCTCTCGTTTCTTTGACTGTCTCTCTCTCTCTGTGGTCTCTCTCTGGTCTCTCTCTTGTCTCTCTTGTCTCTCTCTGGTCTCTCTCTCTCTGGGCTCTCTCTTGTCTCTCTTGTCTCTCTCTGGTCTCTCTCTCTCTGGTCTCTCTCTCTGGTCTCTCTCTCTGGTCTCTCTCTCTGGTCTCTCTCTGGTCTCTCTCTCTGGCCTCTGTGTTTGGTCTCTCTGTAGTGTCTCTTTCTCTCGTTTCTTTGACTGTCTCTGGTCTCTCTCTCTCTAGTCATTTTAATACATGCTAATACATTTTGTAAGGCCTTGCTTGATAAAAAAAAAAGCACAATATTGTCTAATAATAATTGTCTCTCTTGTCTCTCTCTCTGGTCTCTCTCCCTGGTCTCTCTCTCTGGTCTCTCTTTCTCTTGTCTCTCTCTGGCCTCTGTGTTTGGTCTCCCTGTAGTCTCTTTCTCTCGTTTCTTTGACTGTCTCTGGTCTCGCTCTCTCTAGTCTCTCTTTCTCTCGTTTCTTTGACTGTCTCTCTCTCTCTGGTCTCTCTCTGTGGTCTCTATCTTGTCTCTCTCTCTGGTCTCTCTCTTGTCTCTCTCTGGTCTCTCTCTCTGTGGTCTCTCTCTTGTCTCTCTCTCTTGTCTCTCTCTTGTCTCTCTCTTGTCTCTCTCTTGTCTCTCTCTTGTCTCTCTCTGGTCTCTCTCTGGTCTCTCTCTGGTCTCTCTCTCTGGCCTCTGTGTCTCTGTGTTTGGTCTCCCTGTAGTCTCTTTCTCTCGTTTCTTTGACTGTCTCTCTCTCTCTGGTTTCTCTCTCTGTGGTCTCTCTCTGGTCTCTCTCTGGTCTCTCTCTTGTCTCTCTCTCTGGCCTCTGTGTTTGGTCTCTCTGTAGTCTCTCTTTCTCTCGTTTCTTTGACTGTCTCTGGTCTCTCTCTCTCTCTCTAGTCATTTTAATACATGCTAATACATTTTGTAAGGCCTTGCTTGATAAAAAAAAAAACAAGTGCGGGATCATTGAAATGCTTTGTTCGAACTGATAACAGCTTGTATAAAGAAGCTGTTAGCATACTGAGATGTCCTGCATTTCAGCCAACAATATCTTCAGCCAGAGGGAAGAAGCTGGAACATGGCTTTTTACCAGGGTGGCCAGAAAAGTGATTGATTATTCTACGAGTTGGATTTAAGAGTCTGGATTCATAAAGAAGGTCCAGAACAGGCAGCTCCCAGCTCACGGTCCGATTTGCCAAGTGTAGCACCTTGTATAGACCGCTCCTTGTGTCAAACTGGTTCCAGAAAGAGCCAGTGTGTTTGCAGGTTTTCTTTCCAACCAAGCAGAAAGACACCACCAAGTCTCCAGGTTAAGACAGGAGATATGAGCAGTTGAATTATATTTATTTAATGCGTTGGAATAGACGCATCTCTATAAAGAATCCTGGCCTATATTTCCACTCTGGCTCTTTTTCCATTGCTTTCGCTCAGAGTCACGTTTGGAGCTATTTTCTTTCAAAAAAAAATTCTCCCAGAGCCTGCATCTCATCAGGAAACACTTGCATTTTTCAGTGTGTCCCGGGACGGCCAGCCAGGTTTTTTTTTTAGGGAGTGTGATGATACAAGGCGCTGAGTATGTGGTGATGACAGCCAGCTTTTAAGGCAGGCAGGTGATGCTTCAAAAATATCCTCCCTCTTCTCTGTGTATCTCATATCGGCGTGTCTCTGGGTCTAGATTAAGAAGACGTCGGAGGCCACGCTCACCACCATCCAGGACATGGTGACTATCGAGGACTACGACGTGTCCGAGTGTTTCCACCACAGTCGCTCCACGGAGTCGGTGAAGTCCATCGTGTCGGAGACTTATCTGAGCAAACCTAGCATCGCCAAGAGGAGAGCCAACCAGCAGGAGACCGAGCAGTTCTACTTCATGGTCCGTGACATGTTATGCTAAATCAACATTTTGGAGGTTTTAACTTCTTTAAGGCACTTCTTCAATCTCATTCTGGTTGGGGAGCAAGGTTAAAAACATCTTTGGGGCCAAATTATTATATTTTTGTAATCATTATCTGTGTATCTACCATTCTGCCATCTACTCTTCCACTGGTGATAGAGAGACGGGCATAAAGCCATTTTGAGCCTTGACAAATCAAATCTCATCATTCTTACTGGCCTAAAATAATGCATAATAATTCTTCTTTAATTTATAACCATTTCATACCGTTGATGAAACCGGTGTCTATACTCGGTGTAGAAGCAGCAGTGACAAAATTAGCTTTGCAATTCTTGTAAGAACTTGTAAGTGAGAACTAGCTGTAGAAACATCTATTCATTTAATCCGAATCAGAATAAACGTTGGATTATGGCTTTTATTTGTGCTGTAGTTTTCTAATTGTGAGAACATATTTATATATTTCCCATAATCTTTCTGCTCATCTCTGTCTAAACTTGAGCAATTTTTGGCTTATTATTTCCATCACTTTTTGCAGTGCATTCTCTCACAGTCACAGAAATCTCTCAAAACCCCTCCTGTTGTCCCCTTGATGCCCTTGATGGCCCTTGATGCTGCAGATTGGCTGATTTAAGGCGCCCTGCTTATAGCTTCGCACTCACGACTGGCTTGTAATTACTCTCCGATATTCTCTCCCGCAGAAATTCCGGGAGTTTCTGGAGGGCAGTAACCTCATCGCAAAACTGCAGGCAAAACACGACTTGTTAAAGAGGACTCTGGGTGAAGGTAATGTCAAGCCGTTTCTCTTTTTAATCAACCACTCAATACCGCCAAATGATTGCATACCTTTTGAAACGAGAAACGATAGAGTAATGGTTCCCACGTGAAAAGAAACAAAATCTCGACTGACTGAACGCTTTCATCAGACAAATTGCGTTTAATGTTGTACTTTTCTGATGACGAATTCCCCATTGTTTTTTGCTTTCAAAGTGGGTCTGAGTTCTAGCAAGCCTGGCCAACAGCTTAGGGGGATTGAGAAGTATGTATGATCCGTCTTAGTGATTGATTTTCTCCAAACTTAGCGGAGTCTCGCGCTGTAGAGGGGATGGCGGTGATTACCTTGGCCTCCCCTTGTTCTCCACCGGTGGGATCTCCTCCAGGCCTCCGCAAATCGGCTCTGTGTGTCTCTCACTGCTCTGACCGCCCGGTGGTCTCTGCCCACTTAATGACAGGAGTGTAGGGGAGGGGGATTTAGCCTGTCTTTCACAAAATCATAACGCTGTCGACGTCTGTTTGCACTCACACACACACACACACACACACAGGCGCAGGTTAGGTCCTGTCTTCAGAACAGATGGCTTTACGTTTGGAAACTGTTTCGCACTTAACCTGACTTTGCCTTGAAGCTGGTGTAATCTCGAGGATGACTATAGACCAGGGGTGTCCAAACTTTCAAGGAAGAGGGCCACTTTTGTTACACAGGGGCTGACAATATGGATTATAAAACTGTTTTGACTGGATTCGGGAGTTTTAAATTGGGGAAAATTATGTCCATATAGATTCACACCTCAGCTACATTAGTGCCATCTATGAAATCTGCCATTTATGAAATGTCTGCACAAATAACGCTGTCGACTGGATCTCCGAGGTTCTGAGCTTTACATTAAGATATAAAATGACTATACACTGCCAAAAAAAACGATTGAATTTTTTTTTTAAACAATCTCTAATTTGGCAAAAAAGTATCTTAATTTGGGAACATTTTGTATCTTCCTTAAAATAAGATTTTCCAATGGGACAAGAAACATTGTCTTGTTTCATTTCTTGACTCAAAAAAGGTCTCCCTTGGAATGAAACAATAAAGCAACAGTTCCCATTGACACATTTTGTTTTAAGACAGTCAGAATTTTCTCAAATGAAGATAAAAAAAACACTTGATTCAAGCAAGTATTACCTTATCATTATTTGCAGTGTATGGGTGGAGCTGTAGTTGGCTGGATGACCTTAATGGCTACTTTTATGTTAGCGGCAGAGCGACACACCTGCTACAGACTGCATCATGCAATTCTGTGTCTGGAGGATGTTTACGTGTGCACAATTATGAAATGTTTGGCGCGTTCAGAGAGAGTTTGTGCGGTGAGGAGGACAGACGCTCCACACAGACGCAGGAGACAGGACCCGGCATGTCCAAGTATTTACTCTGTCTCCTCTGTCTGCACCCACAGGACACCGAGCGGACTACATGACCACGAGGTAAAACACACACTCACAAAAATGTCTATCCATCTTTTCCTTCAGCTGCGACTTTTTTTAGACACAAAAAAACAGCATATTTTGGGGGTAGTCATGCCACAAAGCTGTAGAAATCAACTTAGCTACATGCACTTAACTGTAGCGTGCATATATATTAAAATAAAAAAATATTTTGTGTTTAGGAAGTCTGTATATTCTCACGGAAACACATTAAAGTATAAAAAAAGAATTAAATTGTGATATATCTGCTGTGATTTATGCAGAGTATTTTTAAATCCAATTGATTATTTTTAGTGTATATTATTATTGCTTATTAGACCATTGACCAAACTCAACTTTCAAAGAAGGGTAAAAGAGAATACACACTACATTTATATATGAATATTTGCAGAAACAGATAAGTGCCATTACAGGAATATACAAACGGCTTACAATGTGCCTTTGGTTTTTGTTCTATTCTAGTGCCATACAGATAAAGTATTCTTCTTGCGCAAATGATTTAATATGTACTGCCAATAACAAAACATGTCAAAATTTGCAACAAGAGGGAAACAACTTTTTGGCAAACTTTCAAAACTGGAGATAGACATCCAAAACATGCAATGTAGACCATGACCAAGACCAAGACCTATGACCATGTTAGGCATTCATTAAATATTAAATTACCATATTCCGGGCCTCATTTATCAAGAGTTTACTCACCTGCAAAAGCGATCCCATAACAATACTGTATTACTTACTTACTTATACTTAAAATTGCTGTCCTGTAAAACTAAACCAGAATAATTGCACTACTTTGCATCCATTAGATTAGCCCCTGCAGTGATAAATGAGGTTCTTATTGCATTACGTATGGATTATTATGATTTATTCTATATATTCTTGAGGCTATTCTATCTTTTAAAGCCTCAGGTATTCCTTAAAGTCTGAACTACTAGTATTTGAAATGCCAGCTTTGATTGTATATGTATGCTCTCTGTTTATTGTAGACACCCAAATGGGGCTTTCAGAACGCTCACGGGCACCCGGCGGCCCAGACCGCGCTCTGTCTTTAATGTTAGATTATTTAACGGCAATTTGGAGTCATTTATCAAGGTACAAAACTTAAATCTGTCCGTTTGACACCGCCTTTCTTATGTATTCTCTCTCCCGCTCCTGCTGCTGCCTGGCCGTTTCGGTATAGGGTCTGTTTTTTTAGGACATCCTGGCTTTTTACTGTATCTCTCAACGGTGAAACAATAATATATTTCTGAGATGGGTTCTTGGGTCTGTCCTTATAAGCTCCACCCGCAGACGTGGGGCTGGCTGTGATGGATTGGTGGAGAGGAAGGGCAGTCTCCGTCAGCGTCCTCACACTTACTGCTGAGCTGGCATCACCGAGCTGTTCTGGGGGGATATATTTTAGCCTCCTCCCCCTCCAGAAAGTGCCCAGACTAACTTTTAAAAATGAGATGGATAAATGACGGTTGGCGTGACTGTTTCTGGTGACTGTCCAGCATCAATGCCAGTATTTTTTGGTTATTTATAGACAGATCTCGCGATAGGAGGTACAAGATATGACGAGCCTGGCATTTATAGACACACAAAACTAGTAATCTTAAATCCCATGTGTTCTCCAGTAATGTACAGTACTAGCAAATGTTCACTGTTATCATTGAACAATCAGAGCCATGAGTATGTTTACAAAGCACGACGGAAAACCAGATCGCTCGCCTAGTTCTATATGATTTGATTAAGCAAGATGGACTTAGCTGACTAAGGTGGACCCAGCTGACTGAGGTGAGAAAAACCAGTCTGTTTGGTGTGTCTGCATTAAACATTTCTACTTTGATGCATTATTATGCTAAAGTATTAGTAAAAGTAAGTTTAGAGTCGCTTCCTTATTATGTAGACTAAAGCTAGAGATTTTTATTTTTTGACTTGCTTCTTTTTGTATGTGAAAGTTCCAGATTTTGTTCATGTATTTTGTGTTGTGTGCGCCTTATTCCTACTATTCTGTAACTGGTGATACAACACTGAAATTTCCCCACTGTTGGACGAATACAGAATTTCTTCATCTTAATCTTTACTGAGGAAAGGTCAGTAGATACATCTAAGAGCACAGGGAAAATGCTTTTTCCCATTTTTTTTTAAATCTAACTGGACTCATATATGACACTTGCTTATTTCTACCATTCTGATTTTTTTTGGTTAACACTGCGTTTCATTGTTTTATTCTGAGTAGGGACAGATACAGAAAACATAGACAAACTGTTGCAACTGTATGCACGCATGACGGTGCTTATAGAATTGCGCGTCCAAAGTGCAATGGCTTCTGCTGTCGAAATAAGTGTGGAAATCAAATGAGTATACATAATTGCAACTTTACCAGTGCTAGGGCAAGGAGACGCCTCATAAGCCTCGGTCTGATCAGCTACTCGCATGTAGACTGGGAACAGAGCGGTCAGACCGGTTTGGGATCAACGCCAAATTGTCCATTTCTTTCCGTATTCTTGTGCTTTGTAAACATACTCAATGATGTTCTGTTTAAATCGGTGTGAGTGCAACTATTTAAGGCATTTCACTGATGTCCAATCATGGTGTCAATTCAAAAGTTGTGATATTTCTACCCAACAAAAATTGTAAAACTAGATTTGACATTTTACCACGCGACCTCTCTATCGTCCAGCCCAGACTGAGAGAATGGGATGGGGGCTTTGAGCTTTGGTGAGCAGGTGCTGTGGTCCTAACCCGGGTCTTGCTTTTTTCTCCTCTCCTCCCTCTCTTGGCCTTTTGCATCACTCTTCTGTAAAGCCGCGGACGCCGGAACTCGCACGCTCGACACCAGGTACACCTTTTGGGGCATTCCTGCTTGCTTGCAAAATCTCTATCAACGCCCGAGTTGATTTTTTTTTTTTTATGACTGTCACTGTTGAAACATTATCGTATCAAATGAAACGCAAGACAGACAGAGTTGAAGTCATTCCTGTAACGAGAGCTGTGAGACTGTAGGACGGATGAATTAAAGATAGATTAAACTAGTATCATTATTTTAGCGGGCCTGTCTTCTGCCTTCTCATTTTTACTCCCATGAGCTTGTACCAACTCGCAAAAGAACCCACCGAGAATCTCTATAATCAGCTCTACGTGTAACCAATATCAAACATTATATTGAATTTGTCGGGCCAAAATTCTCGTCATCTACTGTCTCAAATAACCGGAGATAGGATTACATAATGCAGCTGGAACCGACCGGTGCTTCAACCCCGGGGCTCCGCTGCAGCGATAGTCGATTTCTGGCCCGGCCACCACGTTTGGATTGTGCGTTTACCCTTGAGGGCTGTAAAATGATCCACACACTCATTAAAACATGTCTATCCCTATTGAACCGCAGCAGGCAGCTTCCAGGCCGAGAACCAATGCAGTTTTCATATTGGCGCCTTGAGTATATGTACAGTGCCGCGCAAAAGTATTAGTACTGCTTGGAGTTTTGCACGTTTTGTCATGTTTTCAACCATAAACGTCAAGATTTTTATTTTTATTTTTTTTACTGAAAGTTGACACACAAGTAGCAACAAACTGTGAAGTGAAAGGACAATGATCCATGACTCTGTTAATAAAAAAAATACTGTATGTATATATAAAACCATAAAGTTGGGCCTGCACAAGTATTCATACAGCATGAAAAATGGGGTAATTTGTGGAACCCCCTTTTGCTGCTTCAACAGCTGCAAGTCTTGTGGTTTAGCCCATTCCTCTTTACAAAACAACTCGAGCTCTGTCAAATTAGTTGGAGAGTGTTTGTGAACTGCAGTTTTCAGGTCTTTCCACAGGTTTTCTATTGGATTCAGCTCTAGATTTTGGCCAGTACCCTTCAACCTGTATTCATACTGGGAGTAGATTACACACAGGAGACACAGATTCAGATTCATTTATTTGCCATTTGCAGTAAAACCACAATTTCATCATTAATGGAAGGTGTGAACATTCAGCAGTCGTTAGAAATTAGCAAGTTTACGCACTCCGAAAAAAGCTATGAATACTTTTGCATACCCGCTTTTCTATATTTAAAGTATTAACATAATTTGCCACTTCACAACTGTCTGATACATGTGTGTGAACCTTCAGTAAATAAAATCTGTATGTTTCTGGTTGTAAACAAGACAAAATGAGCTAAAGTTCAAGCCTTATTAATACTTTTGAGAGGCACCGTATCTCTTTGGTCAAGTGCATCCCTACAGCACCGCCTGCTCTTTACTACTTTGCAAAACTTGTGGTGTATTTATAAGCACTGGGTTGTACAGCAGTTTAAAATAGTGTGGGTAGTATGGCCATAGTATGTGCCTCTCCGTGGGTCGTCTGGCCTTTAAATAATTAGATCTCAACTCTGTCTGTCGCTGTTAAATGTCATTCAAATGCACTTTAGATCCTGACCAGTACATAACCAATACTAACATCTGTCTGTGATAAGAGCAATGGGAATGAAGATGACCTACTCACCTGTGTATATTTGTCTAAATTCTCCCAGTTAGACGTCCACTTTCCTTTGCATGCACAAGTACAATTTTCCTCGATGGTCAGGCTCTAAGCAGCATTTTAGATCTGCCTCTATAAAAAATATACAATAATATCTCTGGCGTGATTGTTAAAATTACTTTCAGGATTCTGGACAGGCCATTCCCCGTGTGGTCGAGAGCTGCATTCGCTACATTAATTTATACGGTGAGTTTCTCTCTTTTTTTTCTTTTCTTTTTTTTTATTTTTACGGAGCATTTGATATTGCTTTTTAAGTCGCAAATCACCGGAGCACTTTTATGTGAGTGGTTTGAGCCCGACACTTGAGAACTCTCTGGGTGTTAATTGTTGAGGCGTGTGTCTGCGCCGGAGCTGGAGTTTGTTCCACTGCAGCCATGGTCACGGGGAAAACGCAGATTCCAGTGTGTTTACAACGACGAAGCTTTTTCATTCTGGCCAGATTTATTTGTCGAATGGATGCACTTAGCAGCAACGCAACAAAAGAGGGCATTGTTTTGGGCAAAATGTTGATCTCTGCGAGTCCTAACATTGTTATTATATTCATGAAATTGTCTAGTTCTACCTTTTAACAAGATGTGGTTACCATAGCAACGTACTGTTTACATGCTACCACTTAGCATTGTATAGCTTTTCAACTAACTGCTTTTTGGCTGTATTTCAAGTTACTGTATATTCTCTAGTTTTAGCATTTAAGCCTAATAAAATGACTTGAATGAAACGTATGGAAAACACGCACATTTTTCTGATAATTTTAAGAATTTAAGAATTCTATAGGTTCAATGGGAGCAGTCAAAATGGTTCTGGCTCTGGGAGTTCTTGTAGTTTCATAGTTCTGGGAGTGTTAATGCAGTCAGAAAGTACACACTCACGGTATTGATAACCTTGAGAATTATTGCCTCATCCCCGTCTGGAGCAAATATTTTCAGACAACTCTAAAACAGACATTATTTTGGACCTGAAAACAGACTGTAAACGGACTCCCTGAATTCTAAAACTACTAGAACTCCTAGAGCAGTCATTTGTACTAACCTGGTTGTACTGCACCATAGTACAAATTACATTTCTTACCACCTCTGTTAACAGGTGGATCTGAGTTTACCGTGACGTGTGTAATTCGCCCGAGTGAGTCGTTAGCATTTAGCATAGCTTTAGCCATCTCCTTTGCCGCTAACATTTTCTAAACATTCCTCTTGCTCCGGCTTCAATTTCTTTATAGAACCAGACCGGAATACTTTGCCATTGCCAAACTACAACTTGCCCGTTCGGCGCAAACTCTTGACGTCACCCACAACTAACTACAACACCCGCCTCCCGCGCTCGCTGATTGGTCGCATGGAATTCAACAGATTGTGATCGCTAACACAGGGACCAGACACAGACGTTTACATGCAGGAAATGATAATTGAGCGGCGTGTACGGATGGTTAAGGCCAGGCCAACTGAGATAACCCTCCCAAAAATGTTTTCCACCAGACTTACTTTAAATACGTCCCAGAATGGGTTAATACAACATGGAATTCAGCAAAAACCGTTGGTCGAGACGCTAAATGCTAACTGCTTGCAAGTAAATGGTGTGTTGCTATGGTAACTAGCACTTGCTTCAATAATTTAATATAAAAAAATAATGACACAGAAATAAACTACATATAGAGACAGAAAGAGGCGTTCAGAGAAGTTCAGAAGACCACACACGTCCATGAGCCGAGCATTCACGCATCCTAAACTGAAAGCCGTCAAATTGACTGCTCTGGGAGTTGCCAAGTTAGAGGTCAAAGCCTGTTTATTGCACTTTGAAATCACCGTAACACAAACGTAAACTGTGAGATTGAGCCGGTGGTGGCCTGCGTTTCTCAGGAAAATGGTTAAATCAATGTCCTCATTATTCTCCATCCTGACCCTTGTTCCTTTGCCTTGTTAAGCCCTAATCTTTCTTGGAAGACACTTTAGTCAACTCTAATTGTGTTGCTCTGCAGAGTCATTCATTATGTTTAATTAGAAAAGAGAATTGAGCTTAATGAGCGGCATTTTTGCTCAAGCTTAAGCAGTGATTTTCTCTGGATCTCTCTCTGATTCACTGCCTTTGTGTGTTGTGTGTGTGTGTATATAATTATGTACAGTGCCTTGCGAAAGTATTCGGCCCCCTTGAACCTTTCAACATTTCGCCACATTTCAGGCTTCAAACATAAAGATATAAAATGTACATTTTTTGTCATGAATCAACAACAAGTGGGACACAATCGCGAAGTGGAACAAAATTTATTGTTCCTCCTGGGGAGGTGTTCCGGGCACGTCCCACCGGGAGGAGGCCCCGGGGAAGACCCAGGACACGCTGGAGAGACTATGTCTCTCAGCTGGCCTGGGAACGCCTTGGGGTCCCCCCGGACGAGCTGGAGGAGGTGTGTGTGGATAGGGAAGTCTGGGCGTCTCTGCTTAGACTGCTGCCCCCGCGACCCGGCAACGGATAAAGCGGAAGAAAATGGATGGATGGATGGATGGAATTTAAACTTTTTTAACAAATAAAAAACTGAAAAGTGGGGCGTGCAATATTATTCGGCCCCTTTACTTTCAGTGCAGCAAACTCAGTCCAGAAGTTCAGTGAGGACCTTTGAATGATCCAATGTTGTCCTAAATGACTGATGATGATAAATAGAAGGCACCTGTGTGTAATCAAGTCTCCGTATAAATGCACCTGCTCTTTGATAGTCTCAGGGTTCTGTTTAAAGCGCAGAGAGAACCATGAAGACAAAGGAACACACCAGGCAGGTCCGAGAGACTGTTGTGGAGACGTTTAAAGCCGGATTTGGATACAAAAAGATTTCCCAAGCTTTAAACATCTCAAGGAGCACTGTGCAAGCAATTATATTGAAATGGAAGGAGTATCAGACCACTGCAAATCTACCAAGACCCGGCCGTCCCTCCAAACTTTCATCTCAAACAAGGAGAAGACTGATCAGAGATTCAGCCAAGAGGCCCATGATCACTCTGGATGAACTGCAGATAACTACAGCTGAGGTGGGAGAGTCTGTCCATAGGACAACAATCAGTCGTGCACTGCACAAATCTGGCCTTTATGGAAGAGTGGCAAGAAGAAAGCCATTTCTCAAAGATATCCATAAAAAGTCTCGTTTAAAGTTTGCCACAAGCCACCTGGGAGACACACCAAACATGTGAAAGAAGGTGCTCTGGTCAGATTAAACCAAAATCAGACTTTTTGGCCACAATGCAAAACGATATGTTTGGCGTAAAAGCAACACAGCTCATCACCCTGAACACACCATCCCCACTGTCAAACATGGTGGTGGCAGCATCATGGTTTGGGCCTGCTTTTCTTCAGCAGGGACAGGGAAGATGGCTGAAATTGATGGGAAGATGGATGGAGCCAAATACAGGACCATTCTGGAAGAAAACCTGTTGGAGTCTGCAAAAGACCTGAGACTGGGACAGAGATTTATCTTCCAACAAGACAATGATCCAAAACATAAAGCCAAATCTACAATGGAATGGTTCACAAATAGACGTATCCAGGTGTTAGAATGGCCAAGTCAAAGTCCAGACCTGAATCCAATCGAGAATCTGTGGAAAGAGCTGAAGACTGCTGTTCACAAACGCTCTCCATCCAACCTCACTGAGCTCCAGCTGTTTTGCAAGGAAGAATGGGAAAGAATTCCAGTCTCTCGATGTGCAAAACTGATAGAGACATACCCCAAGCGACTTGCAGCTGTAATTGCAGCAAAAGGTGGCGCTACAAAGTATTAGCGCAAGGGGGCCGAATAATATTGCACGCCCCACTTTTCAGTTGTTTATTTGTTAAAAAAGTTAAAATTATCCAATAAATGTTTGAAGCCTGAAATGTGGCGAAATGTTGAAAGGTTCAAGGGGGCCGAATACTTTCGCAAGGCACTGTATGTATAGTATATTTGTCCAGGTTGTACGCTGGGTTGTTTTCTGCATGAATGGTGCTTTATAAATACATTTTTCTTGCCTCACCTCTCTGTCGTTGTCGTGTCCACAGGTCTCCAACATCAAGGCATATTCCGAGTGTCTGGGTCCCAACTCGAAGTCAACGATATTAAGAACTCCTTTGAAAGAGGTACAGAGACTCAGAAGGAAAACACATACGTCATTTGGCAAATTCAATTCAATTTTAATTGACTTTGTTCTTGTATAGCCCACAAACCACAACAGTAGTTTTCTCGAAACACTTTAGAAAACGCATAGAGCCATTGGTCCATATACAGTAAAGGGCAGAGGCCAATGTCCATAAACGTTGTTGAATTTACCTTTTCTTCTTCTAGGAAACGATCCGCTGACAGACGAAGAGAATAACCACGACATTAACTCGGTGGCTGGAGTTCTGAAATTGTACTTTCGAGGCCTGGAGAATCCGCTGTTCCCCAAGGAGCGCTTTAATGAACTGCTTTCATGCATCAGTAAGGCAAAAATACACACACTTTCTGTTTTAGTTTGACGGATGTATTTAATTGTTTTCATTCATTCGAGCAGAAATTATACATTCATAAGTATTTATAACATTTGAATCCACCTCCAGGCCTTTCAGTGTTGAGTTTGCATGTTCTACCCATGTCTGCGTAGGTTTCTTCCGGGTGCTCCAGTTTCCACAACCACTAAAAATACAATATGTCTGGCATGTGCCTCCAGTAAGATGACAAATGACAAGAGAAAAATGCTTTGTGACTCCGGTCTGTGAAAGATTATTAACTTACTCACATTACTCGATATATGTTTTGAATTTATGAATGAACAGGGCGAGAGGAGATTTGGTCTGGGTTTTTGGGCGCTCTCTCCCGGCGGCTAAAGGCTGTGGTTGTGGATGTTTTGCACCTGTGTGTTTATGTACAGACTGTCCGTGTGCGTGAAGCGTGGCCCGGCTCAAACTGGACACGTTATGTTTACTTTCTCCGGCTTCTCTCTCAGACAATTTATGTTAAACCTCCAAAAGGATATAATCTGTATGTGTGTGGGGAAACGTGTATATAGTATCTAAATATCTAATTTGACAGTTTGAATGATGGTAAAATAAGATTTTGCTTGGAGGCTGCCGATATCATTCATATACATACAGGGGACTTTCAATTTGATACAATTTATTTATAAACGATACGATATGATTCATTAAAAAAGTCTTTTGGCTCCTTATTTAAGGTGCATTTCAATGTCTTTTATTGAATATTAGTTCTTATAAAGTAAAATATAAAAAACATGTATTGTTGATATAAATAATGATCTATATTTATTCCTATTTATCTGGAAAAAATTCCCAAAGAAATTGAAAAAATATAGATACTTTTTTTTTATGTCTGTCAATTTTTTAATCAATCAAAAATCAATATATATCTAAAAAAAAAATCTTTCTTTTTTATCTCACCCCGACTGTATATTAAACGGACTATGCCTCTGTCAGATTCAGAGGAAAACATTTTCACTTTTGCCACATATAAGCAATTCTTTTTAGATCAAATGTACATTTCGTCACCGCCATAATAACTCTCCGCTGACTCTGTTTCATATAAAAGTCTTCGAACCGTAGATTTAGACGTCGCACCGAGGCCCCGCTGTTATAAAATGTGACAATAGAAACTCAAGAGCTACAAACTTATTACAGCCGCCAATTTGAGGCACAGTTAAAATCTAAAATATCTCCGTGGATTCCATTGTGCTGTGCTTTTTCCAGTTCTATAGAGAAAGCCACTTTGCATAATAGTTCCTTTAAGAATAATTTCACGTCTCGTCTGGATAAAGTCCTGCTGCCGGGGTTTGTTTGTTTGCCGTTCGCTGCATTGTTCGCCATTTATAACCCTCATAAATCTACGGAAGCGACATATTTTCGTGGGGAACCTGCAGCAACTTATTTAGGTATTCACGCGATAAAATGAATCACAACTTTCCCAGCAGCTCACATCCCAGATGGCGTAGCGTGGCTGCAGGGGTGACCACGCTATTTTTAGCCGACCGTCGCTGCTCCGGAAAAAAATAAGACTGGCTTCAAGTGCAGCAGCAGAACAAATACGATTGTCCTCAAAACAAAAGCGCTCGATGAAGCGTGTCGATTTGGAGCCGTTCGGAAAAAGTCCAAATGATCATAGACGGATAGATAGATAGGCAAGGCAAGTTTATCTGTATAGCACGATTCATGCACAAGGCATTGGTGTTTCAATCTGAATATAAGATTTGTGTTTGACTTAGCGCCGCTGTAACACAATTATAGCATGTCCTTTTGTATTGACCTCTGTTTTTTATGTTCTAGGAGTGGAAAACCTGTATGAACGAGCTCTCTACATCCGGAAGATTCTTCTGTCCATCCCTCGCTCTGTTCTGGTCGTCATGCGCTACCTCTTTGCCTTCCTTAACCAGTATGTACCTGTTTATTCAGGCATTGTCTTTCTCCGTGTTTGTCACATCATTACATTTCAGTAACGTAATTGGTATTTTTTTAGGCAATTATTAGTTATTATTCTACATGGCCTTATTCAACAAATAACTATCTACTGACTGACCTGTGTAGTCATTCTTAATTACTAGTCATTAGCTAGAAATTACAATGTTGTTATTGTGTTAATACGCATCTGGGAATATGGTTCTTATTAACTGATAATAAACTGTTGTTAGCCATAATTAAGAATCAATACACGGGAAAGTGTCTGTTAGTAGTTGGTTATATGTTGAATAAGGCCATATAGAATAGGTTATTTCACTCTTAAATACCAATTAAGAGTGAAATAACCATAAATTAATACACTAATTAACATTGGGTGCTAAGATAAAGTGTTACCTGCATTTCCAGAACCAGGAGTGGCATTGACTGGTTTCTCCCCTTCTTCAGTCTCTCTCAGTACAGCGACGAGAACATGATGGACCCGTACAATCTGGCCATTTGCTTCGGGCCGACCCTGATGCCCACTCCAGAGTGCCAGGACCAGGTCTCGTGCCAGGCCCATGTGAACGAGATCATCAAGACCATCATCATCCACAATGAAACCATCTTCCCAGACGCCAAAGAGTTGGACGGACCCATTTATGAGAAGTGCATGGCGGGCGGAGACTATTGGTGAGAAAATATTGGAATAATTCACAGTTGGAATTGACTAAAAATCACTAATGATTCATTGGAGCCGATGACAGCTAAGGGTGGAACTGTGTTTTTAGACTAGGGGTCGCTAACGTTTTTCGATTGGAGCTACTTTTGTAAAACAGAACTTCTCCTTTAGCAGTTGTAATAAAATTGTAGTCTATAATAACTACAATAATAACCCAATTTACTTCTGTATTTCAATTTACAATGTGAAAATAGCATGACAGTCTGAGATATTTATATACTTGTAATAATAATTAGAATATATTCAAATTGGACTGTAAACACAATCATCAAAATGACATATGTCTTCGTGCATGTAAGGCAAGACAAGGCAAGTTTATCTGTATAGCACAGTTGATACACAAGGCAACTCAAAAGTGCTGAACAAAACAAGATAGAAACAACCGCACAAGGCAATATTCACTGTAAGTAAGTAAAGTTTATTTGTAGAGCGCATTTCACAGACCAGGATCACAAAGAGCTTCACACATTAAAAAACATAAAATACACAAACAAGTCAGATTTAAAAACCAGAAAAAACACAGTTCAGAGGCCTATGAGCAGTGAGGCGAGAAGGCCCGTCTGAACACATGGGACTTAAGTTGGGACTTAAAATCATCGACAGTCTCTAAGATGCGCAGAGACTGAGGGAGCTCATTCCAAATGTGAGGAGCAACTGCCTGGAAGGATCTGTCTCCTCTGGTTTTAAAGCGAGTGAGCGGGACCATCAACAGGTTCTGAGCGGGGGACCTCAGGCTCCTGTTGGAGACATAGGGCTGGACATAGGTGCCTGACGATGAAGAGCCCTGAATGTCAGCACTAGAATTTTAAAATTGATTCTGTGTACATTAAAAAGAGTAAAGATTAAATGAACATGGTCAGTGAAGAAGCCTGTCTCACTTTTTCAGGAAGACTGCATAAATCTGAAATGCTGCCTCCTCACGTTTAGTTCTGACTCTGGGCAGCAGCAGGAGGCCAGTCCCTGTGCTCCTTAAGAGTCCCAGATCGTTGTAATAAGTCTCTTTTGAAATCTATTTAGAGGAGTCTGTGTTGAATTGAAAAAAAATAGACTTGTTTTTGGGGTTCTGAGTCCGACCCGTGTGCACCTGGATCGTGCTCTATAGAGTCGTCCGTGGCGGAAGGATACGACTCTGTAAACGTACGTCTCTGGAATGACTTCACACTGTCCTCTTTATCTGCGAGAGACAGAATGAAACAATCACAGTAATGACCGCAAATTACAGCAGGAGGAAACAGGAGAAGGCACCGGGTTAGCACAGGGCCGAGGAGGAGGTGCACTGGTGCGGTCATGTGGACTAAACCCAGAGCTTGTTGTACCTCCACTACATTATCACCCACTTTGTGTTAGCAGCAGCTCACGGCTCTACCTCTAATTAAAGCTAATGATTCCGAATGTCCATGTCTGGTCGGGTAAAGAAAAAAACGGACGGAGACACTTGTAACCCGGGGCAACAATAGATAATAAGCATAATACTGGATAAATAATGGTATTTTTTAACAGAAAGCAAAGTCTTTTTTTAATGTTTAGGCTTATCATTTCTCTACCGGTTCATTTTGACAATTTTTGTTTGTCGGGCATTTTAAGATGACATAAGACCTTTTATTTGTCCCACGGTGGGACATGTACAGTAGAGAAGGAGAATGATTTGTCAGCCGTCACGTTCCCACTGTTTGGCCTTTGCGTGGAGCTGAGCTGAACTGAGCTGATGACAGTCCTGTTGTGTCCACAGCGAGAGTCCGTTCAGCGAACACGGAGCTCTGGAGGAGGTGGAGAACGAGGGAGGGACCGAGGCGCACACCAGCGAGGACGGTCAGTGCAGACTCACTTTCAAGTCTCTTTCAATGGATTGTGTTTTGTCCTAAGTCACAACAGAAGTCAAATTTGTTGATTTTTGCCAGCAGCAAATTATGGACCTGAGAGAGAGACCAGAGAGAGAGACCAGAGAGAGAGACTAGAAAGAGAGACACCAGAGAGACAGACCAGAGAGACAGACCAGAGAGACAGACCAGTAAGAGAGACCAGAGAGAGAGATTAGAGAGAGAGAGAGATTAGAGAGAGGGAGACTAGAGAGACCAGTAAGAGAGACCAGAGAGAGATTAGATAGACTAGAGAGAGACCAGAGAGAGAGAGACCAGAGAGAGAGACTAGAGAGAGATTAGATAGACTAGAGAGAGACCAGAGAGAGAGAGACAAGAGAGAGAGACTAGAGCGAGAGAGACCAGAGAGAGAGACTAGAGAGAGAGAGACTAGAGAGAGAGAGACCAGAGAGGGAGACTAGAGAGAGAGACCAGTAAGAGAGACCAGAGAGAGAGATTAGAGAGAGATTAGAGAGAGAGACAGACCAGAGAGAGAGACCAGTAAGAGAGACCAGAGAGAGATTAGAGAGAGACCAGAGAGAGAGACCAGAGAGAGAGACTAGAGAGATAGAGACTAGAGAGAGAGACTAGAGAGAGAGACTAGAGCGAGAGAGACCAGAGAGAGAGACTAGAGAGAGAGACTAGAGAGAGAGAGACCAGAGAGAGAGACCAGAGAGAGAGACCAGAGAGAGAGACCAGAGAGAGAGACCAGAGAGGGAGACCAGAGAGGGAGACTAGAGAGGGAGACTAGAGAGGGAGACTAGAGAGAGAGATTAGAGAGAGAGAGACCAGAGAGAGAAATTAGAGAGAGAGAGAAAGAGAGAGGGAGACTAGAGAGAGAGACCAGTAAGAGAGACCAGAGAGAGAGATTATAGAGACTAGAGAGAGAGACTAGAGAGAGAGAGACTAGAGAGAGAGACACCAGAGAGGGAGACTAGAGAGGGAGACTAGAGAGAGAGACAGACCAGAGAGACAGACCAGAGAGAGAGACCAGTAAGAGAGACCAGAGAGAGATTAGAGAGACTAGAGAGAGACCAGAGAGAGAGACCAGAGAGAGAGACCAGAGAGAGAGACTAGAGAGAGAGAGACTAGAGAGAGAGACTAGAGAGAGAGAGACCAGAGAGAGAGACCAGAGAGAGAGACCAGACAGAGAGACCAGAGAGGGAGACCAGAGAGGGAGACCAGAGAGGGAGACCAGAGAGGGAGACCAGAGAGCGAGACCAGAGAGGGAGACCAGAGAGAGAGACTAGAGAGGGAGACCAGAGAGGGAGACTAGAGAGGGAGACCAGAGAGGGAGACTAGAGAGGGAGACTAGAGAGGGAGACTAGAGAGGGAGACTAGAGAGAGAGACTAGAGAGAGAGATTAGAGAGGGAGACTAGAGAGAGAGATTAGAGAGAGAGACAGACCAGAGAGAGAGACCAGAAAGAGAAAAAGAGAGAGGGAGACTAGAGAGAGAGACTAGTAAGAGAGACCAGAGAGAGAGATTATAGAGACTAGAGAGAGAGACTAGAGAGAGAGACCAGAGAGAGAGATTAGAGAGAGAGACAGACCAGAGAGAGAGACCAGTAAGAGAGACCAGAGAGAGAGATTAGAGAGAGAGAGAGACTAGAGAGAGAAAGAGAGAGGGAGACTAGAGAGACCAGTAAGAAAGACCAGTAAGAGAGACCAGAGAGAGAGATTAGAGAGACTAGAGAGAGACCAGAGAGAGAGACTAGAGAGAGACTAGAGAGAGAGAGACTAGAGAGGGAGAGACTAGAGAGGGAGACCAGAGAGAGAGACTAGAGAGGGAGACCAGAGAGAGAGACTAGAGAGGGAGACCAGAGAGAGAGACTAGAGAGAGAGAGACTAGAGAGAGAGAGACCAGAGAGAGAGACTAGAGAGAGAGACCAGAGAGAGAGATTAGAGAGAGAGACCAGAGAGAGAGACCAGAGAGAGAGACCAGAGAGAGAGACTAGAGAGAGAGACCAGAGAGAGAGATTAGAGAGAGACCAGAGAGAGAGACCAGAGAGAGAGAGAGACTAGAGAGAGAGAGAGAAAGAGAGAGGGAGACCAGACAGAGACCAGATCGAGAGAGAGAGAGAGACCAAAAAGAGAATCCAACAGTCTGAGTTCCTGCTCCCAATGGCCCAATGGCACTTATGTGTTTGCTCTTATCCACTCTCTGTGTTGGGGTGATTTAAATGGTTTTGTTAAGTCTCTGAGATGATGCTGCTGTGATTTAGGGCTATACAAGAATAAATTATATTGTATTGTGTACTTCCTGTGTCATTTCCTGTGTTGTAACGATTGGTTTCTCACATCTGTTGTTGATGAATTGCCGAACTTTGTAAAGTCCTCCAAAACAACTGCTGTGGTGATTTAGGCCAAAAATATATTGATTTAAATATGTCACTTTGTATAAAATATTGGTTGACTTACAGAAGTTTTGAACAATATTCTCGTTTTGTTTCTCTGTGTTTTTTCTGTGTACGTTCTGAATCCTGCCGCTAACATCAAGTCGGCTCCGGAGTCTCTGGTTTCGGCGCAGGAAGGGTTAAGCTCCTTTAGCGCAGGGAGGCTAATCCTGCTTCTGAGCCTGTAAAAAGCAGTTACCTTGAAGGCGCAGAGAATGTGATGGACGGCCATTCATATTCTAATCCACATACCTCCTCCCAGGGCCCCCCGGCGAGCACATTCCTCATATAGAAATACCAGGCCAGTCCAAACCAACTGGAATCCGGTCTCAGAAAATACCATTTGTATCAGATTTAAGTTTAAGTTCCATTCTATGCTCAAGAATAGTTAATATGCAACAATCCTACGTCAATATGTCTGGGTTGATTCTGTCTGGAGATGACTTTTCCATTTGCTGGGAGAGAAATGGGGCGAATATAACCAGGGCCTGGGGACGTTTGTGGTTCTCTTTTTAAGGTAGTGTGATCATATATTTGTTCATAACAGTGAGTCCGGTCCAACTCAAACATTAAAGATGTTGAAGTGAGAGCTGATGGAGGCAGACGTCACTGCATGGAGTTAGTCAAAGTGCAGGAAATAAGACAAATGTTTCTTGCTTGGTTAAAAAAAAAAAAATGTCAGGATGAATCTGGGGATTGTATAGTATCAAACTTAATAATAATGCATCGGTTTTATATAGCGCTTTTTTGGGACGCTCAAAGACGCTACATGTCATTATTCAGTCACTCCATACACAGTGGTGATAGACCACAGCTGCCCTGGGGCACACTGACAGAAGCGAGGCAACCAGTCTGTGCCATCGGCCCCTCCCACCACCACCAACCATTCACACACACACCAGACTCATTCTAGGCAATGGGGGTGAAGTGTCTTGCAGTTTGGCACTTTACAGCCGCAGCCGCCCCACTGTGGCACCTGGTGTTCCCAGAGGTTAAGTATCTTGCCCAAGGACACAACAACAGCAGACAGTGGGAGTCTTGAGGTGGGCTCGAACCCACAACCTTCTGGCTTCCAGCTGAGCTACTGTCGCCTCTAAACTTAAACACGAAAAGACAAAAATACAAAATGGTAATGCGCAGTGCTGGAAAGAGATTTTGAACTGGTAAAGAAAGGTGGGACGGGACGTTTGAGAATTCTGGAGACGCCGCTTGAGTTATAAGTGCTAAAATGTATGTAAACAGTGTGTTTCTATGGTAACTAGCACCAGCACTGGTGGAAAAACACTGCTCTGGGAGTTGATCATAATTACATAGAAATAAACTAAATATAGTTCTATTTTGTGTTCTATATTTCGTCCTGTCTGTGCGCTGCAACAGTGACATTTCTCCACTGTGCGACAAACAAAGGTTGTCTTCTCTTCTCTTTATCTTAAACAAAGATCAAGTAAAAGTCACAAACATGTAGATTAACATTCTACATGTCAGGAGGAATTACACTTCCAAAAGCCGTCAAATTGACTGCTGTGGGAGCTTCTCAGTGTCTGTCTCACATCAATATAAACCTGTACTTTCAGAGTGTCCTGTTGCAGCTCCCACAATGCATTGTAAATCCATATTCTGGCAAATTCACAGAAAGGGCATCAGAGCTCACGGGGACATTGATTCTTTCTCATTGCTCCATGTGTACAGCACGGCCTCTCATATTGGATTGCACATGTCAAAGGTCAAAGAGCAGTGCATCTGACTGGACTGAGCGGGTTATGTTTTCACCATAGTCTGTGTATTAGGAGCCCGAGGGATAGATTCAGATACTACTTAGCTAATTTGGTAATCGTCCTGGGTTTTTTTTTTTTGCATACATGAGTCAACATTAAATTTAAATCACTCACACAACATAAATATAGAAACAAAACATTTTATCTACCAAGTTATAACATAATTAGAACATTAACTCATTGACTGCCATTGACATATTTGCCTGTGACCCTCTATTCGGCTGGGGATTACAGGACAACAAAAATAGCTAGAAACAAACTTATTTTTGCCGTTGAAAGTAGACAATCCAGTCTTTCAAAATCTGATTTCATATTTCACATAGTCCCAGGACATAATATTCTGCAGGTCTTGAGTATCAGTGAAATCATCAAAAACGGCAGGCATTCACTGAATTAAGCTAGCTGGAGAAAATGTTCGTTTCCAAAGAAAGTTTAGCTTTGCGCCGTAGCAGGGGAAGACATGTTGCTAACACGGTTGCTACGACGAGCTGGATCAATCCTTATATGGTTCATATCTGGATTTACAACGACAATGTCAACATCATAGAGAGCGTTAAATTGAATACCACGGATCTTCAAGCCCAAAATAGTGAGTAACAGTAACACAAACTGATACTACCAATAAGAAACCTCATTGGATGGATTATTTTGGATTCATTTTTCTTTCTAGAATGGAAAAGCATATCCAGGAAAATATTACACTGTTGTCATTTGTGAAGATCTGCAAAATACTCTTAACTTGCCCCAGGTTCAAAAACGTCTTCAGAATCACGCAGGTGTATTTGTAGCTAGTAATTTTCAAATGTAGAACACAACATTTATCTCATGACAACGTAAATACTCATTTTTAATTGACAAAAGATAATGCACGTTTCCTTCTTTAACTCATTGTATCCCATTCACGCACAAATACGTCAAAGCAAATAGTAACGTCGTGTGCCATTGACGCATTAATACGTCAAATGCCCTTTTTCGCTATTTTCACGTTCCCAGATGTCTATTGTATCTAATATGTATGGGGATGACTTGAGACCATATTTTATCGAGCCAGCAGGTGGCAGCATTTCTCTCTGAATGGTTTGAAAACAGTTAGGTGCACATGTTGTGCCTCTTTTTTCTCAACTTTCTGGTGATTTCAATAAAACTTCCCTCTACTCGACGGAGGATTACAGGGGAACGAAAAAAGCTATAAACATTTCAGATAGTCATAGTACACAATATTCTGTGGGTCTTGAAAAATCAGTAAAAATCATCAGAAATGGCTGGCACTGTGGGAGTACCTGTTCTGAAATAGGCTGGCATTCAATGAGTTAAGCATGCTCCAGCACTTTTATCATGTGTCTCATAATCGTAAAGAAATACTGTTGAAAAAAAAAGGACGTTTTCCCATTTCACACATTTGCTCTGGTCGATGTTTTTCACCTCGTGCAGCGGCGACTCCTCTCCGACTGCGCTCCGTCGACCTGTGCATGACATCTGACAGTTTGACCCTCGCACAAAGGGCCTTCAGCTGCTTCAGGGGCTTCTCCCAACAATAAAACTGTGTGCGATGCGTCGGCTCGGTGCTTCTCCGGTTCTAATTGTACATCAAATTTGAAGGAATCTTTTTGTCTCTCTCTCTCTCTCTCTCTCAGCCACGTAACTGCAGCGTGTTGAGAACTACTGGGAATAGGGTGAAATCGGCAAGAGGTGTTGCAAAAAAGAGTGAGAATGCTGCAAAAAGTGATGAAAATTATGTAAAAACTTTCTCAAATTTGGCAAAATGTATCTTAACTTGAGCACATTCTGACTGTCTTAAAGCAAGATTTGCAAATGAGACAAAGCAAAATGATATTGTTTTAAAGAGACGCAAGAAATGTCTCCCTTGGAATTGGAAAACAAAGTAACAGTTCTTGAAATAAGGCAAATGTTTAGTCAAAAATGAAGATGAAAACCACTCGATTCAAGTAATCCATCCATCCATTTTCTTCCCCTTAATCCATTTCTGGGTCGGGGGGTGGCAGTCAGAGCTGCACCCAGTCACAGAGCACCAGCCCCTCACTGATCCTCCTGCAGGTGCTGAGATCTTTCAGTGGGGCTTCAGGCAAAGTGGGGTTAAGTGTCTTGCCCAAGGACACAACCACAGCAGTCATCAGTGGGAGTCGTAAAGTAGGTCTCGTGGTGGGCTCGAACCCACGACCTTCAGGCCCAAATTCCACTGCTCTACAAACTGAGCCAATGTCGCCCCAATTTAAGCAATTCTTACCTCATATTCAAAATCCTTTATTCGTCCCAGTGAGGAAATTTCAGTGTTGTATCAGCAGTTACAGAACAGTAGGAAGTGAACAAAACTCTATACTAAAAGAAAGTAAAAGCAAAGTGTAAAATTTCTAATAAAGAGCTTTAGCGTTATACAGAAGCAGGTGTAAAATCTCCAACTGTGATAAAGAACCAATTATAGCATCTTTAACTTTAGAATAACAAAAAAAGCTAGAATAAAACCTCTAGCTTTAGCATAATCAAAAAGCGTAAAATCTTTGACTTCATCTCTGAATTAGTCTTGTCACGTGTCATTGTGTGCGTGTCACTTTCACCTGTCTGTCAGAACAAGCAACGAAGAAATGAAATGATAATAAAAATATGTTTGGGTCTCGTCACAGACATCACGCTTGCTTTTTTGCAGCACGACACGGTTCCACCATTTACTCTATTCTCTGTGATATGGAGGCTGTAAAGCACGACCGGCCTGTCCAGAGACCCCCTGTCTGAGGAGAGGGGGGGGGGAGGAGGGGGGAGGAGGGCAGAGGCAGGAGTGGGAGAAATAAAAAATAAATTTTTAGCCTCGCGCCTTGTGTCTTGAATACATATTAGCTTTGGCTTTTTATAGAACTGTCGAAACCTGCTGCTTGAGTCAGCTTATGTGACCAGGTATAAAGCTTAGTCATTTCATTTGAGTTAAAATCAGGGTTACCATCTATGACCTGATGCAACTAAAAAAACTACCTTGTTTTAAAAGAGTTTGGTTCTATCTCTAGTTTTGTCTCGCTCATATCCTCACTTAGTCAATTAGCTCCCGGCCCAAAGAGACCAATAGTGACTCTCAGGGCTGTTTCTTATATATTACATATGTTTATGTAAGTATGTAAAAGATACTATTTGACTTACTAACATTTTACTTTTTACAAGACCCTCTCAGGAGAATCTACTGAATTATTTATGAAGTAAGACACCCCAGATTCATCCATTCATAGTTAGCTGCAAACTAAAGTTGATCTCTGGTTCTTTGGCCTCTTACAAATGTTTTTCAGAGCTGCAGAGGATTAGTCGGTGCATTTATTGCTGTTGCTCTGACTGCAATCGTCGCATCTATACATCGATTATTTTAACGATGTATTTTTTAACGCACCACACAGCAAGCATATACAACGCAAATTTTCCTACATTTCCATTGGTCAGGGATGTTGGGAGTGGGGCGGGTTGAGTGGGGGCTATTACCTTCTCTCGACTGGCTCATTCTACCCACTGTTTTTAATGCACTGCACTATGTAGGGTCTACATACATAACCATGTTAACATTAAATAAACAGCTTTGGGTAAAAATGGCAGTGACAACAAGACCTAAGAACATCATTGGTGCTAAATCAGAATTTAAAATTACTATTCATGGAGACGAGTGTAAATTGTATATCTGAGAGAAATATGCCTGTATATCATTTGAACTCCTGTAAAGAGAAAAGTTTGTAACAAGGGGTAGGAAGCATAAGTTTCACTTCTACCTACTCCTTTTCGAATTGTGCATATATATGTTTATATGTTTCTTCTTTTGTTTTTGTTTTTGTTTTTTTGTATTGCGCATGTAATTCGAAATAAACACACTACTACTACTACTACTACTACATCGAACTGCAGTTGGGTCATATAGATCTGCTCTCACCAGCTCCTATAAATATTCTGCTAATCTCCTGTGGCTTTGGTCAATGTCCACACACACACACACACACACACACACACACACACACACACACACACACACACACACACACACACACACACACACACACACACACACACACGCACACGCACACCAGACTCAGTCCATGTGTAGCCACTGGGTAACTACTATTGACTCCTACTAGATTAAGCTGCTGGCTAATTGCGAGTAACAACACACACTTGAATTACAAACATAGTCAGGTCAAAATGAAGGTCAAAAGTGAACTGTATCAGATTTCATTTTTAAATACGAAGGGTAATAGTGTGTTTGTTGATGTCTTTTGGCCGTCTGACATGTCTGACCTGGTAATCCTTTCACTGTGGACAGAGGGGGAGCCCATTGAAGCCATCGCCAAGTTTGACTACGCCGGGCGCTCGTCACGGGAGCTGTCGTTCAAGAAGGGGGCCTCTCTCCTGCTTTACCAGCGGGCCTCTGAGGACTGGTGGGAGGGACGGCACAACGGCATCGACGGCCTGGTGCCACATCAGTATATCGTTGTACAGGACATGTGAGTATTAACCATGAACCGCCGAAACCACAATAAGATGGATCTTTGGGAGAAAATCCAAAGTTCAAAACAGTTTTCTTCTATCGCTAGTTTTCAGACAGAAAACAGAGGATCATTCTCACTAAGCTCAACCCAAACAGTCAAATAGTGACTCACAGGGCACTTACTTATTACGCAAAACATGCAGTCAGAGAAAGCGATTCTGATAAGAGAAAAGGGGATTTGGAAAGTGATAAACGTACGCCTTAACTTTTGTGTTAAAAAATGACCTATTTACATATACTTAAATGACATAAATACATATACAGTGTTGAAATAATATAAAACTGTATATATTTAAATAAGAAATATAGTTAGGTGCCCCAGCTTTAAGGATTGCCTAGTTTTATTTGTTATGCTCCGGGCCAATATCTTCTAATTATATACAGTCAAGTTTTGCTTCAATCTGCTTCAAGTCTGACCGTGTTAGAAGTGGTCAATAGCTCTCATCCCATTCTTTAAAACCTCATTACTCTGTTTATCCTTCAAAATATTTAAGAGTTTTTTTTTGTCTTGTTTTAAATTCAAGTTAGAAGCTGCTTCGTGCTCCGTGTTGCTGCGCACAGAATACTAAAGAGCGGAGGTCACCTTTACCAACTCCAACACTTGTTCTCGATGCAGACTTTAGGTCGGAGCGAAGTATTAACATCTATAATAAATATATAAAGTCCAGTGTCAGCACGTTCTGAGTATTGCAGTTGGTCCGCGCTGCCTTTGGTAAATGTTTTATTGTAAGGTATTCCCACCTCGTTAAATACAGATTTACCCAAGAAGGTTTTCCTCAACCGTTTGGTGGATCACTTTTTCTGTCACGATACAGAATCTGCTTAAAGCTTGGAACTGAAATCTACCTCATTGTTGCATCTCTATCACTTGGTTTTAGACTTTTACCATCAAACTGCATCTCAACCCTTCGGTAAAGAAAACTAGGGGCTCAAAAAGAAAAAAACAAACATTTGTGTTGTTAGTTTTTCTACATGGACATTAAAGGGTTAAAACAATCCATTAGCTTCAAGGTACCCATGAGTAGAACCAGAGCAGGAACCAGAGTGGGAACCAGGAGCTTGAGGAGGCGCTGGGGAGGCTGTGGGTGTTAAGAGCCTCAGGAAGTGCTGTTTATCAGGAAGTGGCTGCTTTTAAACTGCCCGCTTTGCTGTCAGTGGGTTGGCAAGAGGCTGGCCGGGCTGTGTGATTGGTGGAGGCTCGAGAGGCTGGCCGGGCTGTGTGATTGGTGGAGGCTCGAGAGGCTGGCCGGGCTGTGTGATTGGTGGAGGCTTGAGGCTGGTAGAGCTGTGTGATTGGTGGAGGCTCGAGAGGCTGGCAGAGCTGTGTGATTGGCTGAGGCTCGAGAGGCTGGCAAAGCTCTGTGATTGGTGGAGGCTTGAGGCTGGTAGAGCTGTGTGATTGGCTGGCTCTGGACAGTTGGAAGTTGTGGCCGGTCTTCCAGTGTGAATTTGCGCTTCAGCTTCATTTGTATTGAGACAAAAACAGGCCCCTTCCCTCACCGGTGTCTCCCTTCTGTTTGATTACATACAGTTCCCTTTTATATATTTTGAAATGTAAATGATGAGATAAATCTGACGTACATCAATACCTAGTCACCATTCCCTGTAGTCTCCAGGGTCCTTAACCTGCTTCCTGTCACCGTCTCTGGCCCCTGGCCCTAACAAGCCGTGCACTGACTGTTGCTGCTTAATGGACTGGATTTACCGTCTCGTTAGAACAAGAAAAGAACTACTCCAATCACTTAGGCGCTGGCCCTGACAAAATGCTCATTTACAGTGGCTTCTTGTGCCGCTTTCTCCCCTTTCCCTCTGCCTCGGTCCGATCGCTTGCTTCTTCTATCAATAATTCACCGGCGGGATCTCAGCTGATGGGATGTCGTCTTTGCTAATGAAATAGACGCAGAATTTACAGCTGTCACGGTCGCCTCTCCGAGCTCTGGGACACGGTGCTCGCTGCTGAGAAAAAAAAAGGGGGAAGAGCGAGAAGGGAGCAAAGGTCTTCTTCAAACCCCATAAAATAGTCCAGAATTAAACATGTAGAGAGGCTGCGTGAGCACAGGAAGTCCGCTCTCAGGCAGCAGACTCTCTGGTGGCTGGTTAAGTGCCCGTCGTTGCACATTGGGTCTGTGAGCATTAGTCAGCAGATTTGAGAAAGTACCGACCGTGTCTTAAACCTCGAGACGTAAATGCATTATTCTCATTGTCGTTTCAGTCAGATGTGGGATTGAATGGAGGCAGATTGGACTTTCCCATTTGGGGGAACAATAATGATAATAATACCATGAAGGACCATCTGCAATTCAACTCAATTCAATGTATTTTTGTGTAGCCCTAAATCTCAAAGGACTTTACAAAGCTGTCGATTCGCCAACACAGATCAGAGAATCAAACCGTGATAAAAAAATGATAACAAACACATAGAGCCATTGGTCCGTCTGCAGAACTTCATACATGCACAGACAAAGTCCTTCTATTGTTGTGAGCAATCTTTCTAAGTGAAATAACTCATTTATTGATGAATGTAATATATTTTGTAATGTTTTGAGGACCTGTTCAAAAGTCTTTTAATCTGTATTGAATTCTTAATCCTTTTCACCTCGATAATCAAAGTAGATGTGTAGAAAACTCCACATCATAGGGAAAGATAAATATATAACAATTTAAAGGTTTATGTTTGAAATAAAGTTGTGGAAATTATTTTGGGAAATTTGAGAAAATTACTTGCAGAAAAAAAAAGAAAATCCTTTGCATTTCAGAATATGCAAGAGATAATATTATCCATATTTCCTTGACAAAGAAGAGGATTTTAGCTACGATTCAAGTGAAATTGTGAAAAAACCCAAGTCCATTTCTTTCTGCAACTTTAAATATGTCGAGCCTTTCAGTATGATTTTTAAGATTATGGATTACAGGCTATTTTCTAATTCAGGTTTTTACAAGCTGTGAGCCATAATTATTAACATTATAACAAATACAGTCTTGATATATCTCACTTTGGGAAGTAAAGTGAGTACATTGACTTTCACCTGTTCTGAGATGTCTCTATGAAACGACTATATTTGGTCTTGTGAAATTGCGATCGGACTGAGACTGATCTTTCAGCCCCAGCAGTATACAACATAACTTCATACAGTAATCGTTCGTACGCATATGTGTCTGTCATACAACCCACGATTGAGCTCGGACCTCGAGACAAAACGCTGACCCAGGAGTAAAACGACACCAGGGCGCGTTCTGTGAAGACGGACTGATCTGCTGATTCTATCGTTTCATGTTCTTTCCTCTGCTCTGCCTCTCTCTCTCTCTCTCTCTCTCTCTCGGCGCCGTCACTGTCACCGTCCCAGAGATGACAACTTCTCGGACACCCTGAGCCAGAAGGCGGACAGCGAGGCGAGCAGTGGTCACGCCGGGGAGGACAAGTGCTCGGGGAAAGACCTGAACTCTCCCACCGACGCCCGGATCGCAGACGCCTACATCAGCAGGTCGGCCTCTTCAACACTGCTGCTGTATTCTGGCCACTTCCACACTCGCTTAGCTCCGGTTTGTTCGGGCTCATCCACCGTTCACGCCACACACAAAAGTCTTTTGAAGGAGGTGATGGTCGACCTGAGTTTGGTGAAAGTTCTAAAACTACAGATTGATCTCAGCCCTTTAACGGTTTAACGGTTTAACGGTTTGCTCAACTATTTGATGGATCCGTTTTTAACTGAACTGAATCTACCTCATGGGGGCTTCTCTAGCACTTGATTTTAGGCCCTTTAACCATCAAACTGCATGTCAATCATTTATTAAAGCCCTATAAAAAAAAAAAAACTAGGGTTTAAAAGAAAATCATTGTTATTAGTTAAACAAAATGAGATTGCTTTTTCCTAGGAGTTAACATTAAAGGGTTAACCCGTTATTATAATTACTAATAATAATGCATCGGTTTTATACAGCGCTTTTTTGGACACTCAAAGACGCTTCACGTGTCAATATTCATTCACTCCATACACGGTGGTGATAAACAAGTGTAGCCACAGCTGCCCTGGGGCACACTGACAGATGCAGGGCAACCAGTCTGTGCCATCGACCCCTCCGACCACCTCCAACCATTCACACACCAGACTCATTCTAGGCAATGGGGGTGAAGTGTCTTGCCTAAAGGTTCCAACTTCCCAGACAAAGAAGAATAAAGTAGCAAGAATAAAGTATAAATGATTATAAATGATTCTTCACTGGCAAAGGTTGGGAATACATATTTTGGTAGTGGATTTTCAGACTTCATAATAGAACAATTTTGTCACAATCTGTTATTATTCATTCAACATTTCAAAATACTAAATGTACGTATTCCACTACTCATGTGGGGGCGCTTGGGGGCAGCTTGGGGGCAGCTTGGGGGCAGCTTGGTGGCAATTGTATACAAGCGACCTATCGGGTAGTCGTTTCACAGAGGGGCATTTCAACTCTTTCTGGTTCCATCCTTCCTGACGTGGAGAAGAGTAGTAACGGGCCCGGAGCCAGCAGACGGAGGTGCGACTGGATCCGTGTGTGTCCTTGCAGCGTGTTCCCGTGTGACCCGCTGATGACTAAGCTCGGCTGCAACGACGCTTTGCAGGAGAATCAAATGTCGTCAAAGGAGACTGGGAACTGAACCGCAACCGAGCTGTCAATCAACCTGGTCATTTCAGAACATGTACAACACAGCTGTATCGAACAAAATGACATGTATGACTAAGGATTGGTTGGAAAAAGCAGGATAACAATGCATATTTGTCATTGTTAACTGGACTTACAGACTCTGAAATAGCAGTATTCTTGTTGTTAAAGCTGGGGTCCTGAACTTTCAAACCACATCCAACTATCCATCTACTGTATCTTCAGACTTTTCAGACTCTTTTTGTTGAGACAAACGACATGTGTTTTTTTAAAAGATACAAAACAATTCATTTCAATTGAATTCATATTTACATACTGTAGCCCTAACTCACAACAGTCAGTTTGCTGTCAATGGATCATAGAAAAAAACCTTTCGAAAACAGGAAAAGCAATAATAACAAACTCATAGGAGCCGTTGGTCCATGAGAAGCTCGACCAATGACCACTTTCCATAAATGTTAATCCACTTTCGTCAGTGTTGTGGATCGTCACTGTCCTTAGACCGTCCTGCATCAACAATGAAGCACTAAAAAAAAAAATCAGATTCAGTTTATTTTCCATTTGCAGTAAAAAAAAACGACATTGGAATACATTAGCAAAAAGTCTCCAGTGTGCACAGACAAATACAGACATAAAACAAGATTCAAAGACAGAAATAAAACAAATAAAACGGTAAACAAATGTCACTGTGAAATCGATCGACTAAAACAGTTTCAAAACAAGTGCAAATCATTAAAGTGCTCTGTTCACACTGATGACAGCCTGTGGATACAAACTGTTAGCGTAACGAGATGTCCTGCATCTCAGAGAGCGATATCTTCTGCCAGAGGGAAGAAGCTGGAACATGGCTTTTCCAGGGTGGCCAGAAGAGTCATTAACAATCCTAAGAGCTTTGTTTAAAAGTCTGGATTTATAAAGAACCTCCAGAAAAGTGAGAAACCGCAGACAGGCTATAGCCCCAGAACTGTAGGACGAGGACCGAGGACGGCGGCCCACGAGTCAGTATCCCAACTTTAACTTCTGTTGCTAAATAACCTCTAATATTGTGTGTTAAAAGTATTCGTTCGATCCATGTATTATAAATTAGATCAAATAATATGAACGTTATTGTCCCAAGGGAAATGTGCCGTGGGATACAGCGCTGCACCGATCTGCATGAATGAGGGGGAAAAATAAGGCGGCACGAAGTGAATGGAAGGTTCTGGGTTCGAATCCCGGTCGGAACGGGGCTTTTTTGAGTGGAGTTTGCATGTTCTCCCCGTGTCTGCGTAGGTTTCCTCCATGTACTCCGGTTTCCCCTACCACTAAAAACATGTGCAATAGTTCAGGGTGAATGAGTGTGTGTTTGTGAGTGCGAACGTGGGATTACAGATGCAAAATAGCCCGTGGCCATAATCCGGAATGATGTGTTCAATAACATGTACTGTCCCAACCAAATAAACAATAAATACAAAATAAATAAACAGGAAAGTAGTGCAGTAGTGCTTTGAAGCCTCCGTTTGCTCCAATTCTGCATCAATTACATTCACACTTTTGCTTTGTCGATTCTGGTGGAAGTTTACGAACCTCAAACTCTTCAAACTCCTTACTTTAGATGATTCACACTGAGTTTTTCTGCTGTGACTCATGTGATGCGCAGTCCCCAGTGCATGCTAATGAAGAGTTTATATATTCAGAGAGGCTGCGTTGCCGACGGTTACCTGTCAGCTGCTCCCAGGTGAAGGCCGCCTCCTCCCCCCGCGGTCCACGCCCTCCTCCCAGCGCTCAGTCCATCGCTGAATCATTCATGCCCCGGGCTATTTATGGGACTTTTCTTCCTGTACTTCTCTCTGTAAACAACACACGACCCAGAAGGCTTTGTGCTTAAAATCGCACTCGTATACCGACTTGGGGAAGGGTCCAGCTGCTTGGAGGGGTGTAGCATTAGCATAGCGGTAGAATCAGGGCGACACACGACATGTTCAATTCTATTAAATGTATTCTTGTGCAGCAGTAAATTACAGCAATCGTTTTCTGGGAGGACTTTACAAAACTGTGGATTTGCCAACACAGATCAGAGAATCAAACCGATTAAACACAAGAAATGCAATGATAAAATAAGTAAAATACTGCTTAAAATAAAAAAAAGATCTGAAAAAAGAACAAGGAAATGTGTCTTTTATATAAATATGATCCAAACGACTTGATTCTAGTATAAAAACTTAAAAACATACATTTAAAATATTATTTACTTATTTCTTAAACATTTTTGAGACATGTTTTCTTGAAATATAGCATAGCAAACTTATTTGCTCTAAACAAAGAAGTATTATTATCTTAAAACTAGTAAAATAATAAACTACATTCAAGCAAAAACACAAAAAACGTGCCTTTAAAAAGCATAATTTATGTTATTTTTTAGTAAATTAATATTACCAAGTTTTGACTTTTTTCAGTGTAGAGCCATTGGTCCATAACGAGATGATACAGTCCATCAATGTCTCTTTAAGTGTTTTTATAGATCAAAAATGTATGAAAAACCCTCTTTTCTTGCTGTGACTGGTCTGTTTGTGCCAATAAGATGAATACATAGAGGTTTCACAGGGTGCCTTCACAGTCTTAATAATGTTTCTTCTAAAACTGTGTGCACTGTTTAGTCATCCCAGAGGAGTATTTTATATTTGTAAACGGCTCCCTCTGCTGGAGAATGTGTTCTGGTGCAGGGAGTCTGTGCATCTCCCAAAGCATCACTTATGTATCTTTTGTTTATTAACCTGTTTGTCTGTTGTGTTTGTGATGTGTTTGTTTGTTTTTTATGGACTTCGAGTCTGATAAATAAAGATAATAATAATAATAATAACCAATGCCGTCAGAGGAGCGGTTTTAGCGTGTATGCTAATTTACACATGTAGGCCCTGAGAAAGTTGTTGTAAAAAAAACAAAAACATACAGGTTTAAATGTTTTTTGTTCATAAACATGAAACAAGATTTAGAAAAGATTCCACCGACCAAATATTCTAAAATATTCACATCATATAAAGATAAGATAAGAATTCCTTTATTCGTCCCAAAGTTTTATACTTTTTAGTAAAGTATAAAATCTTTAGCATTTCTGTACATGCTAGCACCGTGAGCGTATGGGAGATAGTGACACCTGTGGTTGTATATTGCACATTCTGACATGACTTAAATTGATTGCACAGATGCATGACTTATGAGGTCAGGTCGGCAGTGTTCGTTAATCCTCGTTGTTCGTTCTACAGTCTGACAGCAGCAGGGAAGGAAAGGAAATGGCAAACCGAGGACCTAGCAAGTTTAGATAACATGAGTTTGTTGTTGGCTGTACGATGAGAACTGCTGAGCCTGTACATGTCATTCATCTGTGAATACGTGAATACTGCAATCAAGTGCAATGTGCAATACTGCGATTTCAGAACGTCCACTGAATGTCACTTTATCTATCAATCAATCAATCAAATACTTTATTATCTCACAATGGAGAAATTCAGTTCGATGAATAAACATCAAGGCTGGCCGCGTACACTACTTTCATATTTCCGCGCTCCTTATGACAGTTATTCAACAGCAGAGAGCAAAACAAAACATTATCTACTTATCCTGCTCTATAAGTATATAAACTTGCACTACATAGAGAGAGATGTTTCAAAAGATTGATATTGAATTATTTACAGCTAGCGAAGAAACATAGCCGCTACTCATATTGTATATTCTGTGTGCTGATGTACCACTGTCCTGTCTGTGCGCTGCAACACTGAAATATCCCCACTGTGGGACGTATGAAGGATCTCTCATCTTATTTTATCTTGTTTGTTTTTGCAGCAGACACAGAAAGAGATCTGAGCCTCCATCGCGGCGGCCGCCTGTGCGCCCCACAGACGTCCTGTGTATGGTGCACCCCTCCCAGCCGGGGCACGCGGGACACGGCTGCACCCCTGACATGGGCTCCCCGGTCCTCAGCCACTTCAGCCCCCGCGACGTCCTGCGCAGTCGGAACCACCTCCCCGTGGACAGTCCGGAGCGGCGGCGACGCACCGGCCACGGCAGCCTCACCAACATCAGCCGTCACGAGTCCCTGAAGAAGATGGAGAGCCCCCCCATCCGCCGCTCCACCTCGTCCGGCCAGTACCCAGGCTTTTCAGACACGCACCATCACCACGGGGGCAAAGGCCTGGACCCGGAGACCATCGCTCAGGTCAGCGTGGGACGAGCGGCGCCCCGACCGCAGCTCCCTCCACCATCAAAGCCCTGCCCCGCCCTGTAAACACATAGTCAGTCCCTGTCTTCTGCTTCCTCTGGCTGCATCTGTGACTGTGCAAATACAACAATGAGCTTCACAGGCAGAGCGCAGGGAGCATGGCATAATATTGGGACTTGTAAAAGGCTATCTCAGCGTATTTGACTGAGTGGTTGTAATTTATATCAAAGTACATTGATTTAGCGTCTAATATATTATAACAGTGATCTAATATCAGTCGGAATAGTGCACTTCAAACTGCCAGCTGTCTGCCTGCCTATCAGGAGCATGCTAGGACCTTTAATCTTTCATTACCTTTATGTTCAAAGTGTGCAACCTTAAGACTGAATCATCAACAGTAGTCAATCTATTCTCTTTTATGTTTTTTTGCATGATGGGTGACTTCTCATTTCCTCATTACACTCTACAACAGGGGTCTCCAACCTTTTTCAATCGGAGAGCTACTTTTATAGAAACGAAGAGGCAGAGAGCTACTCCTGTTTGCAGTCGTAATAAAAATGTATCGAATAATTACGACGAAACACGGAGAACACGTGCAAAATACACCATAATACTGTATAACCCAATATTTATACTTAAAATAGATTTGTAAGGGCTCAAAAAGTATTTATTCAAGTGTATTTGTTAAATTCTAATTCCTTTGGCGAGCTACCTGTAAGGGGCTGGCGAGCTACTGGCTGGAGACCCCTGCTCTACAATTTGGTCTACAGTACTGCTAATTTTGCACATTTCATCTCTTGCTCTTTGCATGGTCTTTATTGCTCACGTTTTTTCTTATTTTCTCGTTAATTGCTCTTTCTTCCTTCCTCTCACTCACTGTGTAGGACATAGAGGAAACCATGAACACTGCCCTGAACGAGCTGCGTGAGCTGGAGAGGCAGAGTTCAGCCAAACACGCGCCCGACGTGGTGCTGGACACTCTGGAGCAGCGACAGAGCGGCGGCGGCGGCGGCGGTCTCTCTCACAGCTCCAGCGAGTCTCTAAGCCCCATCCACGGAGTCCTGCTGCGTCCCACCGCCCACACCGAGCCCCCCATCCGCCGCACCACCAGCTCCTCCAGCGACGCCATGAGCACGTTCAAGCCGGTGGTGACTCCGCGCATGGGAGTGCAGCTCAAGCCCCCTGCGCTCAGGCCCAAGCCCCTGGTCATGCCTAAGAACAACCAGCCTCCACAGGGGCCCGCCACTCCCACTCAGGACCCACTGGACAAGTCCTGCACCATGTAGCCACTTCACTGCAAAAAATGATAAAATATGAGGAAATAATTGCTTGAATCGAGCGTTTTTTAGCTTATTTGAGCACATTCTGATTGTCTTGAAACAGGATCTGCCAATGGGACAAAGTCAATGAGTCTTATTTCAAGAAATGTAGCTTTATTTTCTCATTCCAATGGAGACATTTCTTGTATCTTTTTAAAACAATATCATTTTGCTTTGTCCCATAGGCAGTCAAAATGTGCTCAAATTAAGATTCATTTTTGGTCAAATTTGAGCAATTTTTCTTCACTTTTTGCAGTGTTCAAACTCTCCTGTAAAGTAGTGCAATGCTTTAGAGAAACGTGAAATATGGTAACACATAGTAATAGTTCTGTGCAGGCTTTGACAGAGAAGGTCTGTGGACTCTTCCTGTTTAGAGACTGTGCACCTTCAGCTAAGTGTACTTGCAGAATGTTTGTTTTGGCTTTTTATTTTCCTTTCTGAAACAACAAATCACAAAGGCTTCCTTTAGCGAGTAAATTAAAACTACCACTCTAAGCTTTAGACCTTTTACATCGATTGTTTACCTATTAGTAAACTAGAACAATCTTGGTAGTTTTCAGATTATGTAAAATAATACTAAGGTGCTGCAACTCAATGGGAAAAAATAAGTTAGACTCATAATTTAAGGTACTTTGTTAATACATTTGAGGTACTGGTACCAAACCTTTTTTATTCACTTGTAAACATAGCATCTTTCCTCTAATGATATGAAATGTACAGAAATATCTATAAGAATAATCTGCTATTGCCTGGAATTGATTATAACTTACTGGGTAAAACCACTCAAAGAACATGTGTTTTCAGATCTTTCCTTGAATAGTAACAAATAATGCAAGATTAAACTTTGTAATATGTATTGTTATGATCGATCATCTCTTGCAGTATAATAATAGAGTATCACAAACCGTAGAAAGAGTATCTACTTTTCTGCCTTGCTTGGCTTTACCTGTCCAAAGACTAAACATGTGTTGTGTTTATAGACTCATGGCCTTCTCCTGCGCGAGAGCCCGTAGCCATGGACCTGATGACTGTTAGTGTAACTGCCTGTGCTAATACCGTTTGTTTTCACTGCCTCCTCACAGTCCTCTGTCATCTATTCAAAGCTATTTTATTTTTCTAATGCAATAGCAAGAGCCTCATCAAACAATGTGTGCCACAATTTCAAACGTCTGACTGTGATCCTGTAATCTCTGTGTTTGTGAAGCAACATTTCACAGCTGGTATCTTGAGTTTACACCATCAATGACTTGACATAATGTGTGAATAAAACTAAACTAACTTGTATTATTTTTCTATGATTATGCGATTTTTTGTGTAGAAAAATGTATAACTATTACCCAACAGTTGTAAATAGTGTGCTTGTCACTATGTAACATCACCAAAGTTGGACTCTTGGCGCCTGTAGGCAATAAGCTGCTGTGTGGTGTTCTGTACTTGTGAAAGTGCCTTTATCAAACATTAGAGGAACTCTGTGTTGTCAGATGCTGTGTCTAAAGAGAAAATATGAAGCAAAGTAATAATGCCATTCTACAGCTGACTCATCGTGACACTTCTCTGTAAATATCTGTATATAAGGCATGTAACATCATGTAGAGACCTTTGGGGACTTGTAGCTCAAAAGATGTCTTTCTAATAAAGGAAATAGTTTGTTGAAATGTTTAACACGTTTTATTTCTTGCCATCTGTCCATTTTCTTCCGCTTTATTTGTTGCTGGGTCGTGGAGGCAGCAGTCAAAGCAAAGAGACTTCACTATCCTCACATTTCCTCCAGTTCATCCGGGGGAATCCTGAGGCGTTTCCAGGTCGGCCGAGAGACCGTCCCTCCAGCGTGTCCTGGTGCTTCCCCTGGTCTCCTGGTGCTTCCCCTGGTCTCCTCCTGGTGCTTCCCCTGGTCTCCTGGTGCTTCCCCTGGTCTCCTCCTGGTGCTTCCCCTGGTCTCCTCCTGGTGCTTCCCCTGGTCTCCTCCTGGTGCTTCCCCTGGTCTCCTCCTGGTGCTTCCCCTAGTCTCCTCCTGGTGCTTCCCCTGGTCTCCTCCTGAGGCTTCCCCTGGTCTCCTCCTGGTGCTTCCCCTGGTTTCCTCCTGGTGCTTCCCCTGGTCTTCTCCTGAGGCTTCCCCTGGTCTCCTCCTGGTGCTTCCCCTGGTGTCCTGGTGCTTCCCCTGGTGCTTCCCCTGGTCTCCTCCTGGTGCTTCCCCTGATCTCCTGGTGCTTCCCCTGGTCTCTTCCTGGTGCTTCCCCTGGTCTCCTCCTGGTGCTTCCCCTGGTCTCCTCCTGGTGCTTCCGGTCTTCTTCTGAGGCTTCCCCTGGTCTCCTCCTGGTGCTTCCCCTGGTCTCCTCCTGGTGCTTCCCCTGGTCTCCTCCTGGTGCTTCCCCTAGTCTCCTCCTGGTGCTTCCCCTGGTCTCCTCCTGGTGCTTCCCCTGGTCTCCTCCTGGTGCTTCCCCTGGTCTCCTCCTGGTGCTTCCCCTAGTCTCCTCCTGGTGCTTCCCCTGGTCTCCTCCTGAGGCTTCCCCTGGTCTCCTCCTGGTGCTTCCCCTGGTTTCCTCCTGGTGCTTCCCCTGGTCTCCTCCTGGTGCTTCCCCTGGTCTTCTCCTGAGGCTTCCCCTGGTCTCCTCCTGGTGCTTCCCCTGGTGTCCTGGTGCTTCCCCTGGTGCTTCCCCTGGTCTCCTCCTGGTGCTTCCCCTGATCTCCTGGTGCTTCCCCTGGTCTCTTCCTGGTGCTTCCCCTGGTCTCCTCCTGGTGCTTCCCCTGGTCTCCTCCTGGTGCTTCCGGTCTTCTTCTGAGGCTTCCCCTGGTCTCCTCCTGGTGCTTCCCCTGGTCTCCTCCTGGTGCTTCCCCTGGTCTCCTCCTGGTGCTTCCCCTAGTCTCCTCCTGGTGCTTCCCCTGGTCTCCTCCTGGTGCTTCCCCTGGTCTCCTCCTGGTGCTTCCCCTGGTCTCCTCCTGAAGCTTCCCCTGGTCTCCTCCTGGTGCTTCCCCTGGTCTCCTCCTGGTGCTTCCCCTGGTCTCCTCCTGAAGCTTCCCCTGGTATCCTCCTGAAGCTTCCCCTGGTCTCCTCCTGGTGCTTCCCCTAGTCTCCTCCTGGTGCTTCCCCTGGTCTCCTCCTGGTGCTTCCCCTGGTCTCCTCCTGGTGCTTCCCCTGGTCTCCTCCTGAAGCTTCCCCTGGTCTCCTCCTGGTGCTTCCCCTGGTCTCCTCCTGGTGCTTCCCCTGGTCTCCTCCTGAAGCTTCCCCTGGTCTCCTCCTGGTGCTTCCCCTGGTCTCCTCCTGATGCTTCCCCTGGTCTCCTCCTGGTGCTTCCCCTGGTCTCCTCCTGGTCTCATCCTGATGCTTCCCCTGGTCTCCTCCTGGTCATGCTTGGAACACTAATCTGGGGAGTCATCCAAAACAGTTACCCAAGCCAACTGGCTCCTATAGTGACGTGGAGAAGCAGCAGCTCTACTCCGAGCTCCTCGCCACATCTCAGAGCACCCAGCCTCTGCACATTTCATACCATGCAGACACATAAAAAAAAAAAATAACTTACTGCTCTAGTGTTCCCCATCCTTTTGGAGCCGTGACACACCTTTTTCACTAAAAACTATCTCATGGCACACCACCAGCTGAAACTGAAACTGATGTTATTCTGCAGCATTTATTTTAAAAAAAATAATAGTAATTATCATTTAAAGTGTATCATGTAGAAAATCAGAAGTGCAAAGAAGTATTTCTAATCTTCTAATTGTTTCTTTTTTCACATTATATTGCCCAAAAAGGTGATATTGGATCATTTCCCAGGGCACACTAACGGTCCCGGAACACTGTATGAAAGACATGGAATGAGCTGCAAAAAAAACATCTGAAAATATGAAGAAGTCATTGAGAGTTGGATCTTTTTAATTTAATGTAAGATCTTTGCCTTGTCCGAGTCCGAATATGAGCCACAATTTATTTTGACTTTTTTGCTAATTCATTTATCTGTTTAACCCACACATAAACACACACTACCAGCTAAAATAAAATGGGGAAAATTATATCTCTAACACAAAAACACATCACCACTAGGCCACTTAAAAACGCTCACTTTTCATTATAAACTAATTCAATAATGAGATTTTCTTATGTTCTGCGATGTTCGGAAGTTTTAATGAGAAGTTGCGTTCCCCAGTCCTGGCTCTGGTCTCGGCGCTGTTCACGGCTCTGGTCTCGGCTCTGGTCTCGGCGCTGTTCACGGGAGTAAAAGTGGCGCTGTGTCTAGGCCAAGATTGACTGAATTTCAAGGCCATCTGAAAGAGACCAATGGAGTTTGTTGCACAGAATACCAACAAGGATAAAAAAGGGAGTGATGAGATAAGACCACCTCAGCGACCCCAGCTCTCCGCTCCCACGTGAGAATAGTTTGCTGCAGTTTCCGGTGCTTCTCCTTCATCAGCATGTACTCCGTGGTTCCAGGGGCCTCGTACTCTGAAATCTGCCGCTCCAGGTGGCCATTAAGAATCTGTTCTTTTAAACGCTCCTCCTCCGCTTTCTGTAGGCGCGCCTCCAACCGCGCCGCTTTTATCTCCTTCCCCTTGATCTCTTTGAGTAGATTTGATAATTCACTTGTGGCACTTTGCAGTTTCTCCTGTGTGGATGTGACGGTGTGTTATTAATAGAGTTTGGAATTATAAGAATAATATTGCGTTGGTTTTACACAGCGCTTTTTTTGGACTCACAAAACCATGTCATTATTCTTTCACTCTATACACGGTGGTGATAAACTACTGTAGCCACATCTGCCCTGGGGCACACTGTCAGAAGTGAGGCAACTAACATATGCCATCGGCCCCTCCGACCACCACCAACCATTCACACGCACACCAGACTAATTTTTAAGTAAATAAAAACAATGGAAAATACTTTATCAACTGAAAGACAACAAAATGGAAACAATATATATTTTGTCCACTACACTCAAAAGAACATATTTGAGGAAAAGGTCTACGTTTTTTGCCAAAAGACAGTATTAAGCTGCTTAGCAACCGTTGTCATGACCAAAGTGAAGACACACACACACAGAGGAGAAAAAGCAAAGTATGCCTAGATTTAACTCATGATTTTCTACTTCCGGGTGGATCATCAAAACTATTGGTTCGCCCAAATGTCAATCATTCTGGTGATACGTGCTCGACAAATAAGACCAGAGAGTTTGGTTCAAAAAGTGTTGAGGGCGACTCTTTCCTAAAAACCTTGAATTCAATATTCTGAAACACAATAGACGTTTATAAATAATGTCAAAATGCTGTCAGCAAACTTTGTACTCAATCTGTGGGTTACTATGGTGACGGTTGAGCGATATGGAACCATGGACTGTGAATATGAATGCCCTGTAATTTATCGTGACTTTAAGGCAGCAATAATCAAAGGTTTGCATCAGAATCCTCACTGACCCTGGAGTAAAATACAACAATAAAACTTGTAAATAGAGAGAATGACGTCAAACCTTGTAAGAACTCAGTGCATGTTGTGCTTTTATACTGTCGGCTCGAACTTCATCTAAATCCATATCACTGTGGTCCTCGTTCAAGTGTTGGTGGAACTCCTGAAAGAAAACACGTTTAAATCACTTAAGGAGGTCCACGAGAGGAAGGGCACAGGACTCTATGAAGAAGAGGAGGAGGAGGAGATTGGGAAGAGAAGGAGAGAGGAGGAGGGGGAGAGAAGAAGAAGATAAGGAAAAGGAAGAGAAGCAGTAGAGGGGAGGAGGGGGAAGAGAGGAGAGGTGAAGAGGAGGAAAAGGAGGAGGAAAGGAAGGGGAAGAGATGAGAAAGAGGGGAGGAGGGGGAAGAGGGGATGAGGAAGAGGAGGGGAGGAGGAGGAGAGAGGAGAGGACAAGTAGGAGGAGAGGATCGGGAAGAGGAGGAGAGAGGAGGAGGGGGAAGAGAAGAGGAGGAGGAGGGGGAGAGAAAGATGAGGAAAAGGAAGAGGAGCAGTAGAGGAGAGGAGAGGAGAAGAGGGGGGGAAAGGAGGAGGAAAAGGAAGTGGAGGAGAGTAGAAAGAGGGGAGGAGGAAAAGGAGAGGCGGAGGAGAGGATTGGGAAGAGAAGGAGAGAGGAGGAGGAGGGGGAGAGAAGGAGAAGAAGATGAGGAAAAGGAAGAGGAGCAGTAGAGGGGAGGAGGGAGAAGAGAAGAGAGGTGAAGAGGAGGGAAAGGCGGAGGAAAAGGAAAAGGAAGAGATGAGAAAGAGGGGAGGAGGAGGAGAGAGGAGAAGACAAGTAGAAGGAGAGGATTGGGAAGAGAAGGAGAGAGGAGGAGAGAGGAGGAGGGGGGAAGAGAAGAGGAGGAGGAGGGGGTGAGGAAGAGAAGGGGAAGAGGAGAAGAGGAAGATGAGGAAAAGGAAGAGGAGCAGTAGAGGAGAGGAGGGGGAAGGGAGGAGAGGAGAAGAGGGGGGGAAAGGAGGAGGAAAAGGAAGTGGAGGAGAGTAGAAAGAGAGGAGGAGGAAAAGGAGAGGCGGAGGAGAGGATTGGGAAGAGAAGAGAGGAGGGGGGAAGAGAAGGAGAAGAAGATGAGGAAAAGGAAGAGAAGTAGTAGAGGAGAGGAGGGGGAAGGGAGGAGAGGAGAAGAGGGGGGAAAGGAGGAGGAAAAGGAAGTGGAGGAGAGTAGAAAGAGAGGAGGAGGAAAAGGAGAGGCGGAGGAGAGGATTAGGAAGAGAAGGAGAGAGGAGAAGGGGGAAGAGAAGGAGAAGAAGATGAGGAAAAGGAAGAGGAGCAGTAGAGGGGAGGAGGGGGAAGAGAGGAGAGGTAAAGAGGGGGAAAAGGAGGAGGAAAGGGAAGAAGAAGAGATGAGAAAGAGGACAGGAGGAAAAGGGGAGGAGGAGGAGAGAGGAGAGAGGAGAGGACAAGTAGGAGAGGATTGGGAAGAGAAGGAGAGAGGAGGAGGGGGAGAGAAGGAGAAGAAGATGAGGAAAAGGAAGAGGAGCAGTAGAGGGGAGGAGGGGGGGAAGAGAAGGAAAAGGAAGAGGAGGAGAGGATTAGGAAGAGAAGGAGAGAGGAGGAGGGGGAAGAGAAGGAGAAGAAGATTAGGAAAAGGAAGAGGAGCAGTAGAGGGGAGGAGGGGGAAGAGAGGAGAGGTAAAGAGGGGGGAAATGAGGAGGAAAGGGAAGAAGAAGAGATGAGAAAGAGGGGAGGAGGAAGAGGGAGGAGGAGGGGGAAGAGGAAGAACCATTCCATGATAATGTAAATAACCATAAATGAAAGGTCAGAGTTCACCTCATGGTCGGCCTTGCCCAGGTCTGTTCTCTGTCGAAGCTGCTGCTGGAGCTTCTTCTCCTGAACTCGCAGGGACTGAGTCTTCAAACTGCACTTCTCCATTTGGTTTATCTATAAATAAATTAATTAATAACCAATTGGTGAAATCGCATGAATCAGCAGCTCTGTTAGATGAGGGCTGGAATTGACAATTATTGGACCAATGGCTCTATGTTTTATGAGTTAAAAAAAAGCTTATTTTGGTGTTTAGTCGCTCTTTAAGCAAAACTATATGGCCACGATTGATGGTTTAAAACTTGAAACATATTGCGATATTGTATGTTTGACCGTTTACTCATTTGCAAACTGGGAAAAACTGGAGGCTATAGCGTGTCATATGCATTTGAAGACAACACAAATAACAGCTCAGTGAGTTTAGTTTCACCTTGGACTTGTCTTTGATGAACCGCAGCACTTTCTCCGGGTCGTGTATGTCCAATCTGTTTTCCCTCAGAGGTTTGAGAAGCCTGCGTTCAACATCAACCTTCTCTTTCCTTATGTCTTCCAAACGCATTTCCGCCTCCTTCATTGAATCCTGCAAACAAGAAGATCCTAAACGACGTCCCGGCCCGAACGCTACGCAGACTATGAGTGTTGCTAAATGAGTGTGTTCACAGTAAAGTGACAATTGAAGTATCTGGACTTTAAAAGGTTATAACTTAAAAACTAAAATTACTTTCATAGATTGGAAAAAAGATTTCAAACACAGACACATTGAAGAGATAGTGTGGAAAAAATCAAAAGGAAAGATTGACATAAAAATGTTTAGCAACATTTTAAACGACCAAATTAGCCTCTGATTGGACCATTCTACTGTGACGCCAGTTACATAGAAAATAAAATGTCCTCAGTCTGAAAAAGCAGAAGATGAAATCCCACAATATTTACATGATTAACACAACAGAAGGAAATCACTTGATATAAAAAGGAATCATAAAAAAAAAAAACAACAAAAAATAATTAAATGACCCCTGAAAAATGAACTCTTTTCTCTAAAAATTAAACTTGAGGAAAACAAAAATCTGGTCTGTTTTCACATTTAATTGCTTGACAATATGAAAGTATCACTTTGCATCTACTTTGTGTAAAAAAATAGAATCTCTGAATCAAATGTGGACATCTGAAAATACCTATCAAACTTCCACAAAGCTCATTCCGTCAAATCATCACGTCCGTTACATAAAATAAACAGGGCCGCTATAGGAAACTTGTCTAATGTATAAAACAGTTATGTTCTAGCAACTTCTAATGGACAGAGGAGGTGCTTGGAAACATGAAAAACATAAAATATCTTCTGATTATTAAAATCTAATTTTTGGCCTTTTGTCACACTTTTGTGCCCTTTAGTGTGAACATGGCCAAATAGTCGTTTACCTTGAAGCTGTCATGGATTCTTTCATATTTCTGTCTGCTCCTCTCCTGCTCTCTTTCTGTCTCCATTAGTTCACTTTGAGCCACATAGCATTTTTGTTGTAAAGATAGTTGTTGTTCAGGTTGGGATTTTGACCTCCATCTTCTTCCCTGGTTGAGTAGAGAAAATATATGTATGTGTTTTTGTGTTAAGATATGAATGTAAAATGTACTTACCCCAGAGTTTGATTTCCGTTCTTGTGCAGAGATCAGTTCCTGAGGGTCTAAACGGCTGATGAACTGCTCATACATGTCATTCTCAGCCGACAGAGCAGCGTTCAGTCTTCTGTGGGGAAAAAAAGTGAATTGAACTACAAAACAAACTACTTCTAGAGGCTTGACCCGACAAAGTACTGTAAATATTTAGGCAATGGTTAAGTTGGTCAAATAATCGTATGGTCAACAAAGTGCTGGAAATACTCAAAGTTTGACGCAAAAAACATATCTGCCTTTTTATGAGTTTGTAATAACCATGACTGTAAATCAAAAATTGTTCAGTAATGACCTATTTTTTGTAACAAGAACTGTAGTTTATGCTTTTTTATATTTAAAACCTTTCTTTGTCAAAGCACTGATTTATGTAAAACAGCAAGAAGGTCCAGGGTTCGAATCCCGGTCGGAAAACAGGCTCTTTCTGAGTGGAGTTTGCATGTTCCCCCTGCACCTGCGTAGGTTTCCTCCGGGTGCTCCAGTTTCCCCTACCACTAAAAACATGCACAATAGGTAAAATCATCCAGTTCTGGTAGTCCTGACCAAGCCGAGCATCAACATCTGTAGATGGGTTCCCGGGCGCTGTTACTACGGTGACCACTGCTCCTGACAGAGGCCCTTGTGGCATCAGGATGGGTCAAATGCAGAGGAAAAATTGTCCTTCGGGGATAAATCAAGTGCACCTTTACCTTTACCTGTTCCAAACAAAGTATAGTAGAAGATCTTCTTAACATAATGCACCTTTAAAGTTAGCCTAGCCCCTAATATCTCATCCAAAGAAGAATGTTGTCTGGCTATCAAGGCAACATAAACTACGGTAAAACGTTACTAGTGTGATGCGTTTGCTTTTTGCTTCGGTTCATCTAAATAATGTTTTGCCTGTGTATAGCTGTGATGATCCGGGACATTTTAGGACATGTATGGTCATCCACTCCCTAAGGACCAATGTTCCAATCCTATATGTTTGTGATTACTGCATTTCCTGTGTTCTAACTGGTTGATTCTTTGATCTGTTGTTGAGAAATCGTCAACTCTGTAATGTCCTCCAAAATGACTGCTGTTGTAATGTAGGGCTTTACAAAAAAAGAAAACATTGAATTAAATAGCATTAAATGTCCCATCTACATTCGCTAAGCCTAAGCCACATGTCACGTCTGAGGAGGTGAGCCAACCCAATGTCAATGTTGGTTTTTGAGCATAAAATGTCAATAGATGTTTAGACATAAATATCATTTGGAGGTTCATTCCAGGCAAAGACAAAACATTTATCCAAAGCAGTAAGTCGGCAGCAAACCCAATCAAATAAGTTACACAGCACACATTTAACTTTAAGCTAGCTGCCACTTACACTAGCTAGGTCGTTAGCTAAGTTTTATGCTAAACCGTCTTTTTTTTTCTATTTTACAATTTCGTTCATGTAAAGATGTTTATTTTAGTTTACATAAGCTCTTCGACTCGGCTGTGCAGGTTCTTTTGTGCATCCTCAGTCTCTTCTTTTGCTCCAGTTTCGATCAGAGAAACTTCCTCCTCCATGTTGGTCGTTATGGTAAACAAAGCTCGCGCCCGTTGCTACCATGGTTGCTATGGCCAGTAGCGCCGCTGTGTGGTCAATAATATAATACATCCATGGGTTGAATGTCAGAATATTTTTTTTCTATTATATATAACAGGAAGTAATACACTGAGAATCTACTTTGGCCTATGGTGCAAACAACCGTGTTTGGAGAGAAAGAATGACATGTGAAGCGTCTTTGAGTGTCAAAAAAAGCGTGGCATAAAACCGATGCAGCATTATTATTATCAATATTATTATTATTATATTTATATTGTCCATGTTGTGCTCCCAGAAGCACTTCCTTTCATTATTCCAGCCCAGTGTTGCCAACTTAGCGACTTTGTCGCTAGATTTAGCGACTTTTCAGACCCCTATAGCGACTTTTTTTCAAAAAAGCGACTAGCGACAAATCTAGCGACTTTTTCTGGTGTTATTGGCGACTTATCTGGTGTTTTGGCGACTTATCTGGTGTTTTGGAGACTCGTGAAGCACGTATTGTTCTGCAGTCTCACAGTAGCCTTGCGCAGCAGTCCCAGCTACAGTCTATGGGCGGAGCAGAGAGAGAGAGAGGAGACTCAAAAGCACAGGGAGTTTTCAGGCTGCTAAAAACTTACCACCACCACACATCCAAAGCTCCCCGGCCAAAAATAAACCTAAGTAAACTCTGCCAGAGTGTGTCTTTTGGGTCACTTTGCCGGTCCCAAGCCCGGATAAAGGAGGAGGGTTGGTTGTAGAGCTAGAAATTTCACCCTACATAACAATCTTTTGATTACATTTGCTGTTATAACATTTAACAATACAGGACAAAACTGATGTGTGTAATGTGGATCTAGACAAAGCATTAAAATCATTAAATGTTGTTAATGTTGAAATTATTTTTGTACATTTGTAGTTCTAAACATATTTAGGGTGTTTTTACTCACTTTTGTCTCTCCCACGACCTTATTCCTCTCTCCTACAGCGTCCGTTACAGTTATTTGCAAATGGCAAATTATGCAAATTAGGCGATGACGTCATTTAGCGACTTCTAGCGACTTTTGGGACAGCCAATAGCTACTTTCCTTACTGAGGAGTTGGCAACACTGTTCCAGCCCCTCCTATAGGGCTGGAAAGCGGAAGGATGAGTTTCTGGGCTTTCAGAATTTGCGGTTGCAGTTTTATGAATCTGTATTTTCTTTGGTGTTTTTTTTTTTCATTTATGGCTAAGATTTTTTATAAATTCATTGTTCAAATCCTGTGTAATAACCAGGGCAGCTTGGACTTCAGGACCTTAAAAGAGCACATTTCTCAGCATTTCACCGTAGATGAGGAATTACTGCGATCGGTGTTGTTTGACGATGAGAAAATCCACATACAAGAAGGGACTGGAAAGATCAGCTCTGGCGAAATCAGCCTGGACAGTCTGATCATAGCCAAGACCAGTTTACGTCTGTGTCGGGACAAAACATGCAAAAGATGCGACAATTTACACCTGTGCAGACACTACGTATGCGGAAACTGCACTTTTGGGTAAGCTTTCTCTGGTGGCTATAAACTCAATCCTATTGTGGTTTATGCAAATAATAACGTTATTATTAATTACCCAAATTCATCAAGACGTGTGTTTTAATTTCAGAGATAAATGTAATCATTCTCACAGTGTGACGTCACCTCACAATGCCAGGATTTTGGCCAAACGTGAACTCGAAGATCTCACAGAAAACCAGCTGTTTCAACTTTTACTGCAGAATGACTACTTCATGCTTCCGCCAGTCAGTGCTTTAATCATTAACACTAGAACTACCAGAGCAGTCAATTTGACGGATTTTAGTTCTGGATGTGTACATAACTTTGTGTCTTTATAAGTAATTTATTTCTATGTAATTATTTTCATGTAATTCTCTTTTCTTTTTTCAATGCGAGAAGTTCAAATGCCATTTATGTTTGTTCGACAGAGCTCCTTTTCCCCATGTCCTGCTTCTGGTTCTGGTCTCTTCTAGCCTAATGTTAATTACTGCTTTAGCTGTAAATTATATAATAACCAGTTATGGCACTTAGAAAAAGTGAGTCAAGGTAAAAACTGACTTACTTTTAATACAACGGGTGGAACACAAACTCACTTTTTGGGGATTTCTTTAGAATTATATTGAGTTATAGTATTTCTGGAAGTTCTTAATAGTTTGGCTGTGACTAAATATACTGTCTGATTTTCTTCATGCTCAGATCTGTTTCAACTACAACGGACAGGGAGGGTGCGAATCCAAATCAACTTGCCCTCGGCTCCACATTTGTCTTCACTTCCTGAAAGGAGACTGCCGCTTTGGCAGGTTTGGCACATGTAAAAGAGCCCACGTTGTTGATGCTCATGGAGTGAAAATCTTCAAAGAGTACAGTAAGATTAAGATCAATATATCCTTTACTCGTCCCACAGTTGGGAAATGTCAGTGTTGCATCACAAGTTACAGAACAGTAAGAATGAGGAGCACACAAGATCAAAGAACAATGGGCCTCATTCACCAACGGTTCTTAGGAACAGATTTGTACGTAAATCCTACTTACGCGGTTTTTACGAAGAAAGTGGCATTCACGAATATTTCTCGTAACCAGAATTTGTCTTGGGCAAGTACAAATCCTACGAGTCCTCAGGAGCACTCGTACGCATTCAGTGCCGACATGTTCACACGCCGGGGTTGTCCTCTTTGGTGAAGTTGAATAAAAATACAACATTCCAGTGATATGTCCGTCATATCGATGTATGTATTTATTTATTTGTAGTAATCTTTATTTATATACCGCCTTTTTCACTGCAGATCTGGCCTACTTTTTAATTCATTTTGAAATGAAATGTGCCAACGCTTTATCAAATACATTGGAAATCTTGCCGTGTATTAGTGACCCCTTCCTATTTATAGGGGGCATTTCTTTATCCACGGGCCACAGAACAACGGCATATATACTGCTGCTGCAGGAGGCTGCGGGGTCCGCGCTGAGTCTCTGCGCTGGTCTCTCCTATGGATCTATACGGGTCTGCACTGGTCTCTCCCATATACGGGTCTGCACTGGTCTCTCCCATATACGGGTCTGCACTGGTCTCTCCCATGGATCTATACTGGTCTGCACTGGTCTCTCCCATGGATCTATACTGGTCTGCACTGGTCTCTCCATAAAGGTCCGTGCTGCATGCTCCTGGATACGGGTCCGCGCTGGTCTCTCAAGTCTGGTCTATGCGGTCTCTCTTCGGTCCGCGCTGGTCTCTGCGCACCGGTCTCTCCAGTCAGGTCACTACAGTCTATGCGGTCTCTCCTAGGTCCGCGCTGGTCTCTGCGCACCGGTCTCTCCAGTCAGGTGTCTCCAGTCTATGCGGTCTCTCCTATAGGTCCGCGCTGGTTTCTGTGTGCTGGTCACTCCAGTCTCTCCTCGGGTCTGCATTGGTCTCAGCGCTGGTCCGCGCTGGATCTCCTCCCAGGGTCCAAAATATTTTGAGATTAATCTCAAAACATTTTGAGATTCATCTTTAAAATAATACATAATATATTTTTAAATTAAGCTCATAACATTTTGAGATTAATCTCATCATATTCTTAGATTAATCTCATAATTTTGCTAGTTCGACTTTATTATCATAATATTTCGACTTTTAAGTCAACATTTTATAACTTTATTCTCAGTCTGGCAAAAGCCTGCTTTAGGCCTGTTGCTGTTTCCTCTGGCGTCTGCACACGGCCCTGCAGTCCCTTATATGGGCATTAGTGGGCGGTTACTTATGCTAAGTACCTATGCTAATGAAGCACCTGGCACGCGGCGCTGTACTTACGAGGAAATGGGATTCATCAATCTGAGAGAACAGCTGCGAACAATTCAGCGGCTTACGAGTGCGTTGATGAATCCCACGTGGGGACTTCTTAGAAATCTACTTAAGGACAACTTGAGGAGAAAGTTGAGTAGTTTCTTACGAAGTTATTTGTGAATGAGGCCCAATAACTATACTTATTAAGATAAAATACAATCTCTGATTCTAGCATTGAAGAAACAAGTATAAAATCTCTAAATTTGACAAAATAAGTATAGATAACGTCCAGTTGAAAATATTTTAAATAGTCTATTTGAGCTTGATAAATGATAAACACAACACATTACTACATAATGTATAATATCAAATGTTTAATGGTGCATTCTGATCTTTACAGAGAATATTACAAACCTCTACACGACGTACAGAAACATTCTCTTCCTTCAGAACTACCAGCGACGGCCTGCTGCTGGTAAAAAAAACCCGTCTTTCTCGTAGGCTAAGTGCATCGCCTTCTACTCGACAGGGTTTCATTTGACTATTCACCTGAGCCCCTTTGGTCGCTCACTCAGTGTTCTATCCTCCTTGTCTTGAGAACTGTCTGAATACACGAAGACATAAAAAATGGATGTCTCACAGCACACAATCCTCTTCTTGGCACTGGGTTAAAGATCTGTGGGTCAACTCTGTGCATCTCCACCCAGGAGATTCCCACAACCACACAATGCCACTGAGAGAATGAGAAAATACTGCCTCAGTTTCTCTGGTAAACACAGAGGCTCCTCTCTGAACCAGGCTTGTGTGTTCAGTTGTGGAGGTGTGATGGCTGTATTCTGGTCTGACTCTTCTGGGTCTGTTGTCCATTCTTGACACTGTGGATGGTAGATTTGGGAGTTCTTGATAATAGCGGCCTTCAGGTGACAGGTTTCTTTCCTTCATGTCTTCTGTCTTCTTCACACGTCTTGTTCAGGTCCAGCAGCCTCTGTGCCTGAGTCTGGGCACACTGTGGTTTGTTGACTCTGTCACGCTCCAACCAGGTTATTTTGGGCCTGATGGGAGAATATTGATCCCTATACCACTGCTGTGTCAAACCCAGGCTCGTGGGCTAAATCCAGCCCACAAGACCATTTTTAATGGCCCCTGAAATTATTTTCCATTATTCATTTTTAACTTTGAGTATTGATGGTTATGGGCAACCAAGACATGCTATACATCATCAATTTCCTCAAGAAAACAACCACATTTAGTTTATTCTAAAATTTTAACTCAACACACCATTAGAAGTTAAATATTTAAATATAAAACCACTAACTCTATATTTGGCCCAGTTTTGGTTAAATCTAAACACGTTTTGTTTTCTGAAAAATCAGCCACATAATAATGTGAGACTCACTTAAAAGTCATTCATAATTCCTTCATAATTCATACAAAAAAATTATAATAAAAATAAATCCCTTCTATTCTTTCGGCCACCAACCACTTCCTATTTCTTTTCCGGCCCCTGAACAAAATGAGTTTGAAGCCCCTGCTATACCGTCGTGCTCACATAGAACAATGTAGTTCTATGAGAAAGGTGTTGCCCGAGCTCTTGCCAAGGCTGAATTCCAAAGGGCCGTGGTGGTGGTCTTCTCATAGAGTATTCATAGTACCTCTAGGGTCCAGGAAAGGGTACAGTGTTTGAAACATTTATTTTAGGTAACTTCGATACCATATCATGTTCATGTAAATCTGTCATGTTTCTGTGTTTCCAGAAGCGAGTGGTGAAAAACCCACCCCTTCTTCCAAAACAACCGCTTCTCTGCCCAAACAAACCGCCCAAGCTGGTGGTGGAGATGTTCGATGCCACGCACTAAAACCACCAGGCAAAAGAGCGGATGCAAAAAAGTAACGGGGGCTTATTTGTGAATAAGAAGTATTTATTTTCCATGGGTCAGACATGGAGCTTTGGGCACATATTGGTGTTGTGTCCATGGTGCAGCTTAACAGAGGTACATGGCCCACACAACATCTCTCTGTCCTGTGTTTTTTAATGTTTTATTTAACTGCTCAACCAGACTAAACACTGTAACATCAAAGGTGATAGAAGTAAAGGAATGACCGACAAAGTCCTGGCTCCAAAGCCTATCAGAAGAATTATCCAACTTGTGTATTGCATATGTCAGTATTTATACATGTATGAATGTTTTTTTGGGATGTTTCTATCGTTTGAGATACTTGGGACTTGGGTTGATGGTTCAATGTATTTACTGTTAAGCACTTTATGATAAAAGATGGATGTTGAATTTGATGGTACGGATTTTCTTTTTTACGCAGTACTTTTTCTACCATTTCCATAAAATTTTTGTCACAAACGACTGAAGTGTCTTTCATATTATGTGTTAGCCTGAGTTCAGTGAGTTCAGTGAAAAACCTTGGCTTCTGTGTTTAGTGTTCTTGTCAGGAAGGGAGTATCTCTGTCTTATCTCACCGGAGAAGGGACGAGACATGGACGAAACATGGACAAGACAGACAAGACCTAAACCAGTCCAGACCCAAGACCAGACCATAGACTGTAAATATTCCATAGACTGACCAGACTCATACTGAGGCCAAGATGACGTCATAGAGGGGCACTTCCTATTCTTCTTCACATTTTGATAAAACTGTTTTTTGAGCTACATTGTTTGTCAGTGGAGCAGGGAAAGTGGAGGAAAAGAGCTCAAAGACTCCTGTATTAGTTTTTAATTATTACATGTTATTAATTTGAACTCTTCCTTTCTGGTCACATGTTGAATCATGCTACAAAACAGCTGTGGCTACAGAATATTTGACATGTGTAGCGTCTTTGAGAGCCCAAAAAAGTGCTGCATAAAATACTTTTTACAGTCTATGTATATTACCGATGCAGTATTATTGTTTGATATATTATACACATATCTTCTCTTCTGGCAGCACTTCCCTTCATATTCCAGCTCCTCCTCCTGTAACTTAAGTTTCAGTTTCGTTTCTGGGCTTTCAGGATTTGCGTTTGCAGTTTTGTGAGGCGGACGTTTTTCATCTATGGCTAAGTCAGTGTATAAAATCATTCTTCAGGACCTGTGTAATAACCAGGGCAGCTTGGACTTCAGGACCTTAAAAGAGCACATTTCTCAGCATTTCACTGTAGATGAGGAATTACTGCGATCTGTTTTGTTTGACGATGAGAAAATCCACATACAAGAAGGGAAAGGAAAGATCAGCTCTGGAGAAGTCAGCCTGGACAGTCTGATCATAGCAAAGACCAGTTTACGTTTGTGTCGAGACAAAACATGTCAAGAATGTGACAAGTTACACCTGTGCAGATATTACGTGTGTGGAAACTGCACTTTTGGGTAAGTTAACCTTTCTCTGTGTGTTCTGTCTCTGTTTTTTAGTGGCTAGATGAACACCCGTTTAATTGTGATTTGTACATTTTGATTTACTTGTAAATTAGTTTTTTAATAATTAATTTTAAACACCTTTTTTTCTTATTGGTTTGGTTGCTATGCAGTTTTGGTTCATTTGGTTGCTATGCATGGTTGCTAGGCAGTAGAAGGCTCTCTAATATAAACATGCTTGTTAACAGTTAGTAACAGTAACAGTCTGCTGAAGTTACTACTGTCTCCACTTGTGTCTCAACCTTTCTTCATGTACGAAAGCAATGACTGTTTGTGTGTTGTTAATCGTTCATTTCTGTCAATCAAAGCTAAATGTACATTATTTCTGTTTTATTTATAGTTTCACTCGAGCTTTTTACGATAACCTGTCTACAAGTCCTGTATTAAAGGATCAACCTGGCTCGTGAAGACCGAGTTTGGCTTGCTGTTGATTTACGTTAACATACTCCATGTATACAACGCGTATTGAGAACAGTACACTGTGTAGTATATAGAGATACAGTGCCACCGAAGCTTAGCCTGTGTTTTCAGCTAAGGTTATGTTCTTTTGCGTTAACCATATTGTTTTATTTCCAGAGATAAATGTAAAAATCCTCACAGTGTGACGTCACCTCACAATGCCAGGATTTTGGCCAAATGTGAGCTCAAAGATCTCACAGACAAGCAGCTGTTTCAACTTTTACTGCAGAATGACTCCTTCCTGCTTCCAGAGGTCAGTGCTTCCCACATTAGGCTGTCACTCACTATCATAACGTTTAGTTGTGATATTTCTCCATCCTTCAGATCTGTTTCCACTACAACAAAGGGGAAGGTGAAAGTGGAGACTGCAGATTCACTGCAACTTGCACTAAGCTCCACATGTGTCACCACTTCTTAAAAGGAGACTGCAGCTTTGGCTCAAAGTGTAAAAGAGCTCACACTATTGATGCTCAGGGGATGAAGCTGTTCAAACAGTACAGTAAGGAGAATATTACAAACCTTTACCTGATCTACAGAAACAGACTCCTCATTCAGGACTACCAGCCACGGCCTGCGGCTGGTAAGTACAACGTTATTTTTAAATACATTTCTAAAATATGATGTTGATGGAAAGTCATGTTTCAGTGTTGCCAGAAGTGAGCTGCCCAACTCCAGTGTCTCCTTCAAAAACAATGTCTCCTTCCAAAAAAATGCCTCCTTCCAAAACAGCGGCTTCTCCGCCCAAACAAACCAGCAGAGCACCACCTGCAGCGAAAGGTGTGAGTGATGCGGCCCGCGATGAAATCTGCCTGTTTTTCATCCGCAGAAACTGCTCATATAATGGTAAAATGTCCACATTTTAAAGATGTGACAAACAATAGTGTATCGGAGAGAGTATTTTGTTGTGTTTGTGCAGAGAGATGTGTCCGTGTTCACTGGCACCTGCCTTACAAATGGGAGATGAAGGAGAGTGACGGGACTTGGAAAACCATGGACGACATGGAGAACATTGAAAAGGCTTTCTGTGATCCATCAAAGAGCACCAGCTGCCCTGATGAAGTGACTACGCCCTCTGGCATATTCAGATTTCTTAACCTTCAAAGGTACTTATGTAGACAATTTACCATTTTGTATTTGATAAATGAATAACATATTATTAAAAAATCCTTTAGAACATTTGTTGAAGACATTAGGTTTATTTCAGCCTTGACTGTGTTGTTGTTTTGCAGTTATTCAGCCCCAGCCGTTGGGAGTGTTGACTTTATAGAAATGATTAAAGGAGCATCTCCAGTTCGTCGTCTGTCCACTGCTTCCTCTGTGTCCCACCCCCCAAACCACATCTTAACCACACAGTGGCTCTGGTACTGGAAGGATGAATATGGTGTATGGGTGGAGTATGGGAAGGTAAGACAAACTATGTTATAAGTTTACTTATACAATAACTGATTTTTCTTTCAGGCTGATGCTGGAGCGACAGCCTCCATCACCTCTCAAACTCTGGAGAATATTTATCTCGCAAAAATAAATGAAGAGATTGAATTTACTACAGGCAACCAGAGATATAAGCTTTACTTTAAGGGGGGGCATGGACTGCAAATGTATCAGCAAAATTTAAAATCCAACACCAAAAGAGAGGTGAGAAGGCGACCTCACTTTGTGTCTGCTCATGATGTGGAAGCAAAGCTCAACAGGTAACTTTTCCAACTTATTGATGCCTTTCTCTGTCCAATAATGTTCTTTTCAACCACTTTTGTTTTGGTGGTAGTGACGGTGGTTCACAGAGCAGCGCCAGTGCATACTCAGTGCCTCCTAACTGGGATCCAAAGGCGCTGGTTGATGGGGGACACAAGGTATGCACACTTTGCTTTTAGTGTTTTATGTATTATGAATTTATGACAGTACACAATTGTATTTCAGCTTGTTCCACTTGGAGGCTCGACCAGTGAATACTCTATGATTAAGAAACTGTTCATGCCGACCATGCCCGAGAGTACTATCACCAGCATAAAGAGGATCCAAAACCCCGATTTGTGGAGGGTCTTTCAATGGTAACTGGTTTCACAGCTATAATAATTCTTATGAACGACTCCTTATTTTTTAGCCATACATCCTATGGACACATTTATCTCTATGCTAATTTTACCAATGTGAATATCTTTGTTTGTATACAATGGGGAATCATATTATTTTTCTGAATCAACATGCTCACATCAAAAACCAAAATAGTGAGCTGGTGAATCCTCCACATCTCACTTATTCAAAGAAGGAAATGAACAATAAATGTAAGTGGGCCTGAAACCTGGAGTGGGTGCTTGGTGTCTGCAGTGAGAAGACTGATAGTGCTTTCACACCGGATCATGCGTTGCGTCGACTTTCAATGCAAAGTCAATGGTGACGCGCATTCGAGCGTTTAACTGCATGTGCGTCTCGGGATTGCGCAGTAGAGACACACGGACTGTGCGATAGAGACACACGGACTGTGCAGTAGAGACACACGGACTGCGCAGTAGAGACACACGGACTGTGCAGTAGAGACACACGGACTGTGCAGTAGAGACACACGGACTGTGCGATAGAGACACACGGACTGTGCAGTAGAGACACACGGACTGCGCAGTAGAGACACACGGACTGTGCAGTAGAGACACACGGACTGTGCAGTAGAGACACACGGACTGTGCAGTAGAGACACACGGACTGCGCAGTAGAGACACACGGACTGTGCAGTAGAGACACACGGACAGCGCGATAGAGACACACAGACTGTGCAGTAGAGACACACGGACTGTGCAGTAGAGACACACGGACTGTGCAGTAGAGACACACGGACTGTGCGATAGAGACACACGGACTGCGCAGTAGAGACACACGGACTGTGCAGTAGAGACACACGGACTGCGCAGTAGAGACACACGGACTGCGCAGTAGAGACACACGGACTGCGCGGTAGAGACACACGGACTGTGCGATAGAGACACACGGACTGTGCGATAGAGACACACGGACTGTGCGATAGAGACACACGGACTGTGCAGTAGAGACACACGGACTGTGCAGTAGAGACACACGGACTGTGCGATAGAGACACACGGACTGTGCAGTAGAGACACACGGACTGCGCAGTAGAGACACACGGACTGTGCAGTAGAGACACACGGACAGCGCGATAGAGACACACGGACTGTGCGATAGAGACACACGGACTGTGCAGTAGAGACACACGGACTGTGCAGTAGAGACACACGGACTGTGCAGTAGAGACACACGGACTGTGCAATAGAGACACACGGACTGTGCAGTAGAGACACACGGACTGTGCAATAGAGACACACGGACTGCGCAATAGAGACACACGGACTGTGCAATAGAGACACACGGACAGCACGGCAGGCGCAGGAGCGGAAAATCGACGCATGCAGGAGATAAATATTGCTGAGCGTTTCCTTGGGACGCTCGTGCAGCAACCAGAGAGCTGCTAAGTGGTCACGGGGACATTAGTGGTCTGAGTGAGCAGACTGAACATACTGTTAACAGCCAAAACAGGAGCTACACCAGGACTAAACCAGGTTGTGAATATATGTGTTGTCATGCTCCCGTGACCTTTTGCAACCGATGCGGAAGTACTGTTTAATAATAAAATAAACGTATGGCGCACCTCCGTGAACACATACTGCCGTTATATAAAGTCTCTGGAAGGTCTCTGAACACAGAGACGCTGCAGAGCTGCATTATTGGAGAAGACCTTTACACAAAAAGCCACTAGCTTAACTCCGTTAGCATCAAAGTCCCGCCTGCTACTTCCGCCACATCCGGCGGTCGCCACCGCAGGCCACGACTTCTGGTGTGAGGACCCCTGCGTCTGAAAATTAGAGAATGTGCGTCTGGTGCGCAAGGTTTCAGTGTTCCAGCGTCGCCGGTGTGAAAGCACCATGAGGGGAGGGCAAAGGCGGCACGTGCATATGAGGATAGATTTAACTCTTTGAGAGAGTTGAGAGTAAATGACGTGGGGAAAACAACCAAAACAAAGGCAAAAGGTTATGTCCTCTTTGAGGACCACATCTCTCCGCTCTCACAAACACTCACATGACACACATTTAGCAAAAGAAAACCTACATCCAACACGATAGATCGATACTGCATCAGAAACACATCCCTCCACACAAACAAAGCAAATGAATACATCATGATACATCGGTGAGGACCCAGGGATCTAACCTAAAATTTACTTTGTTTTTGCCTTAAACACAGGCAAAAGGAGCAGATGAAAAAAAGGAACGGTGGCAAATCTGTGAATGAGAAGCACCTTTTCCATGGGACAGACAAGGGCCATGTTGATGCGATATGTGACCAGAACTTTGACTGGAGGATGTGCGGTGTCCATGGTACAGCGTATGGCAAAGGTACAAGGCCCATAATACTACTACTTCTAACTTTTTTCCTCCCAAAAAACTCCACTGTGCATGTATTAGTGACCATCTCTTGTATGTATTTTGCAGGGAGCTACTTCGCCCGGGATGCTTCATACTCCAATAAATATTCTGCCACCGGACAACGGAGCAAAGTCATGTTTGTGGCTCTGGTGCTGGTTGGAGACTACACCCAAGGCCACAGTCAATATGTCCGTCCTCCTCCTAAAGAAAACAGCACAACGCTTTATGACAGCTGCGTCAACTCCGTGACAAACCCCAGTATCTTTGTCATTTTTGAGAAGCAGCAGATCTATCCCGAGTACCTAATAGAGTATATCTGAGCTGAAGAAATGCCTATGTCTAACTTTCGATGGACCGGCCACAGTAATCACAATATATTACATTAATTATGTTTTAACCGTTACCTGAAACTAAATGTAGTTTTATTGTCAAGTAGATTTAAGGGCATATGATGGGTTTTATTTCTTGGGTAATATTTTGCTTAATAGTACAGAAAGTTGAAATGAGCCTGAAGGTGAAGACGTATTTCAGAATCATCTTGATGACCACCCAAAATGGCACTTCTCCTTTCTCTCTGCTCTTCTGTCTGTGTTGAATTCTTTGTTTTCTTTCTTTATTTTGTCTATCCCAGATCTCCGCCTGTCAGTCTGTGTGCGTTTCCATTGTGGGGTTTAGTGATAAGAACGTGCTGCCCTTGTCTGGTGTCTTTGAAAATATCCCCCTTCACTAACATTCACGTTTTATTCTGGTATATATGTACTTGATGGTGTGAGATACTACTGCCATGAATTGACAATGGCCTTTTTAAATATTACAATACTTTCTGTTGAAATGATTAAACTAATCAGTCACACAATAAACGTTGATTGAATTTATTGCTTGTGTGGTTTTTATTTTTTATTCAGTTTCACCACATCAAAAGGTTTTTATACCATTACTAAAGTAGATCTATTTTACTAGCTCTCAGTACACATATTCCAGCTCCTTGTAGAAGATTCAAGCATGACCAGGGGGAAAAAAAACAGTGTCACGATACAGTGCCAGCCTGCACTTATGACAAATAATTCAATGAATATAGAAGCACTACTTTTGTGTCTCTGCGGAATTCAAAGTGTGCAAAAGTAATGCTTTATGAATCCATATATTCTTCAAGTGCTCATCTGTGGAGACTCTTTGCCCACGTCCCTTTTCATTATTTTCACATAGATGCCGTTTTTGGGACCCAACGTGCTTGAAGACTTCAGCTCGAGTGGAACCTGCACACACACAGAACGAGATTTTAAAAGTATATTCAGGATTTAATTGTAAACGTGTTGGTTTCTTACCTTTGTTTCAGCACAGGTCACGATGGTGAACCTGCGAAACACATTCACTAACGCCATTTTGATCTCCAGCTGCGCCAGCCTCATGCCCACGCAGTTCCGAGGACCGGCCCCAAATGGAAGGTACACAAACGGATGTCGATTGGCCTTTTCTTCTGGAGTGAACCTGAGAAACAACAACATTCATTGAATAAAGCAGTGTTCCCCAACCTTTTTGAGCAGTGGTTCACCTTTTTCCACTGAAAACAATCACATGGCCCACAACCAGCTGAAAGTGAAACAAAAATGAATCACGGCGCCTTCATTAACGATGCAAATCATTCTCATCAAAGTGTACTGCATAAAAAAATCAAACAAGTCTTTCTAATCTCTTTATTTTCACAATTTTTGACCAATGAGGTGATATTGGATCATTTTAAAAGACACTCCAAACATCCTCTCAAGTTAAGGTAAGGTAAAGGTGGACATTATTTATCCCGTAGGACATTAAATCTGCATTTGACCCATCCTGATGCCACTAGGCTTACGTCAGGAGCAGTGGTCGCCGTAGTAACAGTGCCCAGGAACCCATCTCCAGCTGTTGATGCCCGGCTTGGTCCAGGATTACCAAAGCTGGAGGATTTTTACCTATTGTACATGTTTTTTGTGGTACGGGAAACCGGAGCACCTGGAGGAAACCGGAGCACCTGGAGGAAACCTGAGCACCTGAAGGAAACCTACGCAGACACATACAAACTCCTCTCAGAATGTGGAGTTTGCATGTGGAGTCCACTCAAAAACCCTCTTCCGAACCCAGGACCTTCTAGCTGAGAAGCGAAAGTGCCATCTACTCCGCCACACTGACATACAGCGGCACACTGGTTGAAAAACACTAGAATAAATTAGTAAAATAAATATTGACGCTCACCTTTCTGGGATGAACTTGTCCGGCTCAGGCCAGTGCTCAGGATCATGATGTAAAAATCCTGCTGGGATTTCTAACCAGGCTCCTTTAGGCAGACGCTGTCCATTAACCACACAGTCATTCTCAATATCCCGAGCAAACCTGAAATGTACATTTGCACTGTACAATTACAATGTACGGCACACACATTATTTGCATATTCTCTTCATACCTAAATCCAGGAGGGTACATGCGCAGAGCTTCACTTATGACCATGTCTAAATACTTGAGCTCTTGAACATTTGTGTAATCTGGGGAATCCTGTAAACAGCATTAAATAAATGTATGGAGTAGTTTTGTATCGGTGTCTTTTACAAATGTGTTGTGCGCTCTCACGTGTCGAGTGTAGAAGTCATCGACCTCGTCCTGGACCCTGCCCTGACACTCTGGGTGCAGCGCCAGCAGGTAGCAGGTGAAGGCCAGAGTGTTACTGCTTGTTTCATAACCAGCCAAGAGGAAGACAAAGGCCTGTCCGATCACCTCATCCTCTGACATGGTTTTTCTGTGAGCGCGCCTCGGGGACGGCTCTTGGGGGGTCTGGCTCCTGACACTGTCTTGGTTTGATGGGGTTTGAGGGTCGGCATCATGGACCCCAGAGTCAAAGTATTCTAAAGATATGCTCTCGTCTGCTCTGCTGCGTGCGTCCAACATCAGCTGAAGGAAATCTCTACGTCTCTGATTTATAAAAAAAAAAAAAAAGAGTTTGCTTATGTACAACTGTGGTCTAATTCAAAGGGACCAAAGTATTTATATTGACATCCACCTGCTCTGGAGGCTGCTCCTCTCTTTGAATTATAATTTTCCGAATAGTGCTGATGAAGAACTGGTTCATCTGGTCACGCCTTTTGTTTGGAATGAGCCTCGCCACAGGACCCAGGATTACAGGAAAGGCAACTACACACAAGAATGTAATCTGTTTAACCCAAGGAAAGTATCACAGAATAAACCAACGGTGAACAAACACAGGGGTTAAAGCAAAAAAAAAAGATTTGACTGAACATTTTTGCATGGAAATTTATCACATGTAAATCACAGTAATATGCAGGACCAAGTTATATTTTTAATTACAATATATTATTGTATAATAGATTGTATATTGAATACAGCTCAAATTAATTCTTCAAAGATATACAGTGTATTTTGATATGAAATATAAGTGGATCAAGCAACGAGTCAACTTTTTGACAGAATATTAGTGAGAGTAGCTTTACTTGAGGCGATATGGAGCGTCAACACTTTGGCTCTGTCCTCGTCAAAATATCGCAAAAGGACGATAAAATTCTGTCCACATTTGTTTGTGGACACGTCAATATTTAAGAAAAAGGTTTCCCTATCAAGTTTGAGTGCACAGTGCACTTCGATCAACTGCAAATGATTTAAATAAATCTACCAGCGGTAGTGATATTCTGAACGTTATTTTCTGCGATAAAGCCACAGACACGGTCTGCCATAGCAAGCCTAGTGTTAGTTGTTGCTGATGCACCAGGTAAAGATGAAGTGTGGGAAAGTGCACAAACAGCTGCCTTGTGCGCAGTTTTGAGCTGGTGGCGAATCAAAACTTTTTTCTCATTACTCCCATATATGCAATTTTTTATGGCAAAGTACGAACAAGCACCGGCCACTTTCATCTTTTCGCACCATGACTCGTTGATTGGCTCTTTTACATCACGCTGAGTTTTGCAAGAAGATCGCAAACAAGACAATATCAAAAGCTCACCAAGACATGTTTGTCCCCATTCCCAGTTGCAGCAAAGTCCGTTTTGTACATTCCGTTAAGTAAAATAGCATTGCGTTTGGTAAACGTTAATTACCTTTAGTCTATTACGCGCCCAGCTTACCAGTCCGCGGATCTGCTGCTGTTATTGCTCCGTTCGAGTTTCAATTTTCCTCCTCTTCTCCTTTTCAAAAGCTCCGTGCAGTTTCCAGAAACTTTCACCTCCGTGTTACCAATGCTAACTTCATCGCGTCTTCATTTGCGCGTGAGCTCAGCTACGTCCCATTGCCTTGATTCATTTGCGGAACGCTCATGTGGCCACGGCACGTTCAAGGCCCACTCGTGAATATATTACTTATTATTTCTATATACATATAAATACAATTATATTCAAATTATTATTATACATCGATATATATATATATATATATATATATATAACAGATTCACACGTATATGTATTACTATATATTATTTTTATAATCAATCATTTCATTGTGTGTATTATTATCATTATATATATATTTTTTTTTCCAGACCAATTTCATTTGACGGAAATCCGTCACCTAGACGGAACTCTTTAATCCCTGAACAAACACATACTGAAAAACAGCATGATGGGTCTGAAGAAAGAGAACGAGAAAAACATCTGCGCGTGGTGCACAAACGGGTCGTCCGGGTTGTTCTGGGAGTCCACCTGAGTACCAAAGGCCACACTGGCAATGACGTCCATTGTAAAGCAGCCAAAACATCTATGAGCAACAGCATGAGTTACTATGTGTCTAATAATAATAGCATGAACATAGAAATACTCTGCTTTACTTGTGGATGTCGAAGGCCTCATTTGCCTCTGCGTACACATTAAGATTGTCCATCAGAGCGTTGGTGGCTGTGTTGATGAGTGGAACCATCTGGGACAAACGACCAGTCAGTATCACAAACAATCATTTTTAGTTTTGTCTTGATCAATACCTCTTTCATTTTGGCTGCGCTGAAAGATGGGGTAAGGATGCTGCGGACTCTTTTCCACTCGTCGCTTTTTAACAACAGCAAACAATCACTCATGGGCTTCGTGGCAAATCGGAAGGACTGCAAAGTAAACACACACATGTTCAGTTGGTTATCTGGGAGGACACAACGTCAAGAGTATTCAAATATATCAAAAAGCCATAAACTCCACAAGGTATAAAATCGTACACACACTATCACAGAAAGAGGGTAAACACCAGCATAGAGGCCGATGTAGACGTGCAAAACTAAACTCACAAGTCAGCTCAGTTTATGCACAAGGCCTGGAGTCAAATAAGATGTGTTGCACTGTATAATGTTAAGGTGTACAGCATCCATGAAAACATTTGTCTCCATCTCGTGCCCCCGCTGAGAAAGGACTATACAATGTGTGCAACCTGGAAGTGTGGCTACAGCAGGAAGAGACCGTCTATGACCTTCTATTGGTCAGCACTAGATCATATACAGAATCGAGACGGAAGCTAAAGTCAATATAACCAACCTAAACTTAACCACCCATTCCCATGTAACCCCAAACCATCCTTAACCATCTTACTCAGACACTTAAAACTTAACCAGTCACCACTTAAGGACTAACCCGATTCCGTCTATGATCTAGCGCCGACCCTTTCTAGTTCCTCGGCACCCTCCATCTTGGCCCTGCCGCCTTTATTATTCTGTATCCTGAGTTTTTAGATCATTTGAATACATTTTTTGTCTGTAAAAAAAAAAATATCTTATGAATCAAGAATTCTTTTGGTGGACATTCCATATTTATTTTATATATTTATTTATTTGATAGGGGCAAGTGTACACAATCAACATGTGAAACACTTATAGTCAAGGGCAAGGCTATTTTTTGTCCCTAGAATTTCTATGTGGAGAGTCATTGCCTGGTGACTTTACAAGGCCAAAGAAAACACGTACGCTTTTGTTCATGTTCTGTAAGTCAAATAACTGCAAACAACCACTTTCATATCTTACATTTCGATTGGGGAAGTTGCTGAAATCTCGGACCAACACCTCTTTGAGCATATCAGGGTCAGCGATCACCACCACCGGTCTGCGGCCCAAGTAATACCTGAGGCAAACAAAGTCAGACTAAGCATGTTTTTAAATGGACATAATCACAAAAAGAAAACCAGAAACACATACCCACACACTCTACCATGTGTCTTAATGAGCTCTGTCATAGCATTATAGAAACCCTGCAGGAGAGAATCCATTCAGTAATACATTTAGTTAAAATCAAGTCATATTGTGCTCATTTGATGTTTAGTTTGTGGTGAAACATCCAGCACAGAAATATCAATAATAAATGTTGTATTTACCTCACGAAACAAAAAAATATTCCCCAAAAAGGGTATTGGTCTGGGGTGAGTGATGCCACATTCTCTGAGCACTGAAAAGGGATATATAGAATACCTAAAAGAAAATTGCATTTAATCATTTGGAGATTATTTTGAATGTGTAGGTGATTCTCCCAAATTTGTTCAGATACAAACCAATAGAGAAGATTGAGGAAAATTAATAATAGTCCGAACGTTACTGGCCATCCGCGAATATCCATAAAAGATGAGAAGTCCATTGGGAAAGTGACCTGTAATGTGTAAATCTGTCAGGGATGAACCAGAGATGGATCGTGGTGCGCCAAGCTCTGGAAGTTTATTTAGGTTTCTCTCAAGTTCCAGTGGTTTCCGTTGTTTCTTTCTCTCAGACCAAAATGTAGTCAGTAAACGTTATATAGTCATTGTCACGTCACACATCGAAAGACATACGTGTCACACAGAGACAGTCAGAGCAAATCATAGTCATAACATGGATACACAAATCAGAGTCCTTGTAGAGTCTTGCAGTTGTCCTGTACGTAGGCCAAATAGCTATCTAATCCTTACACCCCCATTTGATCACATAATCACATGTGATCACTGAATTTGATCAATCATTAAAGTGAAAAAAACCCCCCAAAAAAAACGTAAAAAGAAAAAAAAACATTGTATGCATTAAACTCATTATCATCAAAATCAATATATGTGTAGGGGATTTTACTCATTCTATACTGGGGGAAAAAAAATAAATAAATAAACAAATAAACAAAAAACAATAAAAAATAAAAACAAACAAATCTCATCATGTAATCAAACTTTTAGCTGATTTTTCTAATCAACCTGTCAGGAATGAACCAGACAGAGACGGATCGTGGTACGCCAAGCTCTGGAAGTTTATTTATGTTTCTCTCAAGTTCCAGTGGTTTTCGTTGTTTCTTTCTCTGAGACCAAAATGGAGTCAGTACATGTTATATAGATAGTTTTACACTGACGTCACTCACTACCCACAATTCTGCAGTTCACCATTTTGGGAGTCTAGCCGCCGCTAGTTGTAGCTAACCAAATCGGGCCAAATCACTTTTTTGCGCTAAAAACATGCAGACTCCCTGCATCGTTTGGGGATGCAGAAACCGCGTAGATTGTAGGGACATTCCGAAGGCTATTACGAGACAGGGGAGTGACTGGGGACGGAGAAATGACTCCTTAGTTGACATGGATCAACCAGAGGGATTCAACCCTAACCCCTGGAAAACGGCACTATAAGGTCTGTTCTGACCATTTCATAACAGGTAAGAGCTAAATCTGTGCGTCCATCCATACATCCATCTTCTTCCCCTTAATCCATTTCTGGATCGGGGGGGTGGCAGTCAGAGCTGCACCCAATTCACTTAGCACCAGCCCCTCACTGATCCTCTGCAGGTGGTGAGTCCACAGGAGCACGGCTGCTCTGTCAGTGACAATACAGCCTTGATTTTTCAGCGGGGGCTTCAGGCAATGCAGGGTTAAGTGTCTTGCCCAAGGACACAACGACAGCAGTCATCAGTGGGAGTCGGTGGAGAAGGTCCCGTGGTGGGCTTGAACCCACGACCTTCAGGCTCAAAGGCCAGTGCTCTACCAACTGAGCTACTGTCGCCCTTCTGTGCGTGTGTGGTTTATATTCAGAGCTGCCATTTGACTGTGATCCTAAGTCTATATAGGCGCCTCGAGCATCCCATCTAAATGAATGAGAGGAGGAGGAGGAGGAGGAAGAGGAGGGGAAAGGGTGGTAGACAGAAGTGATTTGCGGCCTGTGATATCAACTGCTTTGTTCAAAATAAAATATTGATTGAAAGAAATATTGCATCATATACATCATGACGTTTTTTTTAATTGTAAAACTGTTAAGTGAAAGTAAGCCATTTCTGGGAAGTCCACTGGTCTCGTCACGTTTCATACGGATCCAAATCTCCTGATTCTCAAAGGATCTTGCCTCACAGATTACTCCAGTGTATCAATATACATAACGCGGTCAGTGTCGGCCAAATTTGTGGCTTTAGATGACATGGGGACAGATGATCCGTGACAAATTATCAGTGACAAATGATACGTGCAATATAAGCTTGACTCCCAAAATGCCGTTCGCGCAAAGCATCATGGGTAATAAGCACGTGATGGAAAACTATGTATAGTCATTGTTACGTCACACATCGAAAGACATACGTGTCACACAGAGACAGTCAGAGCAAATCATAGTCACATGGATACACAATCAGAGTCCTTGTCCTGCACGTAGGCCAAATAGCTATCCATTGAAAATATTCAATGAATGACTGAATCTAGAATTGGAGGTGACCTGGCTGGAAAAACTGGCTAACCTACATTTACATAAACTGACTCAACTGTATATGAAAGCCTGATTTCTGGTCTCAGGAGCTAAGCCGGACAGAGCCTTGTTAGTGTGATGGGAGACCCCGGAGAGTACATTTTGTTGTGTCCTCCATAGTTTGCCTAATAATAGTCTGGTGTGTAAGCAAATGGTTGGTGGTGAATGGAGGGGTTGATGGCATAGATTATTTACCTTGCTTCTGTCAGTATGTCCCAGGGCAGCTGTGACTTCTGTAGAACCTTCACATGAATGAATAATGCAATGTGAATATCTAGAAAAAACAATACATAAAACTGATGCATTATTATCATCATTTACGTGGACAGAACTTCATATATAAGAGAATTGGTTTAGCAAATCTGTTATTTTAAAATCCTGCTTCATTCATATAGAGCTAATGCTAATATAAACACACATTCCGATAGCGCTAGCATTTCACCTGAACCGAAAGCATATCATAGAACATCATAAACAACATGTAACTTAGCTCATACCATGTGAAGATATGGAACTACTACTTATAACTACCGCACTTTCTCCTGAAGGGGAATGATGTAAACAAAGTCATGTGATCACATAACATAGACAGGCATGTTAAGCTAAATGTTTGGTAATAACGAGGACGTGGTAGAAGAATCACTTGATAACGTAAGCTATATCTTTCATATAGGGGCACTTTAAAGCGTGTCTTATAAATGATATATAATGGAAAAATGCCCTCACCTCACGTGACCTACTGATGGAGATAGCGCTGGCTCTGCGTTTGCTTTGTAGCTTTAAACATGAGAGTAAACACTGCCACCTACTGTTCAGACAGAGGTCATGCATACAGACTTTACATAATATAATGAAAAAGTTGTGCAATATACGTAATAGTAGCAGCACGCCTGTCAAAAAATGTGGGCCAAAAATGTACCAAATGTTTCCCATACATTTGATAGTAATTCAATTAAATTTCACTTCTATTCATTTTTTTATCGCCCTTAATCACAACAGCAGTTGTCTGGGAGAACTGTACAAAGTTGTTGATCAGAGAATCTAACACAGAAAAACACATATTAGGCACCGGTCCCATAGGGAGCAGGGTGTCTGCAAATGTTAATAAATGTCCTGGATATAATATAATAATAAAATATTAATATTATTATCATTTTAATTTCATTTGCCATTAGCAGTAAAACCTCATTGGGGGAAAACATGTGGATAGGTCCCCAGTATGCCCCAGACATCATCAAAGTGACATATAATCACAACAACAACAGCAAAAACTGCCAATACAGTCCGAATGAAACGGCACAGAGAAGAAGAACAAGTCTTATAATATATGCCTCTTTTGTTACAAGTACATGAATTAAACAATCTAAAATACAGGAATAAAACAATCTAAAAATACAGGAATAAAACAAGCTAAAAATACAGGAATAAAAATGAATCGGTGACGCGCAGCCGATTGTAAAGAACACGCTGGAGGCACGTAATTAATAGTTACCTAATGTAACTTACGTTCTACGAATAGGTGCGTAGTCCCTTAGGACTTCGCTAGTGGGATATCACGTGACCCCCAGGTCACACGCCAGAGAGATCAAAATAATTTGCTCCAATCACTAGCGACCCTCCTCTATAAAGGCCCCTGCACAAGGCCGCACCCCCTCTTGAACTCTGCCAAGCCGGGCTGGCCTGATGGGTTCGTAGCTAAGGGACTACGCACCTATTCGTAGAACTTAAGTTACATTAGGTAACTATTAATTCTACGTCATGGTGCTACGTCCCTTAGCGGACTTCGCTAGTGGGGACACAACGCGGAGGCCGTAGGAACATGTACTCCCAGCAGGCCTGCGAAGAGTGATTGGAGCCCCGTCCGAGCAACCCTCACACAGTGAGAAGACTCAGGACAGAAACCAAATCCAAGCGTGTTACGGGGCCGCTCCTCCCAAGGACACCCCCAAGTAACACCGACCAAAAGTCACCCGTAGTCCCAGGACGCCTCTCCCAAGAGCTCCTGACGTGGACCACCCAACTGACCAACACCCCTAACACCGCACCTACAGGACGCCTCTCCCAAGAGCTCCTGAACTAGGGCGGAAGGGCAAACCGTAATCTCATAGACGAAGAACCCATGATTCCAATCAGTCCGCTGCACCAAGCACGGAATGAGCCACCGACCGGTCCGACACATCCAACAGGTAAGACCGGACAAAGGAAGAGGACGAAGCCCAAGAAGCCGCACGGCAAACGTCCTCCACCGAAGCCCCCCTGAGGAGGGGCCGTAGAAGCCGCCACTCCACGCGTGGAGTGCGCCTTAAAACCCACGGGGGCGTCAGGCCTGAGCTTGATACGCCATCCGTACAGCCGAAGCGACCCAGTGTGCCCAGACGTTGAGACGACAGCGGGGCGCCTCTGTTCTTGGGGCCCAGACACACAAACAGCTGATCCACCAGTCTGAAGGAAGATGTCATGGTCAGGTAACGCCTAAGAATTCTGACAGGGCACAGCAGGTGCCGTCGCTCCTCCTCGGGGGAGGAGTGCGGCGGCGGATGGAAAGCCCTAATCCTGATCACTCTCGACCTGAAGGCCGAAGAAATGACCTTAGGGAGAAAGGCCGGATTGGGCCACAACTCTACCAGCCCGTCCCCCTCTCCAAAGGACAGACAAGACGCATGTATGGAGAGCGCACACAAATCGCCCGCCCTCTTAGCAGACGCCAACGCCAGCAAGAGGGCAGTCTTAAAAGCAACACACTCGGGACTCGCCTCCGACACTGGTTCAAAGGGCGGGCCCGACAGACCCCTAAGGACCACTCTGAGGTCCCACACTGGGGGCGTTCTCTGAAGCGGGGGCCTCTTCCTGCGGGCCCCCCGCAAAAAACGTTTCACCAAAGGATGAGAACGGGCCGTGAACCCATCGAAGCCACCGTGACCCGAGGTGATGGCTGCCGCGAACACCGCCAGGGTACCGACAGCCCTCCCTTTTTCAAAGAGTTCCTGTAGAAAGCCCAGGACTCCCTCCAAGGGGCAGTGCCTGGGATCCCAAGAACGAGCACTGCACCAGACGCTGAAGAGCCTCCATCTGGTGTCGTAGGCTCTCACCGTGGTTGGCGCCCTCGCCCCCTGAATGGTCTCCACCACCGCCGGAGGAAGACCCAGGTCTACGAGGTTCCGCCTCTCAACCTCCAAGCCCAGAGCCTGCGGCCGATAAAACGGGCGTGAGAACAGGGGAAATGGAGGCAGTGCACCCTGTGCACTGCCTCCATTTCCAGAAGGTTGATGTGGCGGGCTGAGTCCGACCAGCAGCCTCCTACGGAGCTCTGACCGAGGACCCCACCCTTCAAGTGACGCGTCCGTGAACACCTCCACGTGAGACACGGCGCTGACCAGAGACACCCCGGTCCGCAGCAGACCCGGACCGGATGTGAGCCAAAACCTGATGTCCGATGCTGCAGTTTGGGGAACCCAGATCAGCCTCCCCCCGTCCCGTGAGGGTGAAGCTTGAGACGTGAGAACCATCTCTGAAACATTCTCATGTGGAGGAGGCCTAACGTACCACAGTATGAGCCGCCGGCATCATCCCCAGAAGGGATCTGAGGCGCCGCGCGGGGACCCTGGGACCCGCCAGCACCTCCTTTGCCAGACGGGTGATGCTCCTCCATCTGTCCTCGGACAATGCAGCACTGAACCTCACCGAGTCCAGCTGCAGGCCGAGATAAAATCAAGCGTTTTGAGCCGCCTGCAGCCTGCTCTTCTCTCTGTTCACCACAAACCCCCAGACGCTGTATGTGGGACAGGACCCAGTGTGTGTGACTCACAGCCACTTCTCTGGAGGAGGCCAGTATTAACCAATCGTTGATATAGATTAAAATCCTTACCCCCCGCGCGTCTGAGCGGCTCCCAGTGCTGCCTCCACGCACTTGGAGAACGTCCGAGGCGCGAGCGCGTAGCCGAATGGGAGACGGCAGTATTCGTAGCAGACTCCTTTCTCCCACTGCGAATCGTAGGAACTTCCTGTGTTCCGGAACTATCGCCATGTGAAAATAGGCGTCCGTCAGGTCTATGGAGCACATCCAGTCTCCCTGCCTGACCACACTGTAGAAAGCTGCTTTGTGGACAGCATCCGAAACTGACGCTTGGAAATGCACTCGTTCATTACGCGCAGATCCAAAATGGGACGCACCCCGCCTGACTTCTTTGGCACCAAGAAGTAAGGGGAGTACAGCCCCCTGGTGGCGTCCTGTGGGTCTACCTCCACTGCTGCGCCTCGACTCAGCAGAGAGGAGACCTCCGCTTGCAGTGCCACTAATGACCCCCCGTACCTGAGAGCGTGCTGCCCGTACGCCTCGGAATGGTGGTGGTTTCCGGGAGAATTGCAGTGCGTAGGCTCTGCGCATGGTTTTCTCCAACCACGGGTCTGACAGTAATCCCTGCTCCCTCCAGATGTTGTAGAAATCTACGAGGGGCGGAACGGGAACTGGAACACGAGACGTCACAGCCCCGCCCTCTCCTGGTGTTTCCTAGCAGGGAGGGGGGGTGAACAAAAGGGCAGAGAGGCCTCCTGCGTCACGTCGTGTGCATCGGGGGCGGGGTTCACGTGTTCCGCAGGCCCGATGTCATAAGACCGGGCCTGTTCATCCCCTGTGGACACGGCCGCTCCGCCCCCCCCGGCTCTCTTGCTCATGGGGAAGGGGGCGAGCCCCTGGATGGGAAACCCCGTGCCTGGAGTGGGAAACCCTGTGCTTAGCCTCGTAGCTAGGAGGGGCTAGCACGTGTTTAGCTGAAGTACACACACCTCTACTCACCAACACTCTCCGCTTGACCTCTCTCTGGGAGGGCATAGAATGGATTAGAGAACCGGAGCTCGTAGCCCGCGTAGCGCACTGCACGCCCTGCTCAGGGGGGGCTGCAGGCCTAGCGAGGCCACGTTTATGTGCCCGGGAAGTAACACAATCAGATACATCATTAAAAATGTTACATACCCCCAAATGAGACTCAGACAACGAGTACTGGTGATGAAAATGCCGGACGGCCTTTATTGAAAACATTCTTGCCACCCTGGCCTCCTCTACCATAGGGAGGCCGGCGGTGGGCACGTTGCTCCCGCGAGCCTCCCGTGGGTCTGTCCGGGCCTGGGGGTCTCGTTGAGGGGAGACGGTGGAGTGGCGGAGCGAGGTTCGGGATCGGAGCGCCTCCTGGGCGAGCGCTCTCTGCCTCTGTCTCTGCTCCGCAACGACTGGTGGGCCTCACGCCTCGGAGCTAGGTGCGGAGCTAGCCTCGCCAAATCCTTCGCCGCAGACTCGAGGCTCTCCACCAGGGCCTGCATGTCCGGGCCGAACAGGGAATCTTGGGAGACGGGCAGGTCCAGCAGTTGCCTCTTCTCCGCTTCCCTGATGTTAGCTAGCCCAAGCCAAAGGTGCCTGACCCCGACTTGGGCTGCCGCCATGTTGCGTCCACCATCCACGGCAAGCGCCTGGCTCATGCGCAGGAGCGCCGCGGAGGTGGTCCTCGCCTCCGAAAGACGGTCCCCGCTGAGTGACTGGCCAGCGGGAGAGCAATCTATCCAGCGCCCCGTGAGGAACGCCATGTTGTTCGCCAAAGCGACGACCTGAGCCGCATTGGCGTAACACCTATCCAGCAGTGCCACAGACCTCCTATCCCGCTCGGAGGGAAGGAGAGGTCTGGTGCCGGGCACACAGATGAGGAGGGGAGCAGGGCCATGCGGACAGAGTCCTCAATCTCCGGGACGCCACCGGTCCAGGACCAGTCCTGCACGTTGCAGTACATCCCATAACCCAAGGCAGGCCTCTTGGCTGTCAGAGGTTTGGACCACTCATGCGTCGCGTAATGGAGGAGATCGGCTCCATTCGCGGGCACAGTGTGGGCTGCTTCCTCCTCCTCCCTCGAGGTGCGGCGCCAACGGAGGTGAAGTCCACCACCGCTTGGTCTGGCTGTGGTGGCAGGGGGGCCCCCATGATGGCCGCCGCAGACGAGTAGAGACCCGGCATGTGGTCCAGCGGGAAGCGGTCCGGCTCCGGGTTGGAAACCACCTTGTCCAGGGTGATGAGGCGAGCCGTCCTCCGAGTCTCCAACCTCGCAGTCTCCCCATTCCGCGGGCACAGGAGGAAGGTCGAGTGGGGGCCCAGTCAATCTCGGACCCTTCGTCCTTAGAAGAGTCCGGAGGGGGCATCGTAGCGGCGTAGAACGCTCGCCTGCGTTCGCTCGCCTGCGTTTGCTCGCCTGCGTTTGCTCTCCTCCTTGGGGGGAGAGCGAGACACAAGGCGCAGCTAGCGCTCTCAGCCGCCTGGCCCGAGCCCATGCACGTGAAGCAGCTGGCATGCTGAGCCGTGCGGTGAAGCTTGACCCGACAGGTGGAGCACCGACGACGTCCGACACCGGAGGGCGAAGGGGAACTTGGACGGGCAGTCGGGGTAGACATCTCTGACCTGAAGTCACGACGTAGAAAGGTAAGATCTCAATCGGCGCCCAGAGTGAAAGAGGGGGTGCGGCCTTGTCAGGCCAGGTCGCTAGTGATTGGAGCAAATTATTTTGATCTCTCTGGCGTGTGACCTGGGGGTCACGTGATATCCCACTAGCGAAGTCCGCTAAAGGGACGTAGCACCATGACGTAGAATGCGTTTTGTGGATTTAATTGTAGCACACGGTTGATGATTGTTACAGTGAATATGATACAGGCCTTTGAGGTAAAACAGGAAACAAAAGAGTATGGTACAAAAGTGAGCGGTCAACGAAAAATGCGGCTACCCAGCTTCTCCCCTCTCCCTGTCACGGAGCAGGAGCGAGTGCCTTTAAAACTCCCGACACTAAACCCCTGCCCACGTGACCCACGCCCCCTGACACGGTTGCCATAGCAACCATACCCACACTCCTACACTCTACATTAGCACAGGTACAGGATCTTTAGCCGCATCACAGTTACAGGACTCTACAGCATCACAGGTACAGGACTCCACATTAGCATAGGTACAGGACTCTTTAGCCCCTTCCTAGGTACAGGACTCCACAGAAGTATCACAGGTACAGGACTCCACAGAAGTATCACAGGTACAGGACTCCACAGAACAGTATCACAGGTACAGGACTCTACAGCATCACAGGTACAGGTCTCGACAGCATCACAGGTACAGGTCTCGACAGCATCACAGGTACAGGTCTCGACAGCATCACAGGTACAGGACTCGACAGCATCACAGGTACAGGTCTCGACAGCATCACAGGTACAGACTCGACAGCATCACAGGTACAGGACTCTCAATAGGACAGTCCTGGTTGACTAAAGGTTAAAAAGAGGAGGAGGTGACGGGGTTATGCTCTGAGAGACTGTACATAGCTGAAGTATTTTTAGTTTGAGCCTTTGCAACAATGTCATGTGTAACTCTACGCCGTGTGTCTTTGGGGTTTCGGGTTTAATGTCAGTCTCACAGAGAGTCCGCATGGAGTCTGTGGGAAGTCAAGGCTCCTGTGCTGGGGCCCCAAGGCTCTTACTGGTTCCCAGTCCAATCCACCCGGACCTCCAGGTGGATTTGGATGAGGAGGACGAAGATATAGTGATTGGAATACGACCTAAATCCTCTCCTCAGCCTCGAAGGAAGACCTCAATAAGCGAAGAGGAGTCGGACCTCTCAGAACCTCCATCGTTGAGCGGCTCTCGTAGAGTGTCGTTCGCAGGACGCTGTCGGACTGAGTTTGGTGCAAGTGAAAGAGTTCGACAAATGGGACGTCCCCGCAGCTTCCAGACTTTTTAGACCTGACGAGCCAAGATGAGGACAAATACTTCATTTCACCTTTCAACTTTCCGACGCCTTTGCCTTCTGATGAGATGATTGTGAAGCTTCTGGATGAGAAGGTGGTGTTACAAAGCCTGGAGTTGATCCCCAGGACCAGCATTCTGAAAGGGGTCATCCACGTCCTCAACATCTCCTTCACTAAAGCGGTTTATGTTCGCACCTCTTTGGACGACTGGCTGAGCCACTTTGACCTGTTGTCAGAGTTTGTCCCAGGATCTAGTGACGGCCACTCGGACACTTTCTCCTTCAGACTGACGTTGGGGCCTCCGTTCGCAGAGCAGGGGGCTAAAGTGCACTTCTGTCTGCGATACGAGACTCAGAACGGGACATTTTGGGCCAAGAACGGCGGGAAGAACTATGTGCTGTTTTGTCATGAGCGGAAAAAAAGGCCCGACATGTAACAGTCCCAGGCCAGGCGCAAAGAGAAAGCAAGAAAAGCTGTTTGTGGAAAGCTGTCAGGTGAGGTCTGTGGTCCTCCTCATGTGTTCGGTGGTCCTCCTCATGTGTCTGTGGTCCTCCTCATGTGTCTAGTGGTCCTCCTCGTGTGTCTGTGGTCCTCCTCATGTGTCTGTGGTCCTCATGTGTCTGTGGTCCTCCTCATGTGTCTGTGGTCCTCTTCATGTGTCTGTGGTCCCTCCTCATGTGTCTGTGGTCCTCATGTGTCTGTGGTCCTCCTCATGTGTCTGTGGTCTCCTCGTGTGTCTCTGGTCCTCCTCATGTGTCTGTGGTCCTCTTCATGTGTCTGTGGTCCTCTTCATGTGTCTGTGGTCCTCCTCATGTGTCTGTGGTCCTCATGTGTCTGTGGTCCTCTTCATGTGTTTTAATCTAAAAACATTTATAGTTGATGAAGTCCTTCTGTCAGAAAAAAAAAGAATTTTTTTCCATCTTTAACCCTTTGGACCAACGGCTCTGTTTGTTATTATTATAATAATAATTATTATTTTCCAACCATCCATCCATTTTCTTCCCCTTAATCCATTTCTGGGTTGAGGGGAGGGTGGCAGTCAGAGCTGCACCCAGTCCACAGAGCACCCAAAATCATTGTTATTATTATTATTATGGCCTTTCCAGTGTTCAAAACTGATTCTCTGATCTGTTGTTGGTGAATTTACAAACTTTTAAAGTTTTTGTTGTTCCAGTGTTTTCATTGATGTAGTTTGCCGTCCAGTGGATTTTTTAATATTCACAAAAATCAAAGTTCAGTTTAATTCATCTGTAATGTATAATATGACCAACAATGTAACTGTATAGTCTAATTACCTCAAGACATAACCCTAACAAATAAAATGTATATAAACTTCTCATCTCACTCGTTTACAGCCAGAGCTTCTCTCTGGACGACAGAGCGTCGTCTCTGGAGCCGGAGGGGCAAAGTGTGGGGCAGCAGGTGAAACTTCAACTGTAATTTTAAAAAAAGTTATTTGTTAGATTATAAACCTTTAACTTTTCTTTAGATGAGACGACTCAGCCAAAATACCATCCTTGCATGAACGAGTGAAAATACCATCCATGAACGAGAAACGAACCCAAGCAACAACCGCACAGAAGACTCAGTCCAGGTGAGCTGTTTTACTAGACCACAGGACCAGAGAGGAGAGACGGCCAAACGAGAGAGAGGCCAGAGAGAGAGAGGCCAGAAGAGAGGCCAGCGAGAGAGGGACAGAGAGAGAGACCCAGAGATGAGGCCAACGAGAGAGAGACCAGAGAGAGAGGCCAACGAGAGAGAGGCCAGAGAGAGAGGGCCAACGAGAGAGAGGCCAGAAAGAGGCCAACGAGAGAGAGGCCAGAGAGAGAGAGACCAGAGAGAGAGGACCAGAGAGAGAGACCCAATCGAGAGACCAGAGAGAGGCCAACGAGAGCGAGAGACCAGAGAGATGAGTGCCAACGAGAGAGAGGCCAGAGAGAGAGGCCAGAGAGAGATAGAGACCAAAGAGAGACCAGAGAGAGGCCAACGAGGAGAGAGACCCAGAGAGAGAGGCCAACGAGAGAGAGGCCAGAGAGAGAGGCCAACGAGAGAGAGCGGCAGAGAGAGAGAGACCAGAGAGAGAGAGACCAAGAGCAGACCAGAGAGAGAGACCAGAGAGAGACCAGAGATCGAAAGATGGATTTCATTCATTTGGTGATTGTTGTTTAAAAGTTAGGTACCCCCAGCTTTAACCAGAAGTTTGTCAGCTTAACTGTTTTGACATTTGATTACATTTTTTTCATCAACAGGCTGCGAACAGACGAAACCACAGTCGTCGGAACCCGGCAGGAAAGCAGTGCGCGTGGCTCGAACATAAAGGACTATTTGTGCTCAAAAGAACATAACAGGACCCAGAACAAATCGAAGAAAGCCCAGGCGTTCTCCAGAGACACAGACCCAGCAGCCGAAGAAACAGAACCAACGTTGGAGAAGTCGAATCCTGAAGGAAGCGTTCCATTTGCTGCGGATGCACTGGGCTCAGACTCCATGACACGTGAGAACTTGGATCTTGCTGATGGTATGTGGATGGTGTTGAGAGCAAAGCCGTTCCCATAGAAGCCTGCAGCTGCGTAGAAAGCCAGTTTCAGAAGTTTCGACACAGAAGGATCCTGGAGAGAGGCTCGTTTAGCTTTGCGTTCGGAACTGTCCCTTGCTCCACTTTACCAGGAGGTGTTGGGAGAGCAGTGGGGAGACAGCTGTATTCTGAAAACAAAACCAATAAACACATGAAGAAGCAGCAAGAGATCGAGGAAGGAGACTATGAATGTAAGACACGCTTGCGTGTCGGACCGTAGTTGCGATGTGATGATAGGAATGATGAAAGAACAAACAAGGTTGATAATGCTGTTGAGAAGATGGTAAGTCCAACATTGGGGCTTCCAGAAGTGCTATGTTTGACAGGCAGTGTAATTTTGTGGACAGCGAAAAGGTGATACGAAAGAAAGATCTCTTGTTCAGAAACATCGAGAAACTATTGTAACCCAGACTCCCTCAAGACTCGGTTGATAGAGATTGAAAACTTTGATGAAAATAGAGATGAAACAGTGTTGGAAACGGAAAGAAACAAGATGGTCTTAGCAACAAAATAGATGACTTCTTAGATTATCCAAGTCTTGAGTATAGTAAGAAAAAGTGTAGCTATACCACAGAGCCCGACGCTGTTTTCAAGAGGAACTCACAACTTTGTCTTTTCAACTTTCTCACAAGGGATATTTTGCAAAGCTCGTTCAATGTTCCAAGTGGCTTTAGAATGTGTTGATCAGTCATTGGACATATCAAGAAAAGTCCAAATCTGACGCAAGTTTTCATTCACCATTAGTAGATCCGGCTTGCACAGCACTATTCCAAGTCTAGATACTGAAAGCTGTAGTGCACTTACATCACCAGTGGCATCGAGTGGAAATATGTGAAGACACTCTATATTCAAACCGTCATCTTTCCAAAAATGTAGACGTAGCTTTCTTAACTAGAAATGCAAATAGATGAAACAAGTCAAGAGTTCGAAAACCAGACAATGTTGCGTCATTTCTCAAATGCACTCGTCCAAACCTCCCCAATGAGAACAAACATGTGTCGGCCACCAACACCCAGTACGTTTAAGAACGAGCCGAGCCAAGACCAGTGAAGTCAAAAATTTAAATGTATCCTCAATATATGAAGACAGAAAATCCACTTTATTACTTTTCCTCTTAGACCAAGTGTTGAAAAACTCCGGAGAAAGACCTGTTCTTTTTTATCGCTTGATCAACAATAAGAGTTTGTTAGAGGAGTCAAAACACAGGTGTAAATTAACGGGCGAGGTAACTCCTGACCTGAATGCACTGAATGCCCTCAAACTACACTGTCGACCAATTCTTTATTAACTAGACCATAATGATGATTCAGAAAACTGTGCAACAATGGGCCAAAGAATGTGGAAGAAAAGGCATGTTTGCCTGGAGAGAAATAGTCCCGTATTGCCATGGTAACTTTACAGAAGAAATATATTTTTGTGAGGCTGGTTCTGTGGATATAACATTTAAACAGAGTGTGTGATGAAATTACAAATTTATCTCTGGAAGAATCTGAAAGTGACAAGATCACTCAACCAGGTGAGCTAAACATGGAGCAATGACAGCAATATGCTCCCCGATATTTTCAATTCTTGGAGGGTGAAACTCTTGCCCAAAAAGAATGTTTCCTTGACAATTCCTGATCTCGGACTTGATTACATATTGAGGTGAAATGGATTTGCTACCATGTCCTGAATCATCTATGGAGAAAACGAGTCATTTCTTCAAGATTGTAATCTCAGTTTCTGTTAGGTTTGGTAGCTGCACCATTGGACACCGTTAGTCTTTCAGACTGAAATCAGGCCGGGAGAGCAAGATCTGGACTGATTTCATTTCCAATGCAAATAGTGAATCTACGGAGCTATGAAATAATAGCCAATTGCTTTGAAAACTGGAGGGACATACAAAGTGTTAATATCGAGATAACATGAAACAAGCACGGATGAGGAATGGGAGGCGTCTGTTCAAAGTGAGGATGTAGTCGAGTCAAAAACAAAAATATGATTGTGTTTTTGCATCTGATAATAAGAAAAAATCATTCAAAAACATTGTTCCTGACTCACACGGAAGATGGGGCTATTGAGACGATTTAGATTCAGAGAAACAAACTCATCAGCGTTGACTTTAAAAATAACAGCAGAAAAAACTTAGACACCGTTAGTAGCACCTGAAGTGTTTTCTAAAACCAGTCTGTCAAGAAATATATCAAAGTGGCAGTAATGAAAAGAATATCGCTGTTTGTGCGGAGGCGTTCAAAGTATTGAAGGCAAGAATACATTGGATTCTATAAACAAGTACACACCAAGGTGAATTGGGACAATTAGAGAGGAGAGAAACAATAAATAAGACAAATTGAAAACAAGAGATGAGGAACGGGTTTAAAATACCTCCACGCGAAAGCAGAGGAACATCCGACACCAGAAGCACGCCTCGGAACTCGTCCCTGCACACATCAAAAAACATCTTTAATTACAGAGCATGGAAACGGGACCTAAGCTTCTGAGCACCAAAAGCCTGGACGTCCCAGCTAGGCTCTTAGCGATAAAATTAGGCAGACATCTTAAGAAGTGTCTAAATGAGTTCTTACCCTTGTACATACTATCAAACTATCTACAGTCTTTTGCTACCAAATGCATACGCATTAACCATTGTTTCTCCATACCCAATATTCTTCTAAATTCTACCACCACCCGACTAGCCCAACAGAACTCTCTCTCTAGCCCCGAGCTTCCCACATACTCTCCTGAGATGAAATCCATCAAATTAACTCTGTCAATCACAAGATCAGAACTCAAACTCCCATCTACCTTCTTGACAAATTCAGAATCGTGAATCACTAATATGAACCGTAGATTTTAACTGAATACAGAACTGGCTACACACATGCAACAAGCATGAGCTCAAGATCAGATAGACAGGACACTACGTTCTCGGGACCATCTAGAAGGGACAATCCATCTACCATCTATGACCATAACCACCAGCCTATACCAGCACATATACATTTTCACTACACCATACCTACTCTTTAGCAACCCACTTTCGCTTACTAATCTTGATAGACCTGAAATGAAGCATCGCCAATCAAAAACTAGGATCCCATGATCACACAAGACCTGCAAAGGTCGTGGACAGCACAACTAGCACGGTCAGATGAGGCGATTTAAGTACTACCTGGTTTGGGGGAGGGGGGGGGGGGGGGTGGGGGGGGGGGGGGGGGGTGAGGGTGGTGGGGGGGGGGAGGAGGGGGGGGGGGGGGAGTGGCGTGGGGGGTGCGGCGGAGGGGGGCGGGGGGGGGGGGGGTGGTGCGGGGGCGGGGGTGGGTGGGGGGGAGGGGGGGGGGGGGGTGGGGGGGGGGGTGGGGGGGGGGGGGGAGGGGGGGTGGGAGGGGGGGGGGGTGGGGGGGGTGGGGGTGGAGGGGGGGGGGGGGGGGGGGGGGGGGGGGGGGGGGGAGAGGGGAGGGTGTCTGGGACCTAGTTGGTTACAGAGTGCAATTAATTGATCGGGGGGGGACAGACAAGAGTTAATAATATACATATATATACCGGGAGAAAATTTCTTTGTAAATCTGCGCTCTATACTGATCGGGCGCCATAAGAGAAGAATCTATATGGGCAAGGCATAATCCGTCTCCATTAAATATGGAAGGCATTTATTCGTTTGGGGGGTTAACATATTCTAGGGGTGAGTTGTATTCTGCCTTATTCTTTTCGGGATACCCTTCCTAAATAGGAGACAGCGATATTTTACTGCGAGTTCCACACGCTCTTGATAGGTTTTCAAATACAAACCTTTATAATAGGATTGTTTGGCTTATGTTGCAATATAACACTGTTGAGTTGTGGGTAAAACTAGTAGGCATAGAGGATAAGTGGCGGGGGTATATTCTATTTGTTAGTATTTGGGTACTTAATATCGTTGGAAGCAGCGTGCACCGAGTGCTTGTGATCGAATAAGATATAATATGCGATTGTTATCTCTAGCGAGTTACGTATTGAGATAGATCGGTAGTCGTGCTAAGAATAGCTTAAAAAATGGTTGAGTGATATAGTAGTAGAGTAGAGGATGGGAGGTCTGCGTATTTGGGAGGACCTAAAGGAATGGGTGTATGAGCGCTTTTTGGCTTTCGTTTTGGATGCGAAGATAAAAAAGTAAAAAAAATGTAGATCTAGATATGTGTAAATGACCGATAATTGATGAAAACAATGATGGCGATTAGAGGAAATTCTAGAAAAATAATTGGGGGAGTGGAGGGTGCGTATCTAAGTAAGATGGAATTAGGGTTGGATATTTGCGTTTGAGGGGGGTATTTAGGGGGAGGTCCGACAATAGCGAGTAGGAGTTCGAATAAAGATTGACAATACTTCCTTTTTAATATCTTTACATGGGTGTTATTAAAGAATGCTAATTATTAAAATTAAAGTGTTTATAAAATATGCGGTTCTGAATTAGAGGGTAATGCAGGTATCCGAGGAGATATATATAATATCGGATTGGTGGAAGATGTGGCTTTAGACCGATAGAAGAAGTCTTATCAGTAGTATATAATATAGAAAATGATAATGATTACTATGGTAGATAAGAAATTATAGAAAAATAATCAAATTATGTGAGATATATAAAGGAGGAATATTTAAGGTCATAATAATATGATGTAAGAGAAATTGGGTATTTGTAGAAGGGGTATGGATGGATTGAAAAAATTATTATATATATTTTAAAATGATGAAATTCGGAAAGTAAATTAATGATTGTTGTGATACGGTCGGTTAAAGCATATTTGTAATGAGAAATAGATAGTATCTAGGTTAAGATGACATAAATTAATTGTTTGTTGAATTGTGGATTTTCAAAACACAATACATTATTGAATGTTTGAAGCAAGAGGGACTAGTCTGTTTTTATGCACTATTCGTTCTTAATAAGAGTTATTAATTATTATTAAAATTATTTTAAATGAAGCAATTAAAATATATATTATTAATTACATAATGTATGAATATAATAGCTAATTATGGGGAATAGGGGGGGTAAAGGATTTGTGAATTAGATTAAATTAAGAGATTAGGTTTTTGGATGATAATTGCTATAAAAGATGGTAGGGTGAAGAAGTGGAGAGGAGAAGTGTATTTCTATTATAGTAAATTTTAGAGATCAGTATGTGCGTTAAGTTATAAATGGCGATGAGATATGAGAAGAGCGCTAGGGGGTTTGTTAATTCTAAGGGGTTACTGTGAGATTGATCTATGAAGCGTGGTGAAGTAGAGAAGGGAGGTTTTGTCTAGTAGTGCGTATAGGTGAATGTGGATAGTAAGGTAGTATTATTAATATGGAGGATGGGGGGTGAATATTTTTGTAAAGAAGTAATTGAAATGTTTTAGTTATAAAGAGCGTAAGTTGAAAGTATGGGGGAGTGTATTATATGTTTGAGAAAGTATTTTAATTGAGAAAGAGTTATAGGAGGTATGTGAGGTGTAAAGAAGTTAAGAAGGGTGGGAGAATAGTGGGGTATATAAGTAAGGGGGATGGTAGTATTGGTGATGGAGTGATTATGTGAATGTGTAGATATATAATAGGGAAGAGGGGGGTTTATAGGAGGAGAGGTTTTAGGAGAGTGGCTAGGATGTAGGGATGTGTGGGGGGGTGCGTATTGTTAGGTTAGTATATTAGATTAGAGGGGTGTGTGTTTAATAGAATAGATTTAGATTTAAATTGGGAAGAATAGAGGAAAGAAGGTATGTATAAAAATGTTTAAATTGTTATGTTGATAGGGAAGAAATAAGATTTAATAGGGGCTTGAGTGAAGGGAGTGTGATTTTAATAGTGTGGGGGGGTATGAAGGAGAAGTATGTGAGGTAAATTTGGAAATTTTTTTTGGTGAGTATGAGATATAAGTTGGTGTTAGAATGGTGGGAATGGGGGGGATTATTAAATAGATAGGGGATGGTAATATGGGTTGAGATAGTTGTTCGATGAGGATTTGGAATTAGAGATAAGCGTGGGTTGATAGTGGAAGTGGGGATTGGAATTGTAATAGGGTGGAGAATGAAAGAAGGGTAGGGAGGGGGTTTGTAGGGGGGTTTTGGAAGGGTGGAGGGGGTGAAGAAGAATGATGTGATTTTTTGTGGATAGAGGTTGGGTGAGTAAGTTAAGTTGTTTATTAGTAAATGATAGGGATGTGAGGGTAAGGGAGTGTGATTGTGGTTGATAGTAGTAGGAGTGATGGTTGTAAGGTGAGAGTTTGGTTGAATGGAGTATAAAGAGTGAATAGTAAGTAGTTGATGGAGTTGTTGGGTAGGAGCGAGTATATGTAGTGGATGTTCTTTGATTTTATGGGTGTTGAGTAGGTGTTGGTGTTGTTAGTTGATTGGTGGATTATATGTAGGGGTGTGGAAGGTGAGATTGTGTAGGTGTGTGGGTGTGTTGTGTTGAAGGAGATTTGTTTGGTTTGGGGGTTAGGGGATTATGGTGATGTGGTTAGGTATGGGGATTGTGTGGGGTGGAGTATGTGAGTGTGATGGGTGGTGGAGTGGTGTTGTGTGGAGGGGTGTGTTTGGTGTGGTTGGGTGTTGTGTTGTGAGTGAGGTTGGTTGATGGGTTTGGGGTGTTGAGGTGTTGGGGGGGAGTTGTAGGGTTAGTTGTGGGGGGTTGTTGGAGTTGGGGTGGGTGTTGAAAGTGGGGGGGATGGGTTGGTGGTGAGATTGGGTGGGTGAAGTGGGGTTGTGAGGTGAGAGGTTTGTTGGGGGTTGTTGGTTTGTGGTTTGTTGGGATATGGGGTGTGTGTGGTGGTTTTGGTGTGGGGGTTGGGGGTGGGGTGTTTGTGTGTGAGGGTGGTGTTTGTGTTTGTGGTGTTGTGAGGGTGGTTGGGGTGTGGGGGGGGTGGGGTTGGTTGGGGAGGGGAGTGGGTATTGGAGGGGTGTGGTTTTTTGGGGGGGTGGGTGTTAGGTTTGGGGTTGTGTGGGGGTTTGGTGTGTTGGTGGGGGTTTGTGGGGGTTGGGTTGGGTGGGGGGTGTGTGTTTTGTTGGGGGGGTTTGGTTGTGTTTTGGGTGGGGTGGTTTTGTGTGTTGTGTGTTGGTGTTTGTGTTGGTGGTGGTGTTGTTGTTGGGTTGGTGTTATGGGTGGGTGGGGGGGGGGTGGTTGGGTGGTGGGTGGTGGGGGGTTGGTGGGTGGGGTGTTGGTGTGGGGGGGGGTTGTGGGGGGTGTTTTGTTGTTGGTGGTTGGGTGTGTTGGTTTGGTGGTTTTGGTGTTGTGGTTGGTTTGGTTGGTTGTGGGGTTGGGGGGTGTTGGTGTTGGTGTGTTGTTGTGTGGTTTTGTTGTGTGGTTGGGTAGGGTGGTTGTGAGTGGTGGTGTTTTTGGTGTTGTTGGGTTGTTGTGGTGGTTGGGTTTGGATGAGGGTTATGTGGGGTGGGGGGGGTGGGGGGGGGGTTGGTTGGTGGGGGTGGGGGGGGGTGGGGTTGTGTGTGGTGTGGGGTGTGGGTGTGTGTTTGGGTGGGGGGGGGGGGGGGTGGTGTTTGTGTTGGGGGGGGTGGTGTGGTGTTGTTTGTTGTGGTGGGGTGGGTGGGTTGGTTGGTTTTTGTGGTGGGGTTGTTGTGGGGGGTGGGTGTGGTGGGGGGGGGGGGGTTGGGGGGGGTGGGGGGTGGGGGTGGTTTTGGGGTGGGGTGGTGGTGTGTGGTGGTGTTTTGGTGGTGTTGGTGTGGTGGGTGTTTTGTGTGGGGGTGTGGGGGGTGTTTTTGGGTTGTTGTGGTTTGGGGGGTGTGGTGTTTTGGTGTTGGGTGTTGTGTTGTGGTGGGTGGGGTTGGTGGTGGGTGTGGTTGGTGGGTGTGTTGTTGTTTGGGGGTTGTGGTTGTGGGTTTGTGGTTGGGGGGGTGTTGTTGTGGGGTTTTTGGTGGGTGGGTGGTGTGTGTTGGTGGTGTTTTGGGGGGGTTTGGGGGTTGGTGTGGTTTGTGGGGGGGTGGGTGGGTTTGGTGGGGGGTGGGGGGGTGGGGGGTGGGAGGGGGGTGGTGGGGTGGTTGGGTGGTGGGTGGTGGGGGGTGGGGTGGTGGTGGGGTGTTGGGGGGGGGTGGTGGTTGTTGTGGGTGTGGGGTGTGGTGGTGGGTTTGTGGGGTGTTGTTGGTGTTGGTGTTGGGGTGGGGGTGGGGTGTAGGGGGTGGGTGTGTGTTGGTGGGTTGTGTGGTTTGGGTTGGGGTGGGGGTGGGGGGTTGTGGGGTGGTTGTGTGTTGGGGGGGGGGGTGGGTGGGGTTGTGGGGGGGGGGTGGGTGGTTGGGGGGTGGGGTGTGGTGGGATTGGTGGGGGGGGGGGGTGGAGGGGGGGGGGGTGGGGGGGGGGGGGGGGGTGGTGGTGGGTGGGTTGGGGGGTGTTGGGTGTTGGTTGTGGGTGGGGGGGGGGGGGGGGTGGGGTTGGGGGGTTGGGTGTGGGGGGGTGGGGGGGTTGTGGGTGGTGGGGGGGGGGTTGGGGTGTGTGGGGTTGGGTGTGTTTAGAGGGGGTGGGGGTGGTGGGGGGGTGGGGGGGGGGGGGGGGGGGGGGGGTGGTGGGGGGGGGGGGGAGGGGGGGGGGGGGGGGGGGGGGGGGGGGGGGAGGTGTGGGGGGGGGTGGGGGGGGGGGGGGGGGGGGGGGGGGGGGGGTGGGGGGGTGGGGGGGGGGGGGGGGGGGGGGTTGTGGGGGGGTGGTGGGTGGGGGGGGGGGGTGGTTTGGTGGGTTGGGGGGGGGGGGGGGGGGGGGGGGGGTGTGTGGGTGGTGGGGGTGTGGGGTGTGTGGGGGGTGGGTGTTTGGGTGGTGGGTGTTTTTGAGGGGGTAGGGGGGGGAGGGGGGGTTGGGTGGATTTGTGTTTGGTAGGGGATGGTGGGTTGGATGGGGTTGGTGTGTGTGGGGGGGGTATGTTGTGATGTATAGTGGGGAGGGGGGTTGGGGATGGTATATAAGGGGTGAGTGGGGAAAGAAGAGATAATAAGAAGGGGAGGGAGGGTGGGTGGGTAATAAATACAAAAGATTGTAATTGTGTATTGTTATTCAGGATATGTACTTGGGTATGTGTTGCTATGGGTTGTTGTTGACTGGGTCTTGTTGTTCCATTGCCCAACAATCAGTATCCATTCAGGTCACTTCATAGCACCACTCATGAGGTCACCATCTGGTTGAAATTTACACATTTACAAAATCTTTAGAACACAGAGTATGTTCCATTTGTTGTTGCCTCCAAAACCGGTCCGGAAACTGGTCCAGTCTACCATCAGCGCGTTGCTTCGATTGTGCACAGAGACTTTCAAGCGTCGCGTAACTTTGGCTGAACATAACTGGAACTAAAAGAGCTTGAATAAGCAGATTTGTCAAATGTAATCACAGTAACATTTTGTTTACTTATGAGCCCCCCCTTTTTTTTGGAATTCTTGGAAAATATTCATTGCATTTTTTTATAAACTTAATTAACACGTTATGCAAAAACAAACCAAAGAATGAAATGCGATAAGAGACTAATGGATTCATCAAAAAGGAGTTCTAACAAACGAAATTGAAAGCCCCAATTATGTAACTCTCTCATATACAGTAAAACCTTGCTTTCCCTGTGCTTTATATGCTGCTGCTGGCGCCTGTCTCAGTAGCTACCGACATGCTTATCATGCAGTCTCAACTGCAACAGAAATGGTTTGATTCCGATTACACCGAATAGGAAGGACTTTGAAGTGGTACACGTGGGTTTACAAGGGTACAGACGTGTAACTGTTCAGACTTCTCGTTCCCCACATGAGCAGTTTCACCTCACACCTGCGTCCAGCTCTGCTGCTTTATTAATGATGTTGAAATTAAAGCATAGCTTTATTTATTTATTTCATTGTGTGGACATTGAAAAATACATCACAAGAGTACAATGTATCTTTCTAAATAGTGTTGTCTTAGGTCACACAAATGAAAAGAAAAAAACCTTGTGTTTGTTGCCCCCTTTCCTTCAAACTAAATTAAAATATAAAAATAAAGTTGGATTCCTTCTTTAAAAAAACACTGTTTTTTTATTTATGTTATTTATTTTAGTTTAGCAAAATTCCTTAGCACTTTTCAGGACTCTCAAGAACAGGGGAATAGTCATTATTCATTCACTCCAAACACGGTGTTGATAAACTACTACAGTAGCCCACAGCGGCCTGCGGGCACACTGACATTGTTATATGCTTTTAATGATGCTAATCGTTTTTAAAATTGTGCCCTTTTTTTAACCATGTTGTACAATTGTCCTTTGATTTGAAAGAGACCTTTTAATCAAAGTATTATTATTATTAATAAAGAGCTACTCCAAAACTGGATATCAATTGATCCGGAAACAAAAACAAACTCCGCCTGCTGATTACTGACATCAGTATTCTAGCACACACTTGTTTCATACAGTATTTTTCTCACGCATTGACTGAAACTATCCAGCTTTCTTCCTAACTATTGGCACCAATCCAATCATCGCAATCCAACTTTATTTATAAAGCACTTTAAAAAACAGCGTCGACCAAAGTGCTGAACCAAGCAAATGAGGAATTACAAATAATGAAGTACAAAACATTCATAAGTCGAACTTCCTCAGGTTGTGTTAAAAAGCCAAGGAGAACAGGTGTGTTGTAAGAGAGGATTAAAAGGAACAAGAGACTCTGTCTGGTCTGAGGTGCAGGGGGCAGTGCGTATCCCACAGTTTAGGACAGCAACAGCGAAAGAAAGAACACCGGCGCCTCTGGTTTTTCTTTTGTTTGGAACAAACACAAAGACAGATCTGCTTGACACTCAGGATCCGTCAGAGTGTGCTTCGACAGTGCAATATAATCTTAATCTGTCTGACATGTAGGGTGTCATAGCTAATAGGAATGAATGCATCGACCCATTAGTGAGTGCTTGACGAGCCTAGACTATCTTCATCCATAACTACTCGGGACATTTGCTTATGGTCTGATTACACGCACATCACTCAACAGGGAGCTCATTTAGAGTGGTGTCTTGTGAAGTATCTAGAAGAGCAGCTGTTTTGTCCAAGATTGAATTTAAACATCTTTCCAATGATATTTGTAGATGTTTAATGGTGTGGGGACCTTGGGCATGTTCAGGAAAACTACAAAAAAACAACATCCAATTTTGTAGGAAGAACTTAAAGTTAATGCATTCCTACATACTGTACGTTCACATAATAACAGTAGCCATTAAGAGTAGATGTGAATGTACAAGGGAAATAGAATACCTAAATATGGATTTTATCTTCAAATAAAATAAAATATGACTTTGAACACAATCACGTAATACTCAAAGACATTTCTTTACTAGTTATTTATTTTATATCAATCCTAGTCAGGAGAAAACAGAATATATGGAAAGCAACTCACGCAATTAAATCAATTTGGTTCTGCTGCTTCAATTAAAATACTCCTGTTGTGAGCAACTCAAAACGTAATGACAGGGTCTATTCTAAGGAACATTGATATATTTTCACAGCAAAGCCATCCCCAATTTTTTCTACCCTTTAATCCATTTCTGGGTCAGGTGGGGTGGCAAGCACAGATTAGCCACCCAACGTCTCATAGCACCAAAGCCCTCACTGACTCTCGCTGCAGTTGGAGAGTCACAGGAGGACGGCTGCTCTTGAATGAGAGCATAGCCTAGATCTTTCAGTTGGGGCTTTGGGCAAAGTGAGGGTTAAAGTGTCTTTGCCAAGGACACAACGTATATTCACAGCTTATCTAAATCAATTCTTCACAGCCTTATTAAGAAATTTGGCACTAGCCTTTGATTGTGCTATAATGTGGATAGATTAGATGGAAATAGCTATGGCAGGCACGCTGGCTGAGTGGATAAATGAGTGTGGTGCAACAGTATAAGTGAAATTGAGAAGTATCTGGACTTAACTTGTCATAGATTGGGAAAAAAGATTCAACACAGACACATTGATAGAGATTAGTGTGAAAAAATCAAACGGAAAAGATTGACAAAAATATAGTTTACAACATTGTAAACGACCAAGATGACTCTGATCTGACCATTTCTACTGTGACGCATTACATAGAAAATAAAATGGTCCTCAGTTCCTGAAAAAGCAAGAAGATGGAAATCCACAGATTTACATGGTTACCGAACTAACAAAGTGAAATCCCTTGATATAACAAGGAATCGTGAAGAAAATACAAATTAATTAATTAATTAAATGGACCCTGAAAAGATGTATAACGGGAGCGTGATGAGTGACAGACCTCCTTTTCTCTAATAAAGATTTAAACTAGTAGAAGAAAAAAAAATCTGTACTGTTTCACATTAAATGTTGACAATATGAAACAGTAATCACTTTGGCATCGTACTGAATGTTAAAAAAATTAGAATCCTCTGAATCTTTTAATGTGGACATCTGAAAATACCATCACACTTCCAACCAAAGCTCATTGCCCAGTTAATTCCAACTTCGGCCGTTACATAAATTAAACAGGGCCGCTAGTAAGGCAACTTGTCTAAATGTTAAAACAGTTTTTGTTCTATGGCAACTTCTAATGAACAGAGGGGAGGTGTTTGAGAACAGAAAAACAAAAAATATCTATCGTGATATTAAAAGTAATTTTTGGGCCTTCTTGTCACACTTTGTGCCTTTAGTGTGAACAGCCATATAGCACGTTCACCTCTCAGCAAGGAAGGTCCCTGGGTTAAATGTCCAGGTGGAACGGGGTCAATTCTGAGTGAGAAGTTGGCATGTTCTCACCCTGCTTGGCTTAGGTATTCCTCGGGTACTCGTTTCCCTACAACTAAAAATAGAGTCAATAATATCTAGCATGCGCCTCCTGACTGGCGACCCCGCTCGCCCATCCTTGTTGGAGTAGAGAGACATAATGCCAAAATCTAACAATTGTAAACCAGCTTTGAGACTCTGAACTGCAGTTGAAAAGGAGGAATAGGAACAAATAAGAGATTACTACTACCTTACTTACTACCCTACCACTAAAAACCTCTCACTAGGTTAAAACCTCCCGCGCCGGGCCCTGACCAAGCGGAGACCATCAACATTCTGGAGATGGTTTCCTGTGCGCGTTTACTAACGGCAACCACTGCTCCTGACGGTAAGTCACTTACTTTACTCGTAGTTTGAATCTATTTACTGGTATGTAATCTAATGTGAGTATAATTACATCACAGTTTAAATGTTGAGATTTATGACTGCTATAGACAGTACCTTTAGGTCAATATAAAAGGTAGAACTGTGTACTTTAATAAGATAAAGACAATGCTCAATCAATCAATGTTCATTATTGTAGCAGTTCTCACGAGCTGATATCACATAAAGCTTAATCATCACATAGCATCCTAAACAGTAAAATCACACAGTGTTATTAAAAATCACAAATAACAAAGAATTAAAGAGTAGTGATAAAACCTTCAGATGGTAGCAAAGGCACAATGGAAACATGCTTACAACCTGGGATGATCACTGCTGAGTGTAGACGACTGCTGCACATTTTCTGAAAAGACGTTTCCAAAGATTATTAAGCAGCATGAATCTGAAACGCAGCTCCCCATGTTTCGATACCCCCTGACTCTGGACCAGCAGGAGAACCGAGTCCCTGTGCTCCTCAGAGTCCCCAGCAGGAGGCCAGTCCCCTGTGCACCTCAGAGTCCCATCTGAGGCCATCCCTGTGCTCCTCAAAGTCCCAGCAGGCGGCCAGTCCCTGTGCTTCCTCAGAGTCATCAGCAGGAGGCCAGATCCCCTGTGCTCCTCAAAAGTCCCCCAGCAGGAGACCAGTCCTGTGCTCCTCAATTCCCAGCAGGAGGCCAGTCCTGTGCTCCTCGAAGTCCCAGCAGGAGGCAGTCCCTGTGCGCCTCAAAGTCCCAGCAGGAGACCGGTCCCTTGCACCCAGAGTCTGAGTCAGGGCTCATAGGTGACTAACAATGTGTTATGGCCCATTGCAGATGAATCAAGCGAGACCTGTGTAGAAAAGTCTAAAGTCATGAGTTTTATCTGATTATAAAATTATGCTGTTCTAGATGGCTTGATTTCGTCTGTAGCTGCACAATACTCCAATATAATTCCAATGATTTCAGGAAAAAATCTGCATGTTTATTGGAAATACAAAAAGGTTAGTTACACCAAATCACAAACATTCTTTCAGTGAACGTTCCACACTTTACTCACGTACTAAAATTGGGGGGGTGGGGGTGGGGGGGAGGGGGAGGGGTGGGGGTGGGGGGGGGGTGGAGGGGGGGAAGGGATGGGGGGGGGGGGGGGGGGGGGGAGGGGGGCTGGTTAGGATGGGGGAGGGGGCGGGGAGGGGGGGGTGGCTAGGGGACCGGGGGGGGGGGGGTGGGGGGGGGGGGGGGGGGGGGGGGTGGGGTGGGTGCGGGAGGGGGGTGGGGGGGCGGGAGGCGGGGGGGGGGGGGGGGGGGGGGGGGGGGGGGGGGGGGGGGGGGGGGGGGGGGGGGGGGGGGGGGGGGGGGGGGTAATGGGTGGGGGTATAACAAAATGAAGTATTTATATATGTCTTATATATGTGGGGTAGGGGGTTTATGATTTATGTAGGATAGGTTTATGGATGGATCGGATATTTAAGGGGTGTATAATGGGAATCAATTGTGTTGTTGGGAGGGGATTATATATTTTTGTTGATGTTGGTGTGGGTTTACAGAATTGGTGTACCAAGAATAAGTGTGATGCCAGTTAGATATAGGTCACAAATAAAAAGGTAACTCGCTGATCACAACCGTCGCTTGGATCATAATAGTAGGAGCTTCGCTATAATTTTGGGGACTTAACTTACTCCTCACATCAGGCAATATTTGGGCCAATCACTTGATCCGTGCATGCCAGAGTGAGTCAGAGATGATGTGGTAGACGGGTCTCTAATGGTTTTGGAGCTGGACCAACTCAGGACATTTAATGCATTTATATGGTAAATAACCAGGAGGAACTTTCAAGGTAAGTTGAGGCGTGATCTGATGATGTCTACCTAGAATAAGTTTACTATAAGGGATACGTCGCCCCCTGTTCCGTCACATCCAGCTCAGTGTGATTTGGACACCTTATTAACACTGTGCTTGTCGTCCGCAAAGTTCTTCAATTTTGAAAAGTAACATGGAGCCGCTGTGGAGGTGGTTGAGCAAAAACATCGGTTAGGGACATCATCCGCACCCATTTTAGAAGGGCCCCTGTTTACCTCAGACATATGTTCAAAGAGTGCTCCTGCAAGTCAAAGATCCCACATACAAGGACACACCAAAAGGTCGTGGGGTTGAAAATGTCTGACCAGCATTCTTCGTTTTGTTTTAATTTTTGGCTTCTTCACAAATGATCTCTTGAATTATAGGCAAATGATCTTGGAGTGTCCACGTAAGTTTGTTTTTTGTCTTTCCAATCCATGTTGATGACATTGGGTAAAGACTGTTGATCAGACATTTCTTACAGAATAGGCTTAGGACATCTATGTTCAGGGCATACTGGGCTCACTGAGGCATAGGACAGTTACTTGCATGATGTGTTGCCAAATGTCCGTTGCCAGTTAGTTAGGGGGTATGATAGGGCCTTTCTAAGTCACCCTTAAACCTGGGGGTATTACCGGTTGAGGTGTGGGTATATATGAATTCTTTATGATGGTTGCACACAAAACCCAAAATGATACATTTTTGAACAAAGAAAGGCGCTCCATTACAACAATTAGTTCAGTCACTATCAACTTCCCACTTAACATACACTCTAACAAAAATACAATTGTGCAATCCAATAGTTGACCTACGAACTCAGACAACTTTGTCTCGGGATGGGAAAGGCAAGCGGCAACAGTGCATATTTCTCATAGAGACACAGGATTCCATGAAAGACATAAAATCCTAATCTCTGGAGAATAGCACGCATAACAAATGCGCTCTAAAGACTATCATATGCTGAACTGGATTACCACGGGGATTAGCGCTGTACGCCGCCTCAACACTCTCGAGCGTTGGAAACCGCGCCACACGGAGAGCAGTGCCTACAGAACTTCATAAGTACAACGGCAACACATACTACGTCACCTACGGGCCATCGCAGCAGCTCTGACCAACAACATAATTCACATATTTATTCGATTAAGGGGGGGGGGGGGGGGGAGGGGGGGAAGGGGGGGGGGGGGGAGCGGAGTGGGGGGGGGGGGGGTGTGGGTAGGGGGGGGGGGGGTGGGGGGGGGGGGGGGGGGGGGGGGTAAAGGGGGGGAGGTATTGGGTGGGGAGGGGGGGGGGGGGGTATGGTGGTGGGGTAGGGGGGGGGGGGGTGGGTGAGGGGGGAGGGGAGGGAGATGGGGTGGTTGGGGGGTGGGGGTGGTGTGGGTATGTGGGGGGGGGGGGGGTGGGGGGGGGGGGGGGGGGTGGGGGGGGGGGGGTTGGTGGGTGGGTTGGGGGGGGGTTTGGGGGTGGGGGTGGGGGTTGGTGGGGGTGGTTGTGGTTGGGTTTGGGTGGGTGGGGTTGGGGGGGGGGTGGGTGTGTGGTGGGGGGGGGGGGTTGGGGGGGGGGTGTTTGGGGTGGGGGTGGGGGGGGGGTGTTGTGGGTGGGGTGGGGGGGGGGGTGGGTTTGGGGGTGGGTGGTGGGGGTGTGGGGGTGGGTGGGGGGGGGTGGTTTGTTGGTTGGAGGGGGGAATATAGTTGGAAGGAATGAATTCATTTGACTGACGCACAGTGGAAGATCAAACACGCTTTAGTAAATGCAGGACCGTCTAATTACATTAAAGGCCAAGTTGCAAAACGCTTCCACTGGGAGCGCCGCCACTGGCCCCCCGCCTGAGCGCTCTCCGGCTAGGTATGTGCTTGCACACATGAAGGATGGCTGACAAGGAACCACATTGTGTACACAGGCGTCTTTTAATTGTTTTGGGCCCCCCCGGGGGGGGGGGGGGGGGGGGGGGGGGGGGGGGGGGGGCCCATATTATTTGTTAATTATATCCAAATTGCAATGATTATTATTATTTAATTATTGAATTATTTCAATTTTAATATTTAGAATACAAACCAATCATATAAAGGTCATGGGTGGAGTTTGCAGCAGAAACGTGTCTGAATGTGGTCCCAAAACATGCAAAGCGACATGGCCTTTAGGTAGGCGGGGGTTAGCAAATCCAAAAAGATCCTGAGGTAGACAGTACTGATGGCGAGTCGTGCACCAATAAACTCATTATGAGAACGTATAGCAACCTACACTCTCAGTCACATTATTATAGAAAGCATCTTCAGCCATTTACACAGGCGATCTCAGTCCATTGCCGTGAAAAGGCCAGTGCTCATTCTACGCACCAGGCCATTGCGGAGAGAATGTACGTGAAGACCATTTTTATATAAGAAGCCCGATATCACACGAGACCGGAATTATAAACTATATTGGCCGATTTTTCCAAACACTGAGCTACCCACACACGGGAGATCAAAAATCAAGGGTCTAACCACTTTGGTCCGTACATGTATGGCACAGCGCACACGGCAAATCACACAAACGGTGGCACGGTGGCTTGAGTGGATGAGCACCCGCGGCAGCACACAGCAAGAAGGTCCTGGGATCTAATCCCCATTCGGAACCAGGGCCTTTCAGAGGAGTTTGCATGTTCTCCGCCTGTGTCTGCGTAGGTTTCCTCCGGGTACTGGCCGTTTTTCCCCCTACCACTAAAAATCTTACAATAGTTCTGGCATTGCGCCTCATGTACTGGCCCTGCTCCCATCACTGTGGTGGAGTGAGAGACTAATGCCACAAAATTAACGACTTGGTAAACCGCTTTAGAGACTCAGATTCTGCAGTGAAAAGGCGGTATATAAATAAAAACGTACTTGGCTTACTTACAAACCGCACACGCAAACCGATTTCACCCGGAGGCCGAGCAGTTCCCCAGGTCAGACGTAAATCTCACAAACTTCTTCAGGAGATCAAGCATGACTTCAGAGTAGAACATCGTGGCGGACGAAGAGGCGGCAGGTGGCGATAGTTTTGTAAGTTTTTTTTTAACAAAAAAGTGTTATCAAAGGAAAAGGCGATGGGTCAAAGAAAGGGAGACAACACGAGCATAGACTAAAAATACTTATATTAATTTATGCCACTGACTGTTATTTGATGACTGTTTTCAATCAAAACCAAACGGTGACGTGACTCCTGAACTGCCGGTGAGCTGTTTCTTGACTGCTAACACTGCTGCTCTCTGGTTTGCACAAACAAACACATTACAAATCCACTATTGTACACCAAGCTAACTGTGTAAGCACACCGAGTCAGCTGTACGCAGCGTGAGGTTTAGAGCGGTTTTTTGTCCTGGACCTCGGAGTCTGGTTGTGCGGGCCGGGGGATCCGTAATAGCTTAGCCTGAGCCAAGCTTAGCCTAGCCTAGGCTGCTAAACGGGTCGCTACTCCTATGGCGGCTGCTGTCTCTCTCCTCAGTCCTGTTACTGCGCGAGTTGCCTTATGGCGAGTCTAAACCCTGGATCCTTCTCGTGAGGGTAAGTGATAGATGTGTGCAGTGTAGTGTAGTCGTAGTCTCTGGAATCCAGGTCAGTGAGTTAGAGAGCAGCGTCTCCGACACTGGAGTCTCGAGCTGCGCATAGCATTAGCTACAGCCAGGCCGTATCCCTCAGGTACACGGAGCGCAGCTTTATGGAACAGGCTGAGGAGGAACTGCAGCCTAGCCTCCCAGCCCGACCTCCGCAGCTGGGACACGACCAGGATAGTGATAGGCTGTTGTGGACTGTTCGGAGAGGGCCGACGTGTGTTGAGTTGGTAGTTGCCCCATTGGGCCCTCCCTCCTTGTTAGCATTTACACAAATCGCTGGGACGCTCTGTCGGAGAAGAAGGCCCCACTGAGAGAGCCGCTGAGAGAGCCCATGAGAGAGCCGCTGCAGAGAGCCGCTGAGAGCGGCCGCTTGATAGAGACCCCGATGGAGCTCGTCTGAGAGAGCCGTCTGACGGAGAGCCCTGAGAGAGCCGCTGAGAGGTCGCTGAGAGAGAGCTGCTGAGAGAGCTGCTGAGAAGAGCTGCTAGAGAGCCGCTGATAGAGCTGCTGAGAGAAGCCGCTGAGAGAGCTGCTGAGAGAGCTTGCTGAGGAGAGCTGCTGGAGGAGAGCGGCTGAGAGAGCCGCTGAGAGAGCCGCTGAGGCGCGCTGCAGAGTCGAGCTGCTGACAGTAGCTGCTGATAGAGCCTGCTGAGAGAGCTGCTGAAGAGAGCCGCTGAGAGAGCTGCTGAGAGAGCTGCTGAGAGAGCCGCTGAGAGAGCTGCTGAGCCAGGATCTGCTGAGAGCGCCGCTGAGGAGAAGCCGCAGAGAGAGCTGCTGAGAGAGCGCGAGAAGCGCAGCTGAGGCAGAGCTTGCTGGAGAGAGCTGCCTGAGAGCGGCTGCTGAGAGAAGCTTGCAGAGAGAGCTGCTGAAGAGAGCCTCTGAGAGAGCTGCAGAGGGAGAGCTGCCTGAGATAGCGCTGAGAGAGCTGCTTGAGACGCAGCTGCTGAGAGAGCTGCAGAGAGAGCTGCTGAGAGAGCCTATGGTGAGTCGCTGAAGCGCTGGGTAATTGGCTCCTCATTGTTAGAGGAGTTAAGCTCCCCAGGAGCCACTGTATCGGGTGCTCCCGGGGCCAGGCTTGGTGATATTGAAGGGAATCTAGGCTCAGATGACCCAGCAAGCTGCGTTTCCGTGCGAATTGTTTATTCACCGCGGGTGGTAATGACGTTCGGCGGAAACAGTCCGAGGTGTAGAAGCTGCCAAGTCGCCGCCGTGTGCAAGCTGGCTAGCACAATGGCCGACACTGTCATCTTCTCTGGGCCCCTACTAGCACTAGCATGCAGAAGCATTCAGCAAGACACTCGGGCTTTCAACCGGCTGGCTGTCTTGATGGTGCCCTCGAAGTGGTGTTGTTCATGTTGACAATTGGAGTGCCTTTTGGGGAAAGCCCGGTCACATCCGCTCGGGGGTTGAATATCCACCCAACGTTGGCGGGTACATCCCTTTTGGCTAAGAATTTGGCCCTGGCTCTAAACTGTTCTGCTCGCTCAAATGACGGTGCAGAACTGAGCCCCGGGTGCAGTAGCAGCCTCTGCGCACAACCTCTGAGCCCCCAACTGTTCAGTTAAACTAGCCTCCAGAAGCTAGTCAGATTGAAACTGTGTGTGCAATGTGTGTGTGTGCCGTGTGTGCTCAGTGTACAAAGCCTCAGAGAACCTAGTGCAGATTGAAACATGTGTGTGTATGTTGTATGTGTGTGTGTGTGTGTGAGTGTTTGTTGTGGTGTGTGTGGGTGTGTGTGTGGTGTGTGTGTGTTGTGTGTGTGGGTTGTGTGGTGTGTGTGTGTGTGTGGTGTGTGTGTGTGTGTGTGTGTGTGTGTGTGTTGTGTGTGCTCAGTTACTAGCCTCTACTAGCCTCAGAACCTAGTCACGATTGAAGACTGGGTGTTGTTTCCTCGCTTGAAGTCAACAAAGCCACTATATGCGAGGAAATCTGACCTAGGTGTCAGAGACAGTAACTTAATAAAAGTTTAGACATACAGAAAATAGTTTACAAACAGTAGGGTTAGTTACAAATGTGGTTTAATGAACGTCAGATCAATCTCGTCTAAATCGCTTCTCATGAAACAAACTTATTATAAGGAACAAGGGCTTGGATCTGTTTGCGCTCTCGGAGACTTGGCTCCAACAGGACGACTACGTTAGATTGAATGAGTGCACTCCTCCGACGCATGTTAACTACCAGAAAGCCAGAGCTACAGGTCGCGGCGGTGGTGTTGCGATTATATCACACACCAACTTGGTTCTTAGTCCCAAAACCAACAACGCTTTTCACTCGTTTGAAAACTTAACACTTTCAATCACCTGTCCTGGGTGGAGAAAACAAAAAGCAGTACTATTTATAGTTTTATACCGACCTCCTGGTCCTTACAGCGAGTTCCTAACAGAATTCTCTGACTTCATTTCAAACCTAGTTTTGGAATGGGAAAACATAGTTATAGCTGGAGACTTCAATATACATGTGGACGACAGCACTGACAGCTTAAACAAAGCTTTCAGCGCCGTACTAGATGGTGTCGAGGAACCTACTCACATTCATAACCACACCTTGGACCTTGTCCTGACCTACGGCTGTGATGTCTCCAATGTTGACATCCAGCGTCAAAGCTCGTTGCTGTCTGACCATTTCTTGATCACGTTTGATCTCGCTTTGGAGGACTTTCCTGTCCCGCAAGATAAAACCATAATGAAAAGAACCTTAAATGAGATAAATCTATCACAAGGTTCAAAGAACTAATACAGCCTATGTTGAATACTGCTGCAGGTGAACCTGTTCACAGCAGCTGCAGTCCCTCAGTCATTGACCAAACGGTGGGCAACACTATGGAGTCTTTAAAATCTGCATTAAATGCAGCAGCTCCTTTAAAACAGAAAACCATTAGGATTAGATCATCGTCGCCCTGGTACAGTGTTCAACTCCACACTTTAAAACAGGACGTCAGAAAATTGGAGAGGCTATATCGCTCTTCCCACTCGGAGCCTGTCCACATGGACAGGTTGAAGCGGCATACGTGACTTCCCACTTAGACTCTTCAGTGGGCCTTAATAAATTCATGGCTGTGAGCCAAGCAGAGGTGATCTCTGTGGTCACATCCTCAAAAAGCCTCAACTTGCATGTTAGACGCAGTCCCGACATGGCTCTTCAAAGACATACTTCCTTTGATAATTGAGCCTATCGTAAATATAATAAACGCATCCATACAATGTGGCTATGTCCCACAAGCTTTTAAAACCGCGGTAATCAAACCCCTTCTGAAGAAAACAAACCTGGACCCAGAAATACTTACAAACTACAGACCGATCTCAAACCTCACTTTTATATCTAAAATCCTGGAAAAACTTATAGCTGAGCAGCTCCGCTGCCACCTGCAGGAAAATGATATGTTTGAAGTCTTTCAATCAGGATTCAGAGCTCATCATAGCACTGAAACGGCACTAGTCAAAGTCACAAATGACTTACTACTAGCTGCCGATAATGGACAAGTGTCAGTGCTGGTCCTACTGGACCTTAGTGCTGCATTTGACACAATAGACCACAGCATTCTACTGCAGAGGCTAGAATGTGATATAGGTCTTAGAGGAACAGCCCTTGGCTGGTTTAAATCCTATTTATCAGATCGATATCACTTCGTCAATGTGAATCAGGACTCGTCGCCTTATTCTGGAGTGGAATTCGGTGTGCCGCAGGGTTCGGTACTCGGACCGATTCTTTTTACTCTCTACATGCTGCCACTGGGAAACATTATTAAAAAGCATGGAATTAATTTCCACTGCTATGCAGATGACACACAGCTTTATCTGTCGATGAAGCCTAATCAGACAGATCAGCTAGAAAAGCTCAGTGCCTGCATAAAGGACCTTAAAATGTGGATGACTCTTAACTTCCTACTTCTCAACCCGGAGAAGACAGAAGTGATCCTACTCGGTCCGAAGCGCCTGCGTGACTCCCTCACTAACCAGATGGTTACTCTCGATAATGTCAGTATAATACCCAGTAACACTGTGAGGAATCTTGGAGTCATTTTTGACCAAGAACTCTCCTTCAAGGCTTATATAAGCCAAGCAACTAAAACGGCGTACTTCCACTTACGGAACATCGCTAAAATTAGGAATTTCCTTCCTAAAAGTGACGCGGAAAAACTCATTCACGCGTTTGTCACCTCAAGGCTCGACTACTGTAACGCTTTACTGGCAGCGTGCCCTAAAGCCTCTTTGAAGAGCTTCCAGCTCGTTCAGAATACAGCAGCTAGGATCTTAACAGGTACCAAAAGGAGGGAGCACATAACTCCGGTGTTAAAATCACTCCACTGGCTCCCTGTGGAGTACAGAATAAAGTTTAAAATCCTACTCTTAACATATAAAGCCATAAATGGCTTGGCTCCTTCTTATCTCAAAGACACGTTAGTGTCGTATCAACCAGGTCGAGCGTTGCGCTCACAAAACGCCAGACGTCTGGTGGTCCCTAAGGTCTCAAAGGTCACTGTTGGTGGCAGAGCATTTAGCTACCAAGCTCCTTTACTGTGGAATCAGCTTCCCATTTATGTTAAGGAAGCAGATACGGTCTCCACATTCAAGGCCAGGCTTAAAGCACTTTACTTTAATTTAGCATATAATTAGGTAATATATAATATGTAGTGTATATATTATATATATATGCTGTATTATGTTATATATTATGTTATATATTATTCAATAATGTATTGTGTTATGTTGTATATTATGTTATATATTATGCTGTATGTTATTCTTTATTCAAGGCTAGGTTTAAAACAGTCCTCTTTAGTTTAGCATATGGCTAGGAAGGTAAGACTCGGAGAAGGTTAAACTCCTCAGAGTGTTAGTCAAGCTGCATAGGGAGTCAGTTTGCTGGGAGAAGTATGGTAACTTGAGCACTATCCTCTCCTCCTTCCTACTTTATCTGTTTAGCATTTTTAGGATTCTGACTGTAGTTTGTTCATTGCTATTCACCCGTTGTCCCATTGTCTGTTTCATGGTACGATGACGGGATCTCTGAGCCTGGCCTCTTCCATCTACACCTGCGGACTGCCCCGCCCGACCCGCCTGGGAGTGCTTCAGTCCTGCACCGGACCTGTCCACGTTCAGCGTCCACTGGTCCACGTTCTGTAGCTAGCTTAGGTCCTGGATCATTAGCCTGTCCGTCCGGAGGAGCGGATCCCTTTCTCATATGGGTCTCCCTCCCTGTGGGTTTCCCTAGTTCTCCTCCAAGGTTTCTCACTTTTTCCCACTGGGTTTTTTAAGAGTTTTTCCTTGTCGATGCAGGAGGGTCTTGTTGGACAGTTAGTGTCCAACAGAAAGGATTGGTGATGATCAGGACACTTTAGCATTCTACAACATGTATGGACATTTTCTTCTGTGTGTGCTTTATATTCTTCATGTGTTTTAACTGTTGATTCTCTGACCTGTGTTGGTGATTTCAATGGTTTTGTTAAGTCCTCTGAGATGACTTCTGTTGTGACCTAGGGCTATACAAGAATAAATTGTATTGTAATTGTATTGTATTGTATAAGACAGGCCAAGGTGCCATTTAAATTACATTGCATTTATTTTTATCCATTGATCAAACAAACACATTACAAAATTTGCAATTGAAAGAGACTATTTTAAAATAATTAGTTCCCAAAGACACACACGAGCAACACTCACGCCTGACAGCCAAGAACCAGGGAAAATACAGTACGCAGATTATGCCTGACAGACAAGAACCAGGGAAATTACAGTACGCAGAGCGCGCCTGACAGACAAGAACCAGGGAAAATACAGTACGCAGAGCGCTGAGTATGTGAACGGAGCAATCGCTTGCTGCTGTTATTATAATAGCTAGATCCATGCTTGCAGCCCGCGTAAAGCTTGCACTCACTCACAGCCGCTAACAACAACCAGAGCGGCCACGGAGGAGGCCATCTCACACGCAGCATTCTGAGTGATATTCTTATGGATAAATGGGCAGGTCATTCGGACATGCGTTTAAAAAAAAATAACGCGTTAATGAAAAATTTAATTAACGTGAGTTAACGCGATAATTTTGACAGCCCTACTTTTTTGTTATACATTTGTCTTAACTGGGACCCCAGGAAGATTAGCAACCACACGGAAGCTAATGGGGATCCCCAAAAAACCAGTAAACACATCTTTTTACACCACAAATAGTTAAGATCCTCATCCTCCATCAGTCCATTCAATTAGCTTAGCATCATTTTTTTTGCTTGAAATTCAATGCTTTCACAGGAATTGTTTGCTAAATGTCTGATGAATAACCTTTAGGGGACCCTTTTTTCTTTTTCAACCAATACAACAATATCTGGTGCATATCTGTAATAATACTCTTCATGTAAATGCTGAGGAACAAGCCACACGTATGACCACCGCGGCGCTGCTGTTTTAAACTAGCTTCACATTCTGAGAGAAGTGAGGCTTGAGAGAGAGACGCAGAGCAGGGATTTCTGTGCACGGCTTGATGCTGAATAGAGGTCGCACGTCGTCTTGCTTTCGCCCTGTCTGGAATATAAAACCCACAAAGCACAGTTCTAATGTTTCCTCAGAGACGCCACAGAAACGGCTGCAGCGAGTTCTTCCTTTGAGACAATCACAACCAACAAATAAGGATTTTAATAAATAACTGACGTATCAGCAAAACAGACAATCTAATAAAGAAATGCAGAGACCAGGAAGTGGATTTTTTGGGTTAATTAATGGACGTGAGCAAACACACAGTGACGAATCATAATCAAACCAATTATATTATTATTATTATTATTATTATTATAAATGCAAGGTTAAAGGGTTTTTAATTGTTTTTTTTTTTTTAAATCTTAAATCACATCTACGTATTTGTTATGTGTTCACAGATTATAGGTCAACATTTACAAACCAAACTAGAATTTTCTGAACAAAAGTTTAAAGTGGCGTGATCCAAAAATATCTTGCACTTGTACTCTGAACCTTGTTTTATTTATGTTCTTGTCTTCTGCACACTTGGGACTTTTGCAATTGTATTCCTGTGTGGTTTTACAGCAAATGGCAAATAAAAATGAATCTGAAATAAGTAGAGATACGTGATGCACAGTTTGTACGGTGTCTAACTAAACCCCAGCAGGTGGATTGCATCAGTAATGAGCGCTAAGGAGCCAATACGTCACAAGAAGATTCTGGCAACAAAAGTCGGATTGTAATTGTAATGGCTTCAACAGACCACTAGGGGTTTAGTATAATAGAGAGTACAGTAGATTACATACGGCCCCTTTAAGTTCAAATCTAAACTCAAAAAGTAAATGTTTGTTATTAGTGCGATTTTTCTTTTAAAGAGTCACAACCTAACAAAGATGTCATGTCATTTGTGTTAAAGTCCTTCTCACTTTTTAGTAATAATGTAAATAATATAAATACACAAAGAAACAAAACACAAGGGAACAGCTTAAAACAAAGGCACTTACAGTTTTATTATCTCCATTATTAATCAAAACAAACTAGTAGAAAATATGTGGTTTCTATAACAGTGCTATTTTTTTTAAAGAAAGTTTGGCGATGGTTCTAATCATAAATATCCAATGATCGTATTCTTAACAACCATGACAGAGAACAGTGACCTCAAAGTGATCAAAGCTTTACAGCATTTCTGTCTGATCATGATCAAAAACAGACAGAAATGCTTTGCTAATAGTCAATATGAGCCTTTAATCCACCCCGCTCTGTAATCTCCCTCCCGCCGCCCGCTGCTCGAAGTCCCTTTCATACTTCTCGAACTCCTGTGCTCGGCTTTGCCCTGCTCTATACTTATAACTCGATCTCGTTACAGAAGCGAGTCGTTCCTCAGACACGAGAAGGCACTTATAGCGCTGCCACTCCATTCTCAGCCGCGGACGTAAGTGAGAGAGGGAGAAACGGTGGAGAGAGAGAGAAGTGATGCGCTTTTCCAACTTACATCAATTAAGTCTGACAGGTCGTGGATGTAGTATTTGAAGATGGAGGCGTTGGAGGCTTCTAGCGTCAGCAGGTACTCGTTCCGCGCTTTGATGGACTTGAGTTTGTTCTCCGAGTACTTGGCTTGGCGCTGATGAAGGAGGCAAAGAGACAAAACGGTGAAACAGGGGAAATAATTCATGATGAAATGGTTTTGTTAAGTGCACGTTTTACACAAGAGGAGATACTGTGTTTTTAAAATGTATTTATTTAACCTCTGTGGTGATTGCAGTTTTATAATAATAATAATAAGGATTTATATAGCACTTCTGAATTCTGAAGGTTCTATTCTATTGTTACCCTGAATTTCATTAAAAAAATTTCAGTCCTGCATTTTGGATTCCGTTTTTCATTGCCCCTCAAGACCGCCATTGGCCCCGCCCACCATCAGTAACCAGGCCCAAACAATTCCTTCAGTGCCAACACGGTCAGTCAATTAATCCAGTGAAAACAATATGCCAAAATATTCTCCAACATCATTGCAAAAAATGATAAAACATGAGATAGTAATCGCCTGAATCCAGTGGTTTTTATCCAAATTTGCGTCCAAGAGAGACATTTCTTGTATCTTTTAAAACCAAAATAAAACAATTTTATCTCATTGGCAAATCTAGCTTTAAGACAGTCAAAATGTGCTCAAAATAAGATTCATTTTTGCCAAATATGAGCAATTTTTCGCTTATTCTTCATCACTTTTTGCAGTGTACATATCAAAAAGGCCACACCCACTCAAAGCAAACTTTTACACCAATCCTGAAGAGGAATGAGAACGCATTAGGGAACTTTTTAATGTAATACTAAAGCTGGGCGACCTAAATTTCAAACAACAACAAAATGCAATCCTTTGTAGTCCTTTGCTCTCTCTAATTCTTTTCCAACCCAGTCTGATCATCCAGCCGCCGACGTTTAAAAACCTCTTCTTTGGTCGAGACTTTCTACTTGTTTAGTCCAGTTTCTAACCAATCTAACAGGTTCAGGAATTTGTAAACAAAATATGATGCTTTGAGAATCGACGTGAGCACTTGGCATTAAAGGGTTCCGTACCTTTTCTCTCATCTTCTCGATCTTCTTGACCGAGCTGCGGCGCTGGTACTTGTCCTCCATCCTGATGCTGAAGACCGGGTCTCCTCTACCGATCTGCTTCCCCTCCTGCTTCTCCGCCTCCTTCAGTTTACTCTCCGAGCTGATACTTTCCGAGTGGTACATGTGGTAGGTCTTCATTACCTGCAGAGAGAGACGATACACATTTTAACCACAGCATGTGTGGTGGTTCACCGTAAATATCCCTCCTCCCTCTTAGGGCTGAGCGATAAAACAATAACAATATATATCGCAATAGACACGTGTTCAATATCAATAGAAAAGGTTCGATAGTTTAATTTCATTCTGTTTAGAAAAAACAGGATGAAAACACAAGAAGTAAAGCAAAGTCAGAAGCGCGCGGCATTCTGGGGGATGTAGGCAGAGGCTTCTCGACCTATTACGGCCGAGCATGAACCACAAAACATTCTGGGACTAAACCGGGATTAAAACAGGATTAAACCAAGACAAAACCGGGTTTAAACCAGGACTAAACCAGGATTAAACCAGGACTAAACCAGGACTAAACTGGGATTAAACCAGGACTAAACCAGGACTAAACCAGGACTAAACCGGGACTAAACCAGTACTAAAACAGGACTAAACCGGGACTAAACCAGGACTAAACCAGGCCTAAACTGGGATTAAACCAGGACTAAACCGGGATTAAACCAGGATTAAACCAGGACTAAACCAGGACTAAACCGGGATTAAACCAGGAATTAACCAGGACTAAACTAGGACTAAACCGGGATTAAAGCAGGACTAAACCCGGATTAAACCAGGACTAAACCGGGATTAAACCAGGACTAAACCGGAATTAAACCAGGACAAAATCAGGACTAAACCAGGACTAACAATGGGGGACACTATGCTTGTGAACATATGCCTCCAGCCTGAGTTCCCATTCCCCCGTGACTGTAAATGTATTTATTTAGGTTTAAACAAAAATAAAAAATAAAATCAATAACTATCGATATGAATAACTTATATTGGGATATAGTTTCCAGCCACATCGCCCAGGCCTACTCCCTCTGCCTGTAAACCAGCCTGGGCCCATGGATGTCCCGGGCCGTCCATCATGGAGACACTGAGCTCATCTCACAGCTGCCGGTAAGACTCTCTTCTCTGCAGAGCCACAAACCCAAACCAGATTTCTCCTGGATCTTTTAATGAGGGCCAGTTCTGTGACCGCGACAGCCACAAATCACTGTGGCTAAATGTATCGAGCAGCCGACTCTGCTTTAAAGAGTCAGGAAGTCGTTTTGAGGTTATTTGGACCACAGATTACAGTGGCTACGGACTACTTCCTTGTATAAAGTTGAGCAGGGCAACAGGCAGTTTTTCTATATTCTCGTCTGTTTTCTTCTCTGGCCCGATGTGTGTGTCATATATCATCTGAATTTTTATTTTTATTTAAATTGTGGACATGACAATACATCAACTACATTTCAAATAATTGTCCTGTCACACGAACGATAACTAGCAGCAAAAATAAAATAAATTGTTACCTGTGCGCTTTTATGTTCTCTTTTCTTAGACGTATGAATAATAAAATAAATAATATTGAAGATGGACTGTAGAACTCCTTCTTCAAACTGTGTTAATTGAGTATTTTTAAACATTTAGATTCTTCTTTTAAGGGCTGCACAATATATCGATATATATTTTTATCGCGATATTTGTACGTGCGATATCCATATCAAAAAGAACCGGGATAAAAATGGTTTAATTATTTTATTTTTTTATTATTTTTTTTAACAAAACAGACGGACACATCAACATTCAACAAGAACAAACAAACAAAAAAGTAAATAAATATATGCATTTGAATTTAATTAATGTTGTGCTTATTTTTTGTTATTTGTCTCTTGCGTTTCAAAGTAGATTGCAATTTTAGATGAAAGACAAAATTATCGCAATAATATCGTTATCGAAATACTAAACACTCATATCAAATATCGCAGTCATTTCCAAAATCGTGCAGCCCTACTTCTTTTTATAAATATATTAATTTTCTTGTGTTATTATTTTTTTCTTAAACATGTGGATGTTTGCAGAACTTTTTATCCCATATTCAGGCTGATACCGCAGTCTTACCCCGGCCACTGATATATTCCCATGTGTTTGGTTCTGGCAATAACAATTCATTCATATCAGGAAGTTCAAATGCATTGTTGCCACATATGGACACAGGACTGAGCCAAAAATGGAAAAACCAAAGTGATTTTTCTCAACTTTGACTGATGACGATTTGTATCTGCCATGCCAGTTATATATACAGTATGTTGTTTTATACAATGGGGAGAAACATCATGATACACACTTTTCCCCTTCGCCCAACACAGTAGGATTAAGGCCTAAAAGTAGCACATTTACAGAACTTCCTAGTCTTGTATCTTATGCAGATTTCCGAGGAGTTTTTGTTGATAGAAATAACAACTCTACAGCCACTTGGCCTGATTGGAAGTGAAGAACGTTTTAAGTACTTGAGTCTAGAAGGAAATGACAAAGGTTTTTCAATCAATTCACTGTACTGCTTGTGATATTTGGGGCCTCAAACTTACCCTGAATAAAAAAGACCTTTCCACACTGCAAAAAAATGATACAATAGGATGTAATAAATGCTTGAATCGAGTGGTTTTTATCTTCATTTGAGAACATTCTGACTCTTAAAACAAGATTTGCCTATGGGACAAAGAAGTGTTGCTTTACTTTCTCATTCCAAAGGACACATTACAAATTGGCATTGGCAAATCTCATTATAAGGCAGTCAAAATTAAGATACATTTTGCAAAATTTGAGCAATTTTTGGCTTGTTTTTCCACACTTTTTGCAGACATATCTTTAAACACTTTATGTATATATATTTTTTAACTTATTGTTATATTGTGCCCTTGTATTTTATTTTATTATTATTATTATTATTTTTAAATATATTATTATTATTATTATTATTATTATTATTATATATTTATTTATTTTTATCTTATTGTCATTTTTAATTGTTTTTAATCTTTTAACTCTATCCTATGTTTGTATATTTGTAGGATTGCGAGCAAGGGACCAATGCACAATTTTGGATTATTATAGTATATATCTATCCATCTATTGTGATATTATATTGAATTGTTGACAAAGTTTGAGCTGTGTGACACCAGAAGGAAAATGGACATAGTACTAGGGATGTAACGATTCATCGAAAATCGATTTAAAATCGATTTAAACTGCTTAAAGTATGAATCGATGTACAAAATAAAAGAATCGGTTCTCAACGGCACGTTCAACAAGCGCTCTCTCATGGCTCTGCTGTAAACAAACGCCTTACGTAAATTAGTTTGTACGCTTGCGCCAGAAGTCCTGCGTATTGCGTTTGTGGATGGCTGCAGCGCCAATAAACAAACTAAACACAAGCAAGCATGGCAGCGGCAGCAAGCGACTTCGAGCATTTTGGCTTCCCCGTGCTTACAAAAGAAAATGGTGAGAAAACTACGGACAGAACAAAAACAGCATGTAAGCGTTGCAATAGACTGATCATGTATACAAATAGTACGACCAACATGTCGCAACATATCGCCCGGCACCACAGACACCACCACAAGAGCGAAGACTGGCAAGGGGACAAACTACGCTGACAAACACATTTGCACGTTCTTTAGCTCACTCCAGTGTAAGGGCCAAAGCGATTACACGGTCCATCGCTGTTTATATGGCAAAAAACATGAGACCATTTTCAGATGCAGTTGCAGATGTTCAAATTATAAAAATAACCATTTTTGACCATAACAGGATTTGTGATAACGATCAAAGCTAGTGTACGTTTATTTCATTTTTATGTTTAGTTCTGGCACTAACAAAACACAGTTACAGTCTGATCTGATCCAAGGACAAAAATGCAGATCAAAATGATTTTTTGTTAATTGTCATGTCTTGTAATTTTGTTTATAATGTAAAGTTCTCTTACTGAGACAACAGTTACATTTTGTTAAGGACAAACATGCAGATGTTAAAATAAAATAAACATATTTTGGTTATAAAATGAGTCATATTGATTTTGTAAAGAAAATAGGTAAAAAAATCGGAAAAAATTGGAATCGGGAACTTAAAATCAAGAATCGAATCGAATCGGCCCTTGAGTGAATCGTTACATCCCTACATAGTACCCAATTACAATCTGGCATTTTTGTGTAATACAAACAGACTTAGCCGCAGAAAAGCCTCAACAACTTTGCCTCAAAATGAGTTATTTCAGTAAAAGATTTGTTTGGGATTCACCGTCTTTTACTGGAACTATAGTTTAGAGCGGGGCGTCTGACCCGAGGCCTCCGCTCCACACTTACTGGGTTAGACGTGGCCTCGGTTATGTTTACTTTGGAGCCACTTTTAGAATCAGGAACATATTTAGTTGGAGAGGAGACCTGTTATTTTATCGGCGGTTGCCAGAAATGGACCTGCGGCCGTCTGATGCAATGTTTTGTGTTTCCGTCCGCATTGTGTTCTACAGAAGCTAAACCAGGTCAAAGTCAGAATGTCTGTAAAGAAAACACGGCAGACTGTGTGTAATATTAGCTGCGGATAAACTTTGGACACATAATAAACAATAATCATAAAGCATCCTTTTTCTGTAGTGCTAATTGGAAACTCAAAGACGCTTTACATGCTATTATTCTTTCACCCCATACACTGTGGTGATAAACTACTATTGTAGCCACAGCTGCCCTGGGGCACACTGACAGAAGCGAGGCAACTATCTGTGCCATGGACCACCAGCAACCATTCATACCAGATTCATTTTAGGGTGGGTGAAGTCTCTTGCTTAACACTAGAACTCCCAGAGCAGTCAATTTTAGTTAGTTTTGGACGTGTAATTACTCAACGTATGTACATTTGTGGTCTTCATAGTTTCAATATGTAGTTTATTTCTATGTATTTGTTTTCATTAAATCATATTTTATTTTCATGTGAGGAGTTAGCCACTGCTAGTTACCATAGCAACACACTGTTTACTGTTAGCAGCTAGCAATTAGCGATTCAAAAATATGTTTTTGCAGTATTTCAAGCTATATTCACCAATTATAGCCCTTATAAAGAGTGACTGAAGGTGAAAGACTCATAAATTACTTACTTTTTATAAACCTGGTCAAAAACCGAACATTTTTTGGGGGAATATTTCAGAATGTCATTGGTTGGAATGGGAGCTGTGGCAGTTCTAGTAGTTTCAAAATTGCAGGAGTTTTAGTGTTTAGACAACAACAGTCTGAGCTGTAAAGTAACACTGGCTCCTGGTGTTCCCAGAGGTCTCCCATCACATACTAACCAGGCCCAGCCCTGTTTAGCGTCAGAGGTCTGTCAGGATCTGGCTTTCACATACACACATACATTTTCAAGTAGGTTGCTTTAGAATGGGGACTGGGTCAAGAGGCCGCAGACCAAAGAGTCAACAGAAGAAGGTTCAGTGAGAGGATGTACTCACAGTGTAGAGCTCATTCAGGACCTTCATCAAGTCTTCCTGAAGCTGAAAGGCAATTTCTTTGCTCTGGAAAAAAGCACAGACACAAAAATGCAGTTAATGTAACACTCTGGAACCTTCTGATGGTGGAACTTCACCTGCCTTAATCCACAGACAAAGTGCAGGATCACGAAGCGCTTCACAATTAAAAACATACAAGTCAGTTCCAAAGACAAATATACAGAATAGTCGTGACCACACTTCACTTCAATAGACTTTACACAGAGCAGGTTAAAGGAGCAGTGTGTAACAAATCTGGACAAAAGTGGTACTGCAACCTCTCCCACTCACACAGACTCAGGTTGCCAGGTATGCGGACAAATCAAAAAATTCCAAAGTCTATAACCAACACCTTTTTCACAATGGCCTAGATATAAATCCTCATTTTTAATTCCTTGTTTTGTCATTAATATTTTGAGAATCATAACGAGACCTTTTTTAGTTCTGCGCCACATGGTACTTTACCAGTGAGATTAGCTCTGGCGCCCGGATCACAGACTTTCTGATTGGTAAAACGGTGGAAGGCGGGACGTCGAACTGAAAACAACAACAAGATTCAGGGGCCGTAAAACTAATTTTTGAATATCTCGGCTGAACTACTGTTTTCAGTTAAAGAAGTATTGGAAAAAATAATGTTTTATTTATGCTTTTTGACAGATTAGGGCCATTTAATGATGACCGGACATGAAAATCTTACATATTGCTACTTTAACATCATTTAATGCATATCTTTCAAACTAATTACCCTATTTATCAACGCATACATTAGTTATCGTTAGCTAAATCCTCCTTGTCAATCGTGTGTCTTTGTTTAAACTGTCTTCACTGATATCGGCACCTTTCTCACTCAAATCACTAACCACAGCTTGGGTTTCAGCGTCCATATGCTTTTCACATTAGCACACATTTACACCGGGATGTACGCTTTTTTCCCCCTCTCTCAAATCTGTTAATTCAATCATCCGTGCCACAGGCCGACTCAGTAATACTATCGAGCTCCCACGCCCTCTTTAATGCATCTACAGGAGACGGAAACAACTTTTAACACCAATATCGAGATGGATTCAGGTTTTTTTTTTGCTAAGCGTTTAACAGAGAGGCAGCGAGATTTCCTTCACAGCGACTTGTGTAGTGTATCGCATGTTTATGAGGTTGTGAGTCTCCTGCTGCAGCCGCTGGTGCCAGGCGGGTGCTACCTGGATGATGTTACGGTCTTGGCAATGCACTCTGGGTCTTCTGCTAACCCAATCAAAGCCAGACAAATCTCATTGTGGTACAGCCGCTCCCGACAAAAAAGCAGAGGAAAGATTATAGATTCACCAGGTGTGGTCGGAAAGGTGCTGGATGACTTGAGCCGCTGTTAAACTTGAAATGAAATGTCTTCTGTAAGTTGTTTTGCGATAAAACTGCTTGTTGTGATTACTAGAATTTTAAAATTGCTTTTTTATAATGGTAAGGTTAGAGATTTTATACCTACTTCTTGCTTCTTTATTATGCTAAAGTGAGAATTTTTATACTAAATTCTTTCTTCTTCATTGTGCAAAAGTTAGATATTTTAGCCTTGCTTCCTTATTATGGTAAAGTTAGAGATTATTCTTGGGTTTCATTAACCTGGCCAGTAGGGGGCGAATGAGCAGAGGTGGGACAACTCAGTTTTGCTTCCATTGAAAACCATGTAAAGTCTGTTTTGGAGTCAAAGGCTCTCCTCCTGTGCGGTGTACGGTTGTTGTAACAGCCTTAATCGGGGACACTCAATTCTAAGGGAGTACTGAAGAATATCTCTCAAAAGAGTCTTGATTCCGGGCGTTTCGTTCGGGTGGCCTGCAGGGGGCGCTAATCTGGGAAAGCCTTGATCCACCTCGCCCGCCTCTTTTTAGTTATTTTTTCAAAGTGTACTCCTTTATATGAGACCACAGTTGGAACACGGAAGAAAGTCTGAAAAAGATGGCATTTTGACAGAGCTTCTTCTTCTACTATATCTCCGTGTATAAACCCGACAGACTGCACCGCCAGGATACGTCACGTCCTGTCCTACGTTTGTTATTCGCGCCACTGCCCCGACGTCATATGAAACCCAAGAATATACTTAATTCTTGCTTATTCATAATGCTAAAGTTTAAAGTAAAGATTTTGTGTTATTTTAGTATAGAGTAATTGTTTATTCCTACTCTTCTGTAACTGCTGATGCAACACTGACATTTCCCCACTGTGGGACTAATAAAGGATCTCTTCGTCTTATACTTTGGTGCATTTGTTTAAGTCTTGCTTTGGGAGAGTCCAGACATGAGAGCAGAGGACATGAAACTTTGTCTTTCTCGCTCCTCTCTTTGGAGACGGCTGGGAACACATCCAGGGCTCAACAAAAAGCCTTTTGAGGAGCAGCACTAATGTGTGAGGGTAAACAGTGCACATATAAAAGTTAAGCTCCAACACGTTCCCATAATTACCCTCATCACCAGAAAAGAAAGTCTCAAACTCGAGGTCACACGAGCAAAGTCACCGCTGTGTGTGTGTGTGTGTGTGTGTGTGTGTGTGTTGCTGTTGTTCATCTCAGTTTCAATACTTACTACCTTTTCATTTAGCAAAGGACTCTGGGTTGGGGAGATTCCAATTCTGCTCTAATTCATTAAAAGGATCCTAGAAATGGTTTTCCCCTTTTTAGGCCCATAGCGTCTGTATAGTAACCACATTAGAGAGATGAAACAACCACACACACAGAGAGAGAGAGAGAGAGAGAGGGGGGGGGGGGGGGGGGGACATACAGAGACATAGAGAGACAGAGACATAGACAGAGAGCTAGATAGACAGAAACAGAAATGGAGACAGAGACAGCGAGAGAGAGAAATGAAGAAAAAGAGACAGAAAGAGAGAGAAACAGACCGAGAGAGACAGAGACAGAGAGATAGAGACAGAGACAGAAAGAGAGAGAGTGACAGAGAGAAACAGAGAACGAGAGGGGCGAGACACAGAGAGAGAGAGAGAGAGAGAGAGAGAGAGAGAGAGAGAGGGGGGGGGGGGGGGAGAGACACAGAGACATACAGAGACAGAGAGATAGATAGGCAGACAGGCAGACAGACAGAGACAGAAAGAGAGAGAGACAGAGAGACAGAAAGAGAGACAGAAAGAGAGACAGAGAGAGAGAAACAAAGAAAAAGAGAGACAGAAAGAGAGAGAGACAGACCGAGAGACAGAGAAAGAGAGAGACAGAGAGAGATAGACACAGAGAGACAGAGATAGAGACAGAAAGAGAGAGAGTGACAGAGAGAAACAGAGAACGACAGAGAGAGAGAGAGAGAGGGGGAGACACAGAGACAGATAGGCAGACAGACAGAGACATAAAGAGAGACAGAGACACAGAGAGAGAGAAATGAAGAAAAAGAGAGACAGAAAGAGAGAGACAGACAGAGAGACAGAGAGAAAGAGAGAGAGACAGAGACAGAGAGATAGAGACAGAAAGAGAGAGAGAGACGAGAGGAGCGAGGAAGAACGAGAAAGAGAGTGAGACAGGCTTCAGGGAGCGCTGGGTCTCAGATTGCCGCTGACATGAGTCATGTTATAGCAAAGACAGCTGTAGAAGCGCGTCCACGCCGTGTGCAGATCTGAAACCAGTCCAATAAAAGACAGGAACAGATACGACTATTATTTAAGGGCCGTATTCTCCGGGGGGAGTCCTTCACGTGTCAATGGGTCAGGCTGTGTCTATGTTTATGGTGTGTTTACAATAAAAAGACTGGATTATTTCAAAATGGTGGTGAAGGTGCACAGTATTAACTAATGGACCCCACAGTGACATCAGTCAACATGCCCGTTTTGACATTTTGTAAAACAGAAAAAGGGTGTGTACTGTTCCTACTCAAATAAACTAATAAAAACTCAAACTTAAATAATAATACATTCAAAAGCTGCTCTGCATTTTACGTTCCCAACATTCTGCAGCGGTTCATACTTCATTAAGAAACAACAACACCACAATATTGTACCCGAGTCTTTCTCAAAGTAATCCCTTGAATTGATATGAAAGACAGAAAGTAGCAGCAGCAAGAACAACCGCCACCTTCCATAAATAAAGAGCGTTGCATAAAACAGAAAGTGGTGAATAATTAAAGCAGAATGTACGGGAGAAGATCTGTCCGAGCAGAAACAACCCAGAGCTTTACTACATCCAAAAGAAACGGTCTCAGGGAGCACACATGTTTACACGCTGACGACGGCTTTTCTGTTGGACAAATGTTTGCGATGAACGTGAGAATGCAGGTTTGCTCTTCTTACAATCCCAGCTTTACCCGAACGATTACAAATGCAAGTTTAATCGTAAAGCACAGTTCATGCACAAGGCAACTCAAAATCCATCCATCCATCCATTTTCTTCCGCTTTATCCGTTGCCGGGTCGCGGGGGCAGCAGTCTAAGCAGAGACGCCCAGACTTCCCTATCCACACACACCTCCTCCAGCTCGTCCGGGGGGACCCCAAGGCGTTCCCAGGCCAGCTGAGAGACATAGTCCCTCCAGCGTGTCCTAGGTCTTCCGCGGGGCCTCCTCCCGGTGGGACGTGCCCGGAACACCTCCCCAGGGAGGCGTCCAGGAGGCATCCGGAACAGATGCCCGAGCCACCTCAACTGGTTCCTCTCGACGTGGAGAAGCAGCGGCTCTACTCCGAGCTCCTCCCGTGTGACTGAGCTCCTCACCCTATCTCTAAGGGAGCGCCCAGCCACTCTGCGGAGGAAGCTCATTTCGACCGCTTGTATCCGCGATCTCGTTCTTTCGGTCATTACCCAAAGCTCATGACCATAGGTGAGGGAGGGAACGAAGATTGACCGGTAAATCGAGAGCTTTGCCTTTCGGCTCAGCTCCTTCTTTACCACAACGGTCCGATACAGCGACCGCATCACTGCGCACGCTGCACCGATCCGCCTGTCCATCTCACGCTCCATTCTTCCCTCACTCGTGAACAAGACCCCGAGATACTTGAACTCCTCCACTTGAGGAAGGACCTCTCCACCCACCTGAAGAGGGCAGGGCACCTTTTT